ATGGAGCAACCAGATGGGTTTCAGGAGAAGGGGAAAGAGAAGCTTCTATGTCGTCTAAACAAAAACTTGTATGGGTTGAAGCAAGCTCCGAGGCAATGGTACAAGAAGCTTGATGCCTTTATGATAGGGCAGGGATACCAAAAGACTACAGCTGATCACTGTATATTTGTAAAGAAATTCTCTGATGGTGATTTTATAATTCTTTTGCTTTATGTCGAATAAATCCTTTGCGATGAAGGATTTGGGTACGGGTAGACAGATCCTTGGGATGAAGATTTCTCGTGACAGACAGAAAGGGAAGCTTTGGGTATCTCAAGAGAGGTATATCGAGAAGGTTCTTGATAGATTTAACATGAGCGGTGCTAAGGAAGTCTCGACTCCACTTGCGGGGCATTTTAAGCTAAGCAAAACGCAGTGTCCTAAAAGTGAGAAAGATAAGGAAGAGATGAAAAAGGTTCCTTATGCTTCGGCAGTTGGCAACCTGATGTATGCAATGGTTTGCACAAGGCCAGACATAGCTCATGCAGTTGGTGTTGTTAGTCAGTTTCTCTCCAATCCTGGTAAGGAGCATTGGAATGCTGTGAAATGGATTCTCATGTATCTTAGGGGTACTTGCAGATTGAATCTTTGCTTTGGCAATGGAAAGACCATGTTGGATGGATATACAGATGCTGACATAGCGGGTGACCTTGATGGTCGGAAGTCTACTTCTTGGTCGGAAGTCTACTTCTGGTTACTTGATGACTTATGGAGGGGGAGTAGTTTCATGGCAGAGTAGATTGCAGAAATGTGTTGATTTGTCTACTACAGAGGCTGAATTTATCGCAGCTACTGAATCTTGTAAGGAAGCACTTTGGTTGCAGAAGTTTCTACAAGAGCTTGGCATGAGGCAAGAGAAGTATGTGGTGCATTGTGATAGCCAGAGCGCTATTCACTTAGCGAAAAATTCCACATTTCATTCGCGGTCAAAACATATATATGTGTGATATCATTGGATCCGGGATGTGTTGGACTCCAAGGCGTTGTTTCTTGAGAAGATCCATATGGATGACAACGGTGCCGATATGTTGACGAAGACTGTGAGTAGAGAGAAGCTTCTGTTCTGTAGACAGGAAGCGGGTTTGGTTTTACCCCCTAATTGAGGTGAAGGGGGAGATTGTTGGCCCGGTATTCCCCTCAATTGGGTCAACAAGGAAACAAATAAAACCAAGCCAAATTTGGCTTTAGTTTTAGGAAACAAAATCCACTCCAATTGGGTTTTTGTTTTTAGGTTTGTTTTTTCTATGCAAGGCTTTGGCATAATTTTTAGGTGTGTGTTTTTAGCCAAGAAGAGAAGAAAGTTTGGGCAGCGTGCATTGTTTTTGTACGAGAGAAAAAGAAAGAAAGCTAGGGTTTAGTTTTCGGTTTAGCTCTCTTTTGGTTAGATCCTTCCAGTCCTACTTTGTGATAGGTGTGTGTGGAAGAGTATTGTTGTAATCCACCTTTGGGTGAAGTCTTGTGTATCCACCGGTTGGTGAAGACTGTTTTTTCATTATTGTGATAGTGGAGATTTGACTGTTGTTACAGTCCCGTAGTTTTTCCCGATTTGGGTTTCCACGTAAATTCGTGTACCTTCTTTATTTTATCAGTTCTTGAATTAGTTGCTTGTTTGGGTGGTTGTCCTATTTTATTGGTAGTAGAAAAGGAGATTTTCTTGGGGTTCGCTTCCGCAGTGTGTTGTGTTTATATTCTTTTCCGCCACAACAATATATAAGAGTAGTTCTTTCATATAAAAAAGCAAAAAAAAGTTAATTTACTGTCCATATATATTTTCTCGTCTTTGGAGAGTTTTGGTGTCTTCTCAAAAATAACAACTGCATCTTTACTGATAAAGTAAAATAAAATTTGTGCATGTTAAAGTGCCTTCTTGATCTATTCTCTCGACGACATTGAGGAACACGTTTGAGCTGGTATAATGTCAAAACTCAAGTTTAGAAGTTCATACAAATTGTTGATGTGATTGTTTTTAAACAAAAATATTAGATCATCATTTGCCATTCTTAACCTCCAAAACCTTAATTTCATAAACCATCTACTGGGATCAAATTTATTCATTTAAATTTATTCATTTAAGCATGCGTCAACTTTAATACTCCCTCTGTTCCAAAATTGTTGTCTAATTTAAGATTTCACATTTAGTGCAATTTGAACTAGAAATGAAAACCCAAATTGGACAATAATTATGGGATGGAGGGAGTATAGGAGACAACATTGAAGTTCATATTTGAACGTAATCATTCCTGTAATCCTATGATATGGAAGAATTGAACAAGACTTAAGGGAAAAAAAAAATGAAGAAAAAAAATCTTTATATTTGTTTTGTTTTTTTAGTGTGTGTTTTTAGGTGTTTATCTATTGAGAATGTAAAAAAATGTATTGAAAATATAAATAGTATGCTGTGGGACAGTTATTATTTTATTATTATGAAAAAACCATCCAAAAAACAAAGCAAACAAAGTTATATTCTTCAATTTATTCCTCTATTTCTTTTCTTTAATCAAGTCTTGCTTTAGTTTGCTTAATAAGAAGACCGTACGTGCCCTTAAAAATTATTGATTAACTTGGAAATTAAATGATTATTTGGCAAGCAAAAAGATTCATGAAAATAGGTATCAAATGGTCCAAAATGGAATTTAAAATCGATCCCACAAATAAATTGCAATGGCTTGCGTATACATTAGTCCTCATTTGTTTGAGACTGTATCATGTGTTGGCATAATTAGTGAAATAAGAGCTCTGGTAAGCCAATTGAAGCATTTCACGATCATGGTCGTCTGAGTCCCGATAATTCTCCAAATCAGAAAAATATCTCTCAACGCTTGATTTACATAACTTCTTCATCCAATCTTCTGTGTGTGGTGAGTCGGAGAAATCTGCATACTGATCGCAATACTAAAGCAGAAAATTTGCGAACAAATTACTACTAATTAATACAGCTACTAATTAAAGATGATCACAAGAAAGTTATAAAAAAAAAAAGAAAAAGGAAAAGAAGTACTTAATCAGTTTGTGATTAATTACAGTAAAACGTCTTTAAATTAATAGCTTTGGGCCCCACAAAATTTATTAAATTATCGAATTATAAATTTATCGATAAATTAATAATTATTAATTTAAAAAGTTTTTCAATCCTAATAGGGGATGATCTTTGCCAAAAAGAAAACAAAAGTCGATTATGAATGGACTTCTAACTTTATTAATACAGTATTAGAGTTCTTTTTGTATTGCTTCAAATTTTAAATCTCCAGAATGAAGCACTAAAGTCAACAACTCTTCATAATTTTATGTTGCAGTATGCGACACCAGAATTTTTGAATGCAATGAAAAAGATCAAAGAAGAAATCTTAATAGATATAAATTTTAATTAAAAAAAACCAATAGATTCATACTTTACTAGAAATTATTAGTTTTTGTTTAGGTAATTATTAATTTATGAAAACATGGGGACCTACATTTAATACAGGATTCTTGAAAATTTATTATCTTATAAATTAATCGAGTTTTTTTTATTTTTTGTACTGGTCCCGAGTTGGGACCGGCAAAAATTATTCCTTAATGGAGGTTGTAAATTTATAGAGGATTAATTTAGAGAGGTTTTACTGTATCTTACCTCAAGACCACCATATGGTAAGACAGAATGAGTGTAACGCTTTGGAAAGCCAGCAGAATCCCTGGAACGGTCGAATTCTTGGACATTCGCAATCATCTGCTCTATTGATGGCAACTTCTTTTTTCCCGAGAGGAGTTGGGCGATCCATTTTGCTTGTGACTCGAAGAATGGAAACCCTAACACCTGTTCAAAAGAAGCAGAAGAAGAAATAGGTCCCGTTTGGATTGTTATTTTAGTTTGTATTTTGTGGTTTTGTGTGTTTGTGTTTTGAGGTATGTTTTAAAATAGGTTTTGACTTTTGAGATTGATTTTAAAAATATTTTTGGACAAAACTTTTTTGTTGACCGCCGTCGACCACCACATGCTGCCGCTTCCGCCACCGGCCGCCGCTACAATGGCGGCTGTGTGGTCAATGGCTATGGATTGGTGGTGTTGATGGGGGTTAAAGGTGACCATTGACCAAATAAATAATAAGATAATTGGGCCAAAGACATGTTTTGGACTATTGTGTCATGGCCTTAGACTCAATTGTAGGAATTAGAAACTAGAAGGACTAAAGTGTAGTTTTCAAAAGATAGGTGAACTATAAATACTCAGATGGGTTGTAATTTGCATTATCAGAACTTATGAATTAAACTGAAAATTCAAGTTTCTCCCCTTCTTCTTCGCCCGTAAACCTAATTTTCACCGGTCTTCAGTCTAATTCTCCGATTCTGTTTTCCGGCCACCTGAAAAGGCCCTAGGGCGTGACATTTGGTATCAGAGCGGTCGATTCATGGCCGTCTCTATATCGGATTCACAGATTCTGATTCACTCTCTTCTTCCCCATTCTATTCTCAAATCCTCTAAACTCTGAAATCTATTTCTTCCTCTTCCTTTCTGAAATATGTGCGATTTCTTCATTTCTCCGTATCGCACCCAAAAACCTTTCATTTTTGTTCGGATTGGTGATTTTCCGATTTAGATTCCGGCAAAAATCAATGGGTTTCAGCGATTACTACTCAAAGGTCACTGCCCTATTGGCTCTACCACCATCAGAGGCTTATCCTCCGAGTCCAACATCATCCGGTTTACCTCAACCTTCACCGACAGGAGTTTTCCTTTTCTCCGGCGAAGACCTTTCCTTTGGTTGTCCCGGATTGAGGATTATTTTTTCAGAAATTCTACACCGCTGGATAGAAAGCTTTTCATAGTCTCCCATTATATGTCGGGTGAGCCGCTTCAATTTTTGTATGGGATGGAGAGAATTTCTCAATTGTCCACTTGGGAGTAGTTTGTCGAGCAATTGGAGTTACGGTTTGGGGGTTTCATCCGGTCCACCACAACAATTAGTTTTTGGTAGGCATCTTCTATGGATACCCTCGTCACAGAGCCTCTTGAGGAATACATCGGGTTTAATTTGGCTTTGGAAGATGACGAAGGAGCCGAACCATCGGTGGAGGACTCAGCTGGAATCTCGACGGCAGAGCCCCAAGTATTCAACTCGAAAATGGAGGTTTTTGATGAAAATGATAGTTATTTGTCAGCAAACGTAGTTGTTACAGAATCAGTAGCTGATTCCTTAAAATTGGATGACAACGTTTTGCTTAAAATTATGAGTGTCAGTTTAGTGGACTATGTGAATGTTGTTTCTCTTGTGCCACATGATTTGGATGATGATTCATTGAGTTTTGATAACAAAGAGTGTGGAATTGAGATGCTGGATGGATTTGAGCAACTAGTTGACAGTAATCCTTGTAATGATGGTGCTAAACTGATTACATGTTTTAGAGGGAGACTATGCTAGTTGAAAATGCTATTACTCGCCATATTAATCCAAGTTAAAATGAGATAACCAAGAGGGATGGATAATTTCTCCGAGCTTTTAAAATAAAAATGCATACGGTTGGGAATGGTTGCACCGGGGGGATATTGGAATCAGATGATGAAGTTGTCTACAATAGTGCTGATAGTACATATGCCAATTTGAATATCTGTGTTATATTTTCAAATGATTGGAATAGTCCATCTGATTATGTAAGTGATAGATGTCACTTTACTGGAAATGTTTTTGAAACCGGTGATCTGAATGAATCTAATTCCATTCATAATTCTGATGCTATTTTGGTCATTGCTATTTTGGTTGGAAATGAGTTCATTTTCACTCTGATGTATGAGTCTCCTGTTGTTAAGTATATGCTTCTCCCAACCGTTTTTAAGGGTGGTACTGCACTTGTAGTCAATTTTATGACTGCAGGGGAATTGGTGCACTTGAGTTCTGTGTTTAAGGGGATTGAAATTAAGTTGTCACCAAGTGGTAAGCTGAGCTATGTTCCGGTTATTGACCCTGGTGATCAATTAGTGCAGCCTAAAAGTTTCAGTAGAATATCCTTTAAAGGAGAACTGCTGGTTAGAGAATTTTTCACTAATTCATTTCATGATGATCCTAGTGGAAGTAGTTTAAATTTTTTTCAGAATCATCTTGTTGACTGCAACAGTGTGTTAGGTGAACTAATCGAAAGTTTGAATGAGGATGCTCTAATATTTGATATGATGGTCGATTCATGTTCAATTTTTAAAGAAGAAATAGGAGATAATTCCGTGACTACTGTGGCTGTTGTTGTCTCGCCTGAATCTTCTACTTATGTGATTAATGTCCTTGAACCTCTTGATAAATTTCTGGTTGCAAAAAGTGATTCGAAAGTCTGGGCTGAAATCTTTACCTGTTTTAAAGGAGGAACTGGAAATATAGTTGGCAGAGTGCTTAACTGTTATTTGGTGGGGACTAAAATCAATAGAGCCTCTTTCTGTGAACCTAATGAAACTGTTGCAATTTCTCCCCTTGAGTTTGATAGCATGCTTGATCATATTGTTTGTGATTGTCATTTTCTGAATTGGTGGCTTATAGTTCTATATCTCAGTTTTAGCCTTCTGGACAAGGCTATACTTAGTGAGGGTGGAATTGTGAAACTTCAGTTGACAGTGAAGGTTCAAGATATATTGGGATCTAGAATTAAACAGACCAACAAGGAGCATGATTGTTTATCTAAGTTAGTAGCTGGGTTTAAAAGTGATGCTGCAAGTATTTATTTCCATGAATTACTAGGCCAACCAAGTTTTGGGGTTGTACAACTTCGATTTCAGGGGTTTTTTGCATGTATAAATTGTTCTACATTGACAAGAAAGAAAAGATGGTTGATTTACACTGCTGGAATTATCACTTCAGATGTTGTTGGAATAGTTGAGTTTGATAAAGGGTCATTTCATGTTGATCTGGGAGGATTAGCATGTCCAAGTGATGCCAACATTCCACTTAAGCGTCCAAGTATTGAAGAATCCTTTGATTTCACTGAAGAAATGGATACAGCTGAGGTAACCGGTGATGAATATTATAGCTGTGTTGATCAAAACCTTGACTATACTGTTAGTGTTGCTATTTTGCTGTTTTGTGATGAATCAAATGGTCTGTGGACACTTTGGTACGTTGATTCTTTCAAAAGGACATGCTATGCATTTACTGCAAACTTTGGTTGGAAAATTGCTTGGCCAATTCTGAAGGTTGAAGTCTGTTTGTGCTATTTGGTTGAGTTTGATTGTGGTAATGCAAATAATTATGTAATAGTTAAGGGCAGTGGTTACACTTTTGGTTAACATTCTGGAGATTTTCTGCTTATAGAAATTTATTTTAGATCTAAGAATCCGGGAGGTAAAACGAGTTTCAGCCCCGACTCTTCATTCAGTGATAGCAATTCCTCCTTAGAGACTTTGACTTATGATTATGTGCCTGTGGGGGATCACTGTATCTTTTTGCCATATGATCCTGCAGGAATGCCTACATATTTAGTTCCAGCTAAGTGGTTTGATGTTGAATCTGGCAGAACCGATGTGTTTGCTAGTGCTGAAAATCCAATCAGCACTAAAGGTAATGATGCAACGTGGTTTATTTGCGATCAATTGGATGGATGTGATATTGCAGATAAATTGTCTTGTAGGTATGGAATTATCCATGGTCATGTTTGGGATCCAGGAATAATGATCGTAGAATTGCAGCCTGTTGGAATGCCATCTAAAGACATAAACAGGGAACACAAGTCTTGGTCTCGAGTTACTACTAGTTTTAATCATATTCCTTACTTCTTCATGAATATTGGTAACCAGATTAGCATCCAGCTTTATAATTATGCTTCTTTTCATCGCACTACCAAAGTTAATGTTGCTGAACCAGTGTCAGGGCAAGATCATGATGGATCGTATCTGCTCAAAAATGGTGGGAGCTGGACAAAACTAGCTCAAACCATCCTTTGTGAAGCTGGAACAGGATCAAGTTTTAGTGTAGCATGGAGCAGTTCAGACTTGCATCTTGACTGGACTGAAAAGGTGACTACTTCTAGGGGAGGTACAAGTCTTTTTAAAGGAAAGTTTGCAGAAATGATAGTAACCAGCGAGACGAACTTCATTTGGATGATTGTGTGGTACCTAGTAGAAGTTGTTTCACTGAAGATGGCAACCAATCTTCCATTGTTATATTTCCGTAGTTCTAGTTTCTTTCATTAGAGTTACTTGCATTCAGTGTTAGTTATATGGTCAGTTGTGGTAGTTACTTGAAGTTTTCTATGGTGTTCTGTTTTTGAAACACAGTCTTGGAACAAGACTGTTTTAAGGAGAGGGGTTTGTCATGTCCTTAGACTCAATTGTAGGGATTAGAAACTAGAAGAACTAAATAGAAAAATAGGTGAAGAACTTTTATGAATTAAATTGAAAATTCAGTTTCTACCCTTGTTCTTCGTTCTTCTATTCCCGTAAACCTAATTTTTGCCGGTCTTCCATCTAACTCCGATTCTATTTTCCAAACACCTCAAAAGGCCCCCGGGGCGTGACATATTGCTGTCCAAACATGTTCTTGTCCCATTTTAAGAACAAAAAGACACAAAACATGTTCTAAGCACACCGTCCAAAGGACTGATAGTTACTTGAAATTAAAGATTGTAACTTTAGGCCCATTTCAACTTCTTTATAGGATTGTAACTTCTGTTTGATTATATGACCCGGGTTCGAACCCGGACATGAGTAAAATATTTTGTTTGAAGAGTTTCACCTCTCAAAATCTACCGGTTCGAATTCGAATTAATTAAAACAATGACTTCAAACACCAAGTGCATAATATATATATATAACAGATGGAAAAATTACCATTGTGGGAATGCCTACGAATGAAAGAGAAGGAGCAAGCAGAGGTGGGAATGTATGATGATAAAGAGGCCCAACTGTATCCTTGTCGATGGATACTATTCCTTTTGTATCAAGAAATGGGAATGAATATGAATATCTGCTGCCACACAATTATTAGACAGTTCATTAGAAAATGTTGAAATATTTCGACAAAAAAAAAAAGAAAGAAAGAAAATGTTGAAATATTTTTCTTTCTTTCAAATTAACCCTCACATAACAATAACAATATAGTACAAGTCTTACTTCAGACATTCAGAAACTTGATACTCCTCCATTTGAGAATAATTATACTGCCTATGTGCTAATAAAATAATTCACATTAAATATTTAAATTTATGTAAAAACTAATACAAATCTTAAAAGGCAATGAAAATAATTTTTTTTGGAAGAGAGGAATAAAACAACAAAAATAAAATAAAATGTTGAAACAACAAAAATAAAATCAAAGTATGAAACAAAAGTACATCTGTAGTTGCCACACAATTATTAGACCGTTTATTAGAAAATGTTGAACTATTTCGACCGAAAAAAAAAGAAGAAGTCGAAATATTAATATTCTTTCGATCAAATTAACACTCACATAGCAATAAAATTAAAGAGGGAGTTATTGTTGGCCATATTCATGGTCAGAAATTTACCCTGTAGCATATATTATAGTGTCAGCAATAATCGAACCACCATCAATAAATGAAACTCGGCCATCCTCATGCATCGATTCTACCTACAAATTTAAATTAATTCAAACCAATCAAAAAATATTGATTATTACAACAATAAGGAGATTAAAAAATGTATTCCCTCTCTGTCCCAAAATTATTGTCCAGTTTGTTATTTTATTTTTAGTACAATTTGAACTAGAAATGAAAACTCAAAGTGGATAATAATTATGGGACAAAAAGAGTATAATTTAAGTTACCACAGGATGAAGGTAAAGATTCTCATGTTTGGAAATGAGTTTGGACAGGCCTTCCGTAACATTTAAATCTTTCACGCTCAAATGTATCTCCTTTGCCACACTAGTTAGAGCCATTGAAATATCTTGTCCACTTAATGAATTTCCAACAATCACCACCACCTTAATGATCACAACCAATTTACTATTATGATGATTAAAAAAAAAACCATGATTGAAATTTTAACATTACTAATAGTTTGCTTGGTGGATTTAGCATTACCTCATTCTTAAATGGGTGTGGGACTCTGTACACGTGGCTGTGCATTTGCTTCCTTTTCCATACATCCATGCCTTCAAGACAAATCAATATTCTTGTAAACGATCACACTTATATTAAATCGGCTATTGAGTGTTTTCATCATGAAATCAATATTCTTACTTATTTCAGTATTAACTTAAAACACAAATATGCCGACAACCTTAACATCTTTTGTTCCTGAAAAATTGTACAAATTGACTTGAGATTTTTCTTAAAAATAGTACTCTCTTATAGTATAAAGTGTACTAAAAATGATAATCTAAATTGAACAATAATTTTGAGACAGAAGATGTATATAAATCTTAAAATTCAATGCGAATTTTTTTTTTTTTGGGATAAATAAAGTATAAAAGAAAAGTTTGAATCGGACAAAAGTGATGTGAGGAAGCCGTGCGCATACGTACCTTTGATGGTAGGCAACCAAGGCTGCGAATAGTGGCCGGAGGCAACAACCACGGCGTCAAAGACTTCTTCTGCCACCACCGGCGCGGCCGCCTTCTGATCAACCTTGTTGTGGACACCTTGCTTCTCCTCAATTGCACTTCTCACAATCCATTTCAAATCCTCATGAACAACAACATCACCGCTTTCTGTATAGTTCACCATTCCAACATATTCCACCTTACTATTAAACCTAATCATATCCCTTATTCCAAACCGTTCACAAAAATCTCGCAAGTACCTAAGCACTTCACCATGTCCAGGGTACCTCCTAGAATCCCCACCTCCATCCTTTGTTGGAATAAATGGAAAATCAGTGAAACCCATGATTTCCCTTGGAGAAAACACCCTTAAGTTTGCATAAATGCTGCTATGAACCTTTTGGGCACGTGTAGGGTTTCCCAATGGGTCCTCATCTTCAACATTTGGATCATAAAGCCATTGACCTCCAATATCAGGCTTTTGTTCAAGGACAACAACATCATGGCCTTCCTTTCTCAGCTCCCTTGCTGCCACCAAACCTGATGGACCTGCCCCAATCACACATACACGTTTGGAAACCACATTTCCATTTTCCTCCAAAACCATGATTTATATTTTATTGATCGATTTGGAAGAATTGAAAAGATTTCTACACAGATTAGCTGCCTGAAGAATTGAAGGATTTCTACGTAGAATGGCTATAGCTTGTTAATTATATGGTCACAATCACAAGTTCTGAAGAAACATATTATATGTGTAACAGGTAGAAAATCACTATCTGTTTAATTTGTTTATATATCTTTGTGTGTGTGTGTGTCATCGACTTGATTATATGGATCATGATTTGTTAATTTAAAAAAAGGTTAAAAAAAAGAGAATTGATGCTGAAATAAAGATCTCTAGTTCGTCAGAAATAAATTAAGTGGATATAAATATAACCATTATTCATTATTACAAGAAAGCATTATTGGCGGGCAAGAGACTCTGCACCTGCACTTTAGTTTTTTTTATGTCCTATTTCTTATACAGTCCCCACGTTGTCATATGACTGAATTAATAATTGGTAATTGATTAATGTTCTCTTTATCAGTTTCAATAATTGATGATTATTTAATTAAATAATCGTGAAAAGTTGACAGATTAATTACTGTTATGCACGTTATTTCCGAGCTGTTCTTCTGAAGTTGGAGACAAATTAGCTTAAGGTGTGTTAATTGGTCTCATTTGCAAAAGCAAAGGGTCTATGAACAAGTTTTTCCTCCAACATTGTACGTTACACAACTCAAGAATGAATCGTTTTGAAGACAAGAGAAATGATGTGATCAATAATAGGTTATTAGGAATCATTTCCAATCATGATAATTATTGTATTTTATTTGATCATATAATAGATTTTTAGAATCAGGTGAAACTTGGTATGAAAAAATGATAAAGGGTTGAAGTTAAAAATACATGTGAAGAAAAATTCAGTATGGTTCTGCCAGGACTCTTCAAGTCAACGACAGAAATTTCTTTTTTTTTTCTTTACTAGTTTTTCCATTTTAAGGAATTTTAACATCCTTCTTATGCGTTGTTTTATCCAGTGTTACATCAAGAAAAGGATTTTTGAAGTTTTAATATATAGTGAACAAAGAAAGATAAGTAACAACAAGAGTATACAAAGACGCATTAAAACCGTACAGTTCATTTTTAATTTTGTACTGAAATGACCTTTTGGCGGGAAAAAAGAAATTAATATGGCGATGATACATGTCCTTTCTTGTTTACTGCTGTAACTTGTAAGTACTATGTATTTGCATTAAAAATAAAAATCAAGCTGGACAATAATTTCATGATAAAAAGAGTACTTATTTTCAGAGAAATTCATACAAATTAATGTGAACTTAATTATGGTGTGTAAATTATTAAGTTATTCTTAACCTATTATATTAAACCAAAATCGGTGTCAATACTGTTATTTACTTTCTGGAATAATTTTTGAAATTTTTGACAAAACTTTTACCGATATGAAAACGATATTTGCTTTGAAATTTTACTATTTTCCTCTTACAATATTCAAATCAGAACAGGAGAGTGATAATTGACAGTTTAGGCCTCCCTTTCTTTATCATAAAAAGGGGGAAAAATCAATCACAACTTCTCAATCAGTCGTTCGAGTAAAGAAATTGTTAAAAAAATCGATAATAATCGGTTGACATATCAATATTATAAACAAAAACCCCAAAAAAAAAAAAAAACTCCTCCATCAATCATTCAAGTAAAGGAATCAATGACAAACATGCAATAAGTAGTTGACGTAACAACTGAGCGACTATCAATTCAAGAACCAATTAAAACTTAATTTACTTGGGAGAGTTTTGCCTCCTGAAAAGGACTTATCCAGCTCGAGCTTGGATTAGTCAGAACAATGACTTCGGACACTAAGTGCATTATGTACAAAAAGAAAACTTAAATTTGTTGACCAACCTCGAAAAGTTTTAATTATAAATTCATTATTAGAGAATAACATTTGTCATGATCATCAATTTTGGCCGGATTCCGGCCAAATTCCGTCGAGTTAAAAAATTTTAACCGTATTAATTATGGAAGGCATATATTAATGAGGAATAAATATTTTTTAAAAAAAAAATCATATGTGATATGAAATTATTGAGTGTCCTGATAAGGCCCAGACGATCGTAGCAAATGGTATTATATTATTTTTCATGTCCCAGTACATATTTAAAAACTCAATATAAACTATTTTTTTGTGATGTAAGAAATATTATTATTAACTTGGGTCATTATAATGTCTTTTGAGAAAAAAAAAAATCAAAACTTCATTATTATGTGTTTGATATCAAACATATTCATAGGCTAATTTTGTTGCCAACGATCTGTCAGACATGGCAGTTCGCACTCAAGAGAAGATTTTACTCTTCCGCAGAATTTCGCATAATCACGAGAAGGAGATGGGGACAAATAGTAGTCGACAAATAAAACCTAAAGGGTAAAACAAAAAGACTACCACAACCTTAGAAAAATAATGTAAATTTTGTAACTATAAGTACAATAAGTGCATAATTTTTCTGAAAAATAGTTGCATTTCTTCTTGTTTTTCTCATTTTCGTTCTTGATCGAGTTGGCGCATGCATGACTCCATTTCTGCCTTACACTTCCTCTAAATAAGAAAACAAACATACTCAAATCACAAAAACGTTTCAAATCAAAATCCTTTTGTAGACTTAAATTTTTTTACAATGTAGATTTCACATTGCTCAAAAATCTGTCACCATCACCTCCTTCGTCACTGTCATTAACCCCGCGATCATCAATTCCCTTCCCCATCATTTCAAACAACTGAACAAATTTTTCCATGGCAAACCTCGGCAAGCAAACCGGAACCAGTACACCTTTTTCTCCTTGTTTATTCTTGGTCGGTACGTAAGAACAATGCACTCCATTCATCTCCCCTATATCATTCCCTAAGGCTAGTCCAGCATAGTCCGGTTTTCCCCACCCGAAAGTAATTAACTAAGTATTTAATTTTTTTCTATCTGTGTTTGTGTGTGTGGTGACAGCAAATTGATTACTTGGATCATGATTTGTTAATAATTTTGAAAAAAGGAAAAGAAAAGATTTGATGCCAATCTGTAATTCATCAACAGTAACTCAAATGGGAATTAATATAACCATTTTTGTTTACAAGAAAGAATAGCTGTCTGACAAGAGATGTCTATATCCATCAACTATACAATTTTTATTGGTGCTACTGAAGTTCACTTTTCAGAAGTTGGATTGATGGTTTCAATACATTATTTTAGTGGGGACTGTGTTGTTTGGCAAAAGTAGAATTGAATTGATTAAGGTGAATTGGTTAATTACACCAACTTGTTAATTTGTTATTGTTTTAACTAATTAATTTAGAAAACGTACAGACTATGCACATTAGTTCTGAGTTGTTCTTCTGAAGGTGGAGACAGATTAGCTTAACACTAATTACACCTCGTACGACCAACGTTAGACTTGTAGTATTAATTTTATCCTTGTTATGACAGAAGAACATAAGATGGGATTCTTGTATTCATTAACATCTTATACTCCATCCGGTCCCTAATATAAGACGTTTTGATTTCTTTTAAATTTTATTTAAGATGCGTTTTTAATTGTTGAACAAATCTTAAAAATATTTCGTAATAATTAGAAGAACACAACGAATGTGCAAATATATTTTTAAAATTTTTTAACAATTAAAAAAATTATAAGTGAAATTTAGAAAAAAAAAATCAAAATATTTTATATTAATGACCGAGGGAGTATCTTCTTATATTAACAAGTCTTGCTGAAAGTACCAGACTACCACCTTATAAATGACGGGACTGTAGCTTAATTCACCCTTAATTATGTTCCATCATGAATTACTCCTGCACTCGACATTAAGTTTAACCTGGGCATCTACATTAACCTTCAACCTTTACTAGCTTTTTGAAATGTATTCCACTCCAGTACTCCATAGTAACAAAGTATTTCGATACTTCAATTTCCAAATGCAAAGGCCAATTCTCAACCTTAGCTTTTTTGGGCATATTTGATCTAAAATTCTAAATACTCCACAGCCACTCTTTAAATTGCATACATAGATAAGAAATAAAATCTCACGCAACTCTCCTACGACAAAGTCTACCTAGATTAAGTACTTGTTAATTCGTCCAGTCTAGACTTACGCTTTTTACTTCCTAATTAGGCAACTCACATGCATGCAATAATTTTGGCTAATTTTTGGCCAAAAGATCTCCTACACCATACATTATCTTACACTTGTTATATCATTCACAATAATTTTGCACATGCTCTGACAATAATTTTTACAAAAAGAAAGTACTAATTGTATACAAAAAATGATATTTTTTATAAAATGACTTAGAAGTGTTGTATGATTTTAGTGTCGGAGATCCTTACCCAATGTTTTGTGTAATATAACACCCACGTATTAATTATTTAAAGGAAAAAAAAAAAAAGAAATGTTTCCTTTTCTCTCTTTTTGCATTTTAAGTATGCCAAAATATATTTGCAGTCAAATTAAGAATAAGAATGTAAATGATTCCATCTATCTCAAGTTAAGCTTATTACAACCAGGTAGCTAGTCCTCAGATAGTATGATGAAAAATGACAAGAATCATCATCACAAGATGATTAACATGCACAAAACGATGCCCTTTGTTGCTTCTATTACTACTATTATAAGGGCTTGTACGAATCATAATCTTGAATTTGCACTCTCCTTGTGATGGATCAACAGTTGTAACAACCGAAAGGCCTCCAAACCCGCAGGCACTCGGAAGCTGATCATTTTGCTGGTAAATATGTTGAATGCATAAGAAATGTTTCCCCTGCTATCTAAATTACCGCAAGATGACGATCCATTTCCGAGACTTGAACAATCGGCATGTGAACAAGACTCGTGATCAAAGCAACTCGTGGATCATCATTGCTAGCATTGGGTGAGAGGATGCAACATTGTCTGTTAGAAAATATATATTTAAATCGTCAAAGTAAAATATAAACACAAAAATTATAATCTTCCAAATAGATAAAAAGAAAGAATTTGAGAAATAGTGTTTGAATTAGAGCCACGCCAAAGACGTTATCCTAAGAAAAGATACGCTCTCTCCACATAAAGTTTGACGGCGTTCTTTTCCGAAGATATAACAATTTTTATAGGAGTTCTGGTGGTGGCAGGACTCTCTATATTGTGAACGATCACAATCCGACTTTGCGTAACTAAAATGTATAATGTGTTTATGAAATGTCAAATCTTGGAAAACAATAGTGCAGCAAAACAAGTATTAAGATGATCACTCATAGAAAGGTTTGTTTTTCTTAAAACATTGTAAGGAAAGAAAGTTAAAAAATAAAAAAATTAAAAAAATTAAAAAAATCTTCAAAATACTCTGTTTTTCCCTTCATTACACAAGTATAATTATATAGTCAAAAAGTCACCTAACAGTAATCTCTATAACCCCTAACATTTGATATCATAAATGTAGGATTAATATAGTATTTAATCTCAATATTAACTAAACAAGTCACCTAACAGTAACTTCTATAACCCCTATCATTTGATATTATAAATGTAGGATTAATATAGTATTTAATCTCAACATTAACTATAGAACCCATGGAGTTTCACCTCAAAACCAATTGGTAATAATGGGAGTAACTCATGGTATTTATATACTGATATAAAGTGTCTCCAGACACCAATGTGGGATAAATACTTCAATACTCTTCCTCAAGTTTAACGGGCTTGAACTAAATCACCATGATCAGGAAATAAACCGTGGAATAATATCACGGGTCGCGGAATAACGTAGCGAACTTAAATTAGGCAACAGAATAACATCATAGTTGAACAATACCCAATGACGTTCGAAATTACCGGGATGTGTGGATTTCGCGTCTTCATCAATTAGGCCAAAGATGTATGCATCTATTGGACGTCCAGATCTCATCGGCGTTCCCTTTTTTTAAGAGTACATTGTACACATTAGTTATGTATGCTATTTACTTCCTATGAAAAACCAAACCAAAAAAAAAAGTTCATAGTGCTAGTATGTTATTTATTTCCCACCCCAAAATGAATGTCCAGTTTAGATTTTTTCTTTTTTACTTTTAGTGAACTAAAATAAAAAAAAAATCAAACTAGACAACTATTTTGGGACGGAAGGACTATTAATTTACCAAATTACGATGACACACTGTCGAAGTATCATAACTTGTTATTTTGCTATTTATGAATACTAGAGAGTTTGAACGCACGAAAGTTATAGATTTTGACAAGAAACCCAATCATCAAAAGATCAAAAGATATAAGGGAAGGAGATAAAGGGGTTGTGATAGTAAAAGTAAAAATTTAAATGTTGTGTGGTAATTAAAGTAAAAGTAAACAAATGAGATGAAATGATTATAATAATAAAAATTAATTTAAATTATTTGCAGTAATTAAAATAAAGGACTATTAAAAACTTCAAAGTTATTCAGCAATTATAATATAGGTAGATAATCTTTTTTTCTAAAATGTATGAAAATGAATAATTACTTTCGGGAGCTTTTGAAGCCTTAAAATAAGAAAGAGTTAAGCCGTTAAGGTAACTTTTAAAAAAAAAAATAACACAAATAAACATTGTCTTAAATCTAAAACAACCGACATTAAGAAAACTTTCTAAATTTGGACGGAAAAATTAATCTGGGACACGTGCTTTAAGGTAATTTCCTAAAATGAGCTTTACTCTTAAACGTTTCCAAATTTCTAGTCCCATCATCACTCTATAAAAGCAGAGTAAGTTTTACGCTATCTTTCATTCTTTCAGAAACAGAAACTCCTCTCATTGCGTATAGTTTCTTTCGCTCTCTCTTTCTCGAATCTCTCTTCGAAGCAGCTTAGGATAAAAACTAATAAGAAGAAGGAAAAAGCTTTTCAGTTTTGGGGGAACCCATTAACGATGGAAGGTTGGAAAAAAGTAGAGGAACTAGGAACAGGGTCATTCGGCTCTGTTTCCATGGCCATCGATTCTTCGATATCTATGAAGGTGGCAGTGAAAACGGCACGATCTAATTCCCAATCTTCAGTACTAATAAAAGAAGGCAAATTCTTACGCCAATTGAATGGGATTCCCAACATCGTTAGGTGTTTTGGGAATGATATCAGCATTAAAGATAACCAGGCAGTTTACAGTCTTCTCCTTGAATATGCAGAGGGAGGAAATCTTCGTGAATTGATAAATGACAGATTCAATAAAGGGAAAAGAATCCCGGAAACCCAAATTGCATATTATGCAAGCATGTTGCTTAAAGGGCTTGCCCAGATTCACTCTCAGGGGATTGTCCATTGCGACTTGAAACCGGCTAACATTCTCCTGTTTCCGGACTCTAATAGATTATGCCAACTTAAAATCGGAGATTTTGGGAGTGCGAGACGGATCTCACAGGATGAAGAAGAGATTTGGGTTTCGGATTCGGATTCAGGAGATGGAACTAAAAGTCTCAGCAGGACAACTCTGCTTTATGCATCACCAGAATCAGTGGCTTATGGGCTACATGGGACTTCTACAGATATCTGGTCTTTTGGGTGTGTTGTGGCTGAGATGATTACTGGGGAATCTATCTGGGATTATGAAGACGAGCAGGATTTGATTGATCAGATATCACATGGGACTATTGTTGATAGATTACCGGAAAATTTTCCTGACAACGGAGTTGATTTCTTGAATAGGTGTTTGTTGAGATGTCCAGAAGAAAGGTGGTCTGCATTGGAGTTATTGGATCATCCGTTTATCGTCGAAAACTTAAAAATCATGTCTGAAACTCACTATGTGGATGTGCTGAACCGATTAGAGGAGAAACAGAAGAAGAATTGCTCCCAGATCAATCCTTTTGGAATGTCTGAGTGGGTTTCAACTAAACATCTTTTCACGCCCAAATGGATGATTGAGGCTCTTGAAAAGCAAGATGATGATGATGAAGAAGTTGAGGCTCCAGTAAAACAAGATGATGGACTTCTTCTTCTGACAAAATCAAACCCAAGAGGCTTCAGAAAGTCCATCTCTTTCATTGTGGCGAGAATGAAGAAGTGTAAAGAGTAAAATAAGTTGCGAATCTGTGTAGTTGAATTTTGCAAAGGTATTCCGGCAAAATTGTGGGAATTTTCTTTTCGTGTACTTCTAATGCAGATCAATTTGTAAGCAGATCATTCTAATCGCAATTGGTTGGTTCTTTTGATAAAATGCTGGTAGGGTTATTAAGATTAGTGTTCATTCCAGGAATGTACATCAAAGCCATATTGGTTTACTTTCATTTATATATTCTTTTTCATATCTTAGAATCATTTTTGTTAGAAAATATGGCTCATGGCAGAATTTATTCCATCATTACTACAGTAAACCTATGATTGTGAATGTTAAAAAGGGGTTAAAGTGTGGGGACATTTTCAGTGTACCAGTTTGGTTACAACTGCCTGATCAGGAGCTAATATACTGGAGTCCCAGTACGTTAAGCAAAATAATGAGTACCATAGGTAAACCAAAAAGGATGGATGAGCTAACAGGTCATAAAATGCGAGCTGGCTTCGCTAGGGTACTGGTGGAAATGGAGATCAAGGAAACCTTACCAGATAGAGTGAAGTTTACGGATGAGGAGGGTAGACTACAAGAACCGAAGCTAGTGTACGAGTGGAAACCGGTACTGTGTTCACTTTGCAAGGGTTATGGTCATCTGAAAAATGAGTGTAAAGAACCTGTTAAACCTGCGTGGATACAGAGAACTGCTGAACCACAAATGAAGAAGTCACAAGAGGGGAAGGAAGTTCTTCAGGAATTAATAGAGAAACAAGCAGAAGAAAGGTCAGAAGGTGATGAGAATCCAACAGGGAAGGGAATCCAAAACCCTAGAAGCGATGAAGAAAGGTTTTTAAAGTCCCTGGCTATTTTGCAGTAATATAGTAAGGTAGTTTTGTGGAGATTGAACTCTGTGATAGATCCATAGTGGGATATATTTTGTAGCAGTCCTATATGAATGTAAATTCTTGTAAATATGGGATACTTATGGTGAAAGAAAGGAATATAATTTACCGTTTACCTAAAAAAAAAAAGTTAGGAATACTCACTATCCAAAAGACTAAACTAATGCTAACTAGTCGATTCCTCCCCATTTCCACTTCATCTGGAGATCGAAACCTACTACTTCCTTTGTTCTAAAATTATTGTCCAGTTTGAGATTTCACGTTTAGTATAATTTGAACTAGAAATGAAAATTTAAACTGGACAATAATTATGGGACGGAGGGAGTAATATTAACATCTACCGGAGCGTGTGATCATTCATTGAACTGTTCCCAGCAACTGCCTTTCGGTTACTCTGGTGGTGCTGCCGTTTCATCTTTCTCTCTTTCTGGCGGTATAGAAATGAACTAGTCACTAGTGTGTGACTGTGTACTGCTGTGTATACTCCTTTACTACCATGGTCAACAACGATTGTTTGGGCCTGCATGGTCAACATTTTCAATTTCAAATTGGTCTGGACTTTTTTTGGTATCACAAATGGAATTAAGGCCGCCCTTTTTTGGACTGCTTTAAAATATCTCAAATGATAATTTGGATCTCAAATGTGCAATCCAATCTTGCAACAAACGTCATTTCTGTCTGCACTCTGCAAAGACTGCAATGCCACTCTATTATTGCCATCATCTAATGTGTTTATTTTATTTTTAATTATTGTATTTAAATTTTTAAGTATACTGTCAATAACATGAGCAAAACCCTCCACTGGATTGCATATTTCTTTTCTCGATGGGTGGTGCAATAGTTTTCTAATCTTATGGAATAAACGAGTTTGGGACAAGAATTTGGATGATAAAGGACTTTTTTTTTTGTTTTTTATAGATGACATTATTTATTGGTCATTTGCGGATATGCCCCGTACAGATAAATGTGTTCAATAATTGAAGTCAATAGAATTCCGGACTCGAAATCAAGCTTTCAAGGTGCTCTCATACGTTGTTTAGTGTAGCTTCTGATTCCTTCAATGAAATGATTTTTATTTATTTATGTACTCCCTCAGTCTCATAATTATTATCCAGTTTGTATTTTCATTTTTAATGTAAATTGTACGAAAAAAGAAATCTCAAACTAGACACAGAAGACATATTTAAAATAATGAAATGTTTGTTTTTTACTCAGAATAGTGTTTTACTTTGTTTGTTCAAGATTCTGTTAAGAAATCATGAATTTCAGTATTACAACTTTTGTATGTGACATAAAGAGATAAGGGGTCAAGTTGAAATCAAAGAGTACATCATCTTTACTACAATTATATCAGAAGTCTGCCTATCCATGTTTCTAACGTCGACATGCTTGAGCAACTGCAGTATCTCTCCGCCACTTCCAATAGTTTCCTCTCATTGGATCTACGAGTTCTAGGACCGAACATATGCTTTTTATCAAATCTGAATCAGGCTCAAGTGAGTTTGTAGTTAAGGCGCCAACGGCACTTGAAATCTCCGAGCTGGGCATGAAACCATGGCTAAGAAGGTCCAAGACCATGTTCAGAGCATGCACATAATTGCTTTTCGCTGTTAAAACTTCCAAGCACACAGATGCTACCCGTGGATCTTTAACGAGAGCCTCCGGGTCATCTTTATAAAGGCCTCTAAGGTACCTCCAAGGGCTTTCATTTTCTGGATTTGCAGCAATAGCTTGAATTGTATACGTTACTTCTGACTCTCTCATTGAGCTCAGGCCACCAAGGAGAGGAGATTTTGTGATGACGAAAAATCTCTGCATACAGAATTTACAAAATAGTTTATAGAAATTTTGCTAGAATCAGAACTACAACCATAACTATGAGAGGACATCATGAAATTAAGACAATATGAACTTCCTCAAAGATTCACAAATGACGCAGATTGTGTTCTTAGACTGTTAGACATACAACTTATGAACAAAACAAAATCATGTTTATAAGCACCAGAAGAACAAGAAGAATACAAGTCTTATCACTGAATCCAAGCCAGGTCATGAATACCTGATTCCAAGCAGAATTGTTAAAAATATCATCTTCAAGGAGTTCCTGGCAGTAAGAAAGTTCATTTTCCCACCCGCCCAATGCCTGGAGGACCCACTGCACATAATGTCAAAATAAATGATCCGTAACTACCATGAGTATGCGAAACTAGTTATGTCTTCACGCAACCACGAGAAAAAAACACTAATCAATCATATCAAAGAAATAAAAGAGCCACAGAAGCAAAAACTTCCCAAGATACCTGTCTATGTGACCAGGCGTGATAATTTTTAGGATCCTCAGAAAATATTTTCCCAGTAAACTCAAGTTCCCTTATTGTAACATCAGTTCCCAACTTTTCAGCAACCCAGCGCCTATGATGCCTACAAAAACCTTGCATCAAAGTTTGAATAATGCAAAATAAAGATAACTGGATAATTTGTGCAGGACAAAAGTAGGCAAAGAATTGACCAGAAAAATGGGCCATACACTTCGTATTTGATATGTATGCCGAGGAAAACTAAAATAAAAGGAAAGAAAACCATAATCTCATGGAAACCTTCTTACATCAAAACAGAAGAAAATCCTAACAGTTAAATAAAAAAAAAGTAACACATAACTTGGCAAAACAAGTTCTTACAGACAAATATTTGTTTAGGAAAATGAATGGCTGGCTCAGTGAATACAGCTTAGTAGAAAGCTGTTTAAAGAGAGGCCAAACATCGTAAACAGCAACAACACAACACATTCTCAGCCAAGCTGAAAGTTGGGATCATAAGGGAATGTTCACTAGAGCCTTCAGAATCTTATACGCTAAAACTTTAGGGAGTTATTAAGACACAGTGCACATCCTTTATATTTTGAATATCTTAACGAAGTAACATACCTGCACCACTGGATGGATAAGAACTTATATTTCCAAAGAATTACTCTCTCTTTATGTACACTAACTTTTGACCTTGTTTTTCAGATCAAATAGATATACATTGGGCGCACACTTGCCAGTTATGCAGCAAAAAACATCTACAAAATCATTAAACTGCTATATTTAACTTAGTCATTACTAGTGCACTACAATATTAGTAGTCACAATAGAGTCAGAGCAAGTAGAATTCATCAATACTGCTTGGAGATAAGACACTTTAAAATTAAACCTACTAAATTGCCTTTCGCTTTAAATATCTAAAAGGTTTTTGTAAAACTTGTAAAACACCGAGTCCTCTGTACAATCCATCAATGCAGAACTGAGAAAAAATTGGTCCTTTGCTCAAGACCTCAAGAGGCAATGAATGCCAATCAACATTCGAAAGACTCAGTGAGACCAAAAAATACTATATAAAATAAAAATTGCACACATAATTGACTTATATTGTAAGAAAAAAGATTATTTTACTTTACATGAAGATTATTTAACTGCTCGTCGTTTATCCTATCTTACAGCACATTATCAAGTATCTTAAATTTTTTCCGTAACACATATCTTGACATACTGCTAATAGGATCCCCTCCAAGGGAATTCTCACATGGTGATTCTCATATTTATTCATGACGCAATCAATGTACAAAGTTCAATAGACTAGAAACACCATTTATGATCTGGACTCCAAACAAGGATGCAACCCAAAAGAAACCACTGACTTTAAGATTTCATATTATCAGACATGCGGAAATGGAAAACACCACACAGATAAGGGCTACCTATAAGCAAGAACCTAAACATATCCTTAATAGAAAGGTATACAATTATCTAATAAAAAAATTAAATACTTTAAAAGCAAATGACTACATAATGTAGGCATACCATATTTGATAATTCTTAGGATTTGCTTCCGCAATATGGTCCACGAAATCCAATTCCTCGTGCAAATTCCCGTTGATTGACTCAAGTATTGTCCGCCTGAATTGCCATACCTAAATGAATAGCCTCAGTAAATATACCAAAGTGTCCAATAAAGCATGAACAAGAACAAAAATACTACATTTATTATCCACTCTAACACACAGAAAATGATTTCCTAGTCCTCACTATTTAGAAATAACTTTTTAGGGTCTTGCATTTATAATGTTATTTCTTTAGGTTTATAGGTAGACTTGTGTCACAGAATCCACATATGGGTTTCATCTCTGACCCACTAAATTAACACGAGAGAGTCAAACAAAGAAATATCCCTCAAAATAAACCAAAAGCTCCAGACCCTATTTGTTGCAGAAAAGAATTCTCAAAATTTCAAGGTTCTTTCTATGATCAAGAAATGTTACAGTGATCTCTAAAGGAACAAACAATAATCATTCCAAATAAAGTATAGCCATATCACGTACTTAACATCAAAAAATATACAGAAAAAAGTTTGGAATAACTAGAGTAAGCCCAATTCATCCTAATTCATCTTGTTTTCTTCCTTATCGGTATTCCTAAAAGCGAAAGAAACGGGTGCAAGTTTTCCTTCCATGGCATTTCAAAAAACCACCCAAATTGCAGCAATTTATCACCCAAGAAATCATAAGAGGTACCTTGGATGATAATTAGAAAGAGAAAAAAAAAATGAAAACTGACAGGGTTGAGTAACAGTGTATTTCCATCAACATCTTTACAGAAAATCCAAAACAAAACTTACAGTGTAATTTCCAGCATTGAGTTCAATAGCTTCCGCCGTTAACTGAAGAGCTCGAGGGGATCTCTCATCAGCTAAGTAGATGGCTCTGAAATAATTCATGGTTTCGAGGAATTTATCGGAATAGGAGATTGAGACAACAGGATTTGGGCCATCATCTTGCGCTACAGGCTTCACATCTGCCCATTCAGGCCTCTGAGAAAGAGGGATTTGAGAACTTATGTTTCCTGGAAACTGAGCGGCTGCCATCACTCCTACACTTCGTCTGAAACATCAGAATATCAGTCCAATATATCATGAAGATAACAAATGTCACGACTCCTATACTTACATTCCAATAACATTCAGAACTAAAAACAAGAAAGTTCCAAATCCAAGCAACCGAAAATTCCACATACGTAACAGAGGACCCAAAAACCATCACCAGTTTAGTATTCATATAAACACAAGCTCACAGCCTTCAGTTGAGAAGGCTGATAGTTAGAAAATAAAACAGTACTAATAGCTATTACATTTGAATCAGAAAGCACAATTAAGTCAAGAAGAAACCCAACCAATCCAACCCTAAAGAAATCCACCGAGAAGTCAACATTCTACAGAGCTGTCGGGTGAATGTGGAAAAGGTTTGTGAAGATTCGCGAGAAGGCTGATGTTTAGTGGCTTTCCGAGGTATCAGGAGATGAGGGTTTCTACAGCGACGAACAAAGAAGGAAGGATGCAGAGAAACCTTACTGAATCTAAGGGAATTAGGGAAACTCAGTAGAATAAAATATAAGCAGTTGTCGCCAGAGCTTTTACCCACAAGGGTACGCAGCCAATTTCCTTCTCTTTTTTTTTCTTTTTTTTTTGTCCCAAACGATACTCAGATTTTATTAAAACAGAGAGCAAAATATACAGATTGTACAAGAAGTATATGAAGAACAGCTACATCTAGCCATGGCAGAAGAGAATAATATCTCTATTCCATGAGGAGTTCTAAATCTAACTAACTTCACCAATCAAAGGGAAAAAACAATTTAAAGTCTACAAATACAATATGAACCATTTAATACAGATCTTTTGATGATCTAACTTGCACTGCCAATCTGGAATCAGTCGTCAGATCTTGAAGGCCTACAATATTAGATCAACAGCAAATCTACCAATTATCTTCTTGTTCATCTTCTTGTTCATCTTCTGCCAATCCGCCGGAATATTCGCCGGAAAGTTTTCCCCGTTTAATCGATCCGTGAGCGATAAAATACACCAAATATACCAATCAGATCTCCAAGGAGAGATCTAAATATAAACCAAGAAAAAGAAAAAAGAAAAAACTTGCAGATCTGAGAGTTCAGATCGAAAGAGGCAAACACCCAAACATGGGTGAGTCAAAACTCCTACAAGAGGAGAGCAAAACAAAAGAAAAATTTAATATCCCATCTCCGTTCAGGGAAGACGGGATAAGGGGAGGGACTTTCGGGAAGGGTGAAGAAGAGAGAAAAGAAAGAAAGAGAGAGAAGAGAGAGAAAACCTCACTGTATATGACGCAGCCAATTTCCTAGAGTCCAAAATTCGAAAAGAAAATTGAGCTAACAAACATCAAGTATATTTATGTGAAACAGCACATTAGCTATATGGGCAATTTGAGCAGTAAGAAAATTCTGATTCTGATTCACTTAGTCAATTTACAAGGGAAACTCCACTCAGGATTTAAAAAACCACGCCTTTTATTCTCTGTTCATATAATTTGGCGGTCTAATTTTGCAATTTCTAAGTTCTAACCTATACTAACTTAAATACTTAGATTTCATTTATGTTATGTTAATTCATAGAAAATTTCCAAACAAAAATAAATAAATATAAACGAAAGATCGCCCCTAGTATGTTAATTCATAGATAACAACACAAAATATGGTATTAAAATTGTTATTAACCGGTATTTTCAATTCACGAGAAACATTAGTCACCTCAGGCTCTGTTTAATTATTTGATACAAACACTTAATCTGTTTAAGTATTTAGTAAATTTAACTGTGTTTAATAATAACCACTGAAAATTTTTAATGAATTAAGTGTTGAATTAATTGAATATTTATAAATTACATGTATTTAATAACAAAAATTAAAATTAAGTGAGTCTGAATGACTAGTTCAATTGTTATCCAATACATAAGAGCATCTATAATAGTTAACACTATTGTGAATATAATGTTATAAATTTTTAATATTATACTTTTTATTTAAATGTTCAGTATATTGGTTTACACTGTAAATGCATAATAAAATGAAATAGTTTTAGTATCATTACAAATTCACATTAATTATATTTTAACCACGAAAAGTGTATTATATACGGTGTAAGATTATTATCACACTTAATACAATAATAAATAGTATAATAAAGTGGTTATGTACTAATTATTTACCACCTTTGTGGATATTTTAAGTGATAACTAAAATTAAAATTAAGTGAGACTGAATAACTAATTCAATTGTTATACAATACATAAGTGATAAGTGAGTCTGAATGACTCTTGCATATCCCTTATCTTTGTTCTGGAAATGTTTTTTATTTTTATATTTTTATAATACTTATATTTTCCTAAGGTAAATTAAGTAAGAGCTCTCAAATTTTTAACTTTAAATTATGAATATAACTTGCAAACTCGACTTAAACCAATTTTTAAAAATAAATTTTGTTATATAACAAGATGTCCATATATATCGATATATATATATATACATTTATAAATTAATAGTGTTGGGACCATCAAACTTTATTAAAAAATTATTATATAATCGATAAATTAATAAATTATTAATTTAAATAATTTCTATGAGGAAAAAAGAACCCTCACTACAGATTACATAATTTGCAGTTGTATTTATATCTGAATTAATCAATATCAAAACTTTTTTGAATACTAAATATCCATAAATAATTCATATACTTTCTAGAGACTAAAAAATAAGTATCAATAGTTAATATTGTACTACATATTTGAAGTTATTATTATTTTATTATTTTTGCTTTTAAGAGCTGAATTGAAGGTATTACTAGATCAAGAGAATTTGAAGTTGAAGTTGAAGCAAAGAGGTAAATAACATTGGTATATAGAAGGAGACAGGAACACTATATATTTCCATGCACGTCCAAATAAGAGGAAGGAATTAAACCATATCTCATCACAGAAGGATCAGTAAGGCCGGGATTGTGTTGAAAAGGAGGATCTGGAAAGAATCATCACTGACTATTTGAGCTGCAGCAATATCATGAAAGTTTGCTAAACCAAAAGAAACAAAGAAAAATGAAATTTCGAAACCTTTCCACATATTGCATAAACATTTGAGAAATTATAATTTTCGCAATCAAGAACACGTTTTCTCTGTCATCGAACCATAGAGAGAAAAGATCACCCAAAAAAATATATATATAAAACCAGAAGAACCTGCAATCAAGACTGTATATTTGAGGAACCACAAATATTCACAAAATTTAACTTCAATTAATCATACATAAGGAAAAAAAAACGCAAAGCCAAGTCAAGCAATTGGAAAATCAGATACTATCAAAGAAAAGCAGAGAAATTATATGCCAATTCCCTTTTTTTACGGCGACACTGCGTGAAGGATGTTCGTACCCGAGTATTGAGAAGTTGATAACGAACTACAATCAGTAGCAACGAAGATTATTATGTCAGATCAGCAGATTACACCTCTAATTACGCTTTCCCGGATTGAAAGAATTATAAACGTCGCTTTAACGCAACAGCAATTTAAAAAGAAACTCAAATGAGATTTTTATCTTAGTCCTGTGGCTCCTCAAACTGGACCAGAAACGGGGAAAAAATGGCAATGAAATGCTTTTCGGGGTGGCAGCCGGCGGCAGTGGTCGCTTGTTGGGCGGTGGAGATAGAGTGGGACAAAAGATTCGAATACCTGAGTAGTAGTAATTACTAGTGTACTCTTATTTCGGGGGGTTTTAGAGATAACAACTACTGCTAATTGGTCCTTAAATGAGTTCCAAATACTTCATCACTCCCATGAGATTAGTATTCTATATATTTAGTACCCCTTATAAAGTGTTTTATTATTTATTCACTTTACTTGAGTCCAATTTTACCTCCAATATTTTGCTAATATATGGTGTAGTTTGTTTAACTATATTATATTACTAGATGTTAAACCCGTACGATGCTCAGAATTTATCTAAACATAATACGGTTAAATCATCGAAAAAATAAAATTGTGGCAAACACAAATAATATTAATGAGTTGTGATGGTATATATGATATCATTAAATATAAATTAATAAAAATATAAAAATATGAATTTGTGTGTAACGTCGAATTAAATATTGTGTAAATTGTGAAAAAGTTTAATCTTAGTGATGATGAGTAGAGGTCATATTAAGTTTTATAATAGTATAGAAAAGATTAAACAAATTAATAATGCACTTAAATTGTATTGATTAAATTTATGAGGACTTTATTTGTTATTAGACAAAGTTTTTTTATTTTGAACTCATAAAATAATACCACAGGATTTTTTTCTATGTGACATTTTAGGAAGGATCTACCAGTTTCTCTCTCTTATTTCTCCTTTATAATATACTATAGATAGATAATCTTAACATATAAACCAAACGGTTGTGCGTGAGTGATAGTTAGAAACATGTTATTTGTGTGATAGTTTTAAATCCTTTTTTCCAGTTTATTCTAGGCGCGTAATACTCAGTGAAAGAAAAGGAAAAAAAAAAAAACTTGAATTGAACCAAATCTCTTTGATTCTTGGCAAAATGGGAAGGATAACACAGTCTATTGAGACGATAATGTACCCACTTCATTCATTAGCAAGGAAGATTATAGCATACAAGCATATTACACTTCAAATTATACTGCTATTCAAAAGAGTATAAACGCGGCAAAAAACGGGAGCATACAAGCATATTACACTTCAAATTAGCAATCTTTTGTGTAGGAACTGGGAGGTGTGTGTTGTGCACACGACCCGGAACAGAAATCTTTGTGCTGATGAGTTGGTAAAAAACACACTCGCTGGATAGAGGATTATATTTTTTTGATGTCGCCCCTAATTTTATATGTATGCTAGTAGAGCAAGATGCAAGAAGCTCAGGAGCTTGTAATATTTTGACTCAAAGTACTAATTAATGAAGTCGTATTTAACCAAAAAAAAAGAAAGAAAGAGTATAAACGCCTCATTGGCTTGACATCTACTCAAAACGACATCAAAAGATTCAGAATCTCAAATATGGAGGTAGAATTTTGGGGAGTTTAGTGGTTGCATAAATTTTCAAATTAGTCCTTTAATAATTCAAATGCTCTTTCTCCCCTTATGTATTGGAAATTACAAGAATTGTGAATAAGGTCTTCAATGGCTTTCCGAATGTATATACTTTTTTCCATCTCTCAAGATTGGGAGGTTTATATTCATTCCCCTTTACAATTGAGTTTTATTATGTATTTTCGAAAAAAAAACTAATTAATTAATTATGCATTTTACACACCGTACGCTAAATTTTACCCACAATATTTTGTCGCAGTCAAAATAAAAGTATATTCCAACAAGGTATCCGTTATGTAGGGATGCAAAAACGGAGGGTGGGAATTCATATAATCCATGTAAAATACTCATTGTTGATTGCTCATAAAGAACGCGAAACCAAAAACTAGGGGTGGTTTGCAAATTCAAATAACCAAAGAGGGATTTCACAAACTCATAGGTTTTATTTGCAAACTAGGCTAAAGTGAGATTCTATTGGCTTGTAAAATTGCTGCATTTTTACAAACTTATAGCTCGGCTGTAATAATGGCAATTGGCGTGTAACAATGGACACCTTCATATATCACTAGAATCTACACATGTTCTAGGACTTCATAAATCACTATAATCTCCCACTATCCTATTAGAATTGGTTCATGTTAGGTAAGTATAGCCGAGCTAGCAAGGGTTAGGAATAGAATTAATATGTGTAATATCATTAAAGTTGATACGGTAGCCTGATAGATATTAGAGAAAGTTCATAACCTGGCTTATTATCTTGCCTTGTTGTACTCACTTTCAACAATCAGCACAATGTTATAATTAATGATAAAATGGAAATTTGAGCAATAGTGCAGAAGAAATCACCGTCGTTCAGGTTTATACATCAATCTTAGTTATCCGCTTAAGTTTACAAGATAGTGTCTGTTGTAAGTTCATTCTTATTTGATTTGGGAATTCGGATTTGATTAAGGGGGCTTTATTGCTGGTTTTCCCAAATGGAAGATATTTCAATTTATTGAGGCTAGTTCATTTTAGTACTCTCTCCGTTCTAAAATAACCGTGGTTTTAGCAAAATGAAAAAATTCTAAAATAAGTGTCGTTTTTTGATACCAATGCGTTTTTTGTCAAAAATTTTCAAACATACCCTCAAAAGAAATAATATTACTGATGAGCAATTATTTTAATGAGGCTAGTTGAGAGTATTCTAACAATTTAACTACCTTATTTAAATGTTTCTTAAATTGTGCGTAAATTAAGGAATGACTCTTATTTTAAAACGGAAAAAGTACACACTATCATAGTTTAATACCAAAGATCATTATTTAATAGGAGAATATTTTATCACATCGATCAAAGGGTGGGGTATCATGTCTCGTAGGCGTTCAACCGCTGAAAGCCTGAAAGTGAAATTCTTGCATGTGAACAGTAGTAATTCAAGCGAGAAAGCTATTCTGTTCGTCCTTAAATTATTGTTCAGATTGAAATTTTTCTTTTAACATAAATTCAATTAAAAGTAGAAGTTTAAACTAAATAATAATTGTGGGACAGAAAGAGTATTAATTATTGAATACATCAAAGTAAAGATAAAAGGCCGGACAAGATCATCACGTTGATCACACCAAATGCCACTAAAATTATAGCACAAAAAACGCATCTTGGAAAGTGACGAAATTGATTCATAAGAATTGTACAAGAATAGGCAGACAATCTGAAAAAGAATAGTATTCAATGTCGGGAGAACTCACACACCCCACACATTTCAGTTTCATATAGCTCAAATTGATCTGCTTTCCTCCTCATTACCATCCATTCATCTTTACTGTTGATATAATTCCATGGCGATGAAAGCAGAACTGATTTTCATCCCATGGCCATTGATGGGTCATTTGGGGCAGTTGGTTGAGTTCACAAAACTCATCATCAACTGGGCAGATACAAAAGACAAATTAACCATCAAAATCCTTATTTCCAGGCTCCCTGATTCCGTTGATCCCGTCACAAACACCTTGATTGATTCTCTAATCATCAATTCATCCGAAAATTCACCAGCCATTGAATTCATCACCCTCCCTCCCACAGATCCGGCCCCTGAATGGAGTTCCTTAAGCAGGGGCTATTTCATCCAGAAACAACTCGATTCCCAAAAGCCCCACGTCAAGAATTTCATCCAGCAACGCCTCCGGGATGATGATGATTCAACAAGAATTCTGGGTATTGTTGTTGATATGTTCTCCACTTGTATGATTGATGTGGCCGATGAATTGGGGCTTCCGAGCTACGTCTTCTTCACTTCCGGGGCGGCGTTTTTTCGCCTAATGCTCCATTTCCAAGAGCTTCAAGATGAACAAGATACGGATGTGGCTTCCAAATTCTCGAATTCCGAAACTGATTATCTGGAGTTTCCGAGCTTTGCCAACCCTGTTCCATCCTCTGTTTTGCCCATTGTTCTGACTGATGAACAGCTCTGGTTGAAGAGATTCCTTCCTTGTGCTCGAGGCTACAAAAGGGCAAAAGGGATCTTGGTTAACACGTTTTACGATCTAGAATCATACGCGCTGGATTCGCTTCTTCAACACGGGAAAACACAAAAGCTCCCACGGATTTACCCGATTGGACCTGTTCTGAACAGAGTGCCAAATGCCAAGCTTGAAGTACAATCAATGGTCATAAATTGGTTACATCAGCAGCCTAAAGATTCAGTGATTTACATCTCTTTTGGTAGCTTGGGAAGCTTGGAAACAGACCAAGTGAAAGAGCTAGCAGTTGGGCTAGAACGGAGTGGCTACAGATTCTTGTGGGTTCTCCGCCGGCCGCCGGCGAAGGACTCCGTTGTGGATTTCCCCAGCGGATATGACCAATTTTGGGATATCTTGCCGGAGGGATTCTTGGATCGGACAGAAAGTATCGGAAAAGTTGTGGGTTGGGCTCCGCAATTGAATGTTTTATCTCATCAAGCTGTGGGTGGATTCATATCGCATTGTGGCTGGAATTCGACATTGGAGAGTATCTGGTGCGGTGTTCCATTGGCAACATGGCCTTTGAATTCTGAGCAACAATTGAATGCATTTCAATTGGTAGTTGAATTGGGGTTGTCAGTGGAAATCAGTTTGGATTATTCGTCAAGGAAAGAGAATCAACGCATTATTGAAGCTCATGAAATAGAAAGAGCTGTGAGGATGGTCATGAAGAGTGATAGTGAAATAAGGAAAAAGGTTATTGAATTGAGGGATAGGAGTAGGGCTAGTGTAGATGTTGGAGGTTCTTCATATGAAGCTCTTGAAAGCTTGATTAACAACATGATGTTGCATAATAACTAAACTAAGTGTTAGACCCGTCCAATGGACGGGGAAGACATACACATATAGATATTTTTATATAAATTTTATATTTTTATAAAATATGTAATGACTTCAGTTTTAAATATGATTACCTTTAGATTTACAGAAATTTGTTTATTTTTTAAATGACATTTTAAATTCACTAGTGATAAGGTTTACGCAGATCTCTCTAAAATTTGTTAGGATTTGATACTCTCTCCAATCAATCTCTGTGTTAAAATTTGGTTCATGAAAATAAGAGTTCGGTTTTATTATTTTGTTTTTTAAAAAAATTATTTCAGTTGCTTTTTTTTTTGGGTTTTATTATTTTGTTTTGTACATTTTTAAGTCTAGGAAATTAAGAAAATACCACATAGGATTAAATCCTATGTGGCATGTGCTCCATCCTTTTAGTTTTCTCTTTCTGGTTTTTGCCTTTAGTATACTACTAGACTTATGTTTTATTGTAATAATTGAAAGTAAATATTGGTTTGGTTTTCTAAATCTATTTTGGTCTTAGGTAGTTTCGTATTCTACTTGGTATCATGTTTAGTCTCCTATTAGGATTAGGTTAGTCCCGTTGCACACTTGCATCTATAAATACACTTTCTTTTATGAGGAGAATTTTGCCTCTTTAAAAACCCTAAAGTATCTCTCTTTAGACCTATCTTTCTCCCAAGTATTGCCAATTTCTGTAACAAAAGAAAATATTAAGTTTTATCTCAGCGATCCAGGGTTTAGAAGCGGCGGCGTATATTGGCGAAGTTTTTATTTTTCTTTTTCCAATCAAAATCGCTTCTCTAGCTATTGGGGAGACGCCGAATATTTTTGAAGGATGGAGGACGAAATAATAGACCCGATTCACATTGCTGAGAAACAAAAAAAAGGAAAAGGAGGTTGCAGCAGAAGATGGTGAAAATTTGGGTAGCGCTGAAGTGGACGTGATAAATAGTTCTAATGATGAAGATGGTGGTATGGACGAAGATGTTGATGACAGTTATTACGATGATTATGATGATGAGTAGGTGTCTGATACTGATGGTGATAGTGATGATGATCATGATTCTGATTATCTGAAAATGCAAAAACAATTTGATAATGTGGATTTGCCTCCTGGAGTAGAGGCCTCAGCTAAAATCCCTGAGTTCCAGTTCCTCTTCGAATGAGGCGCCCCGAGTTGATGTTGTAACTCCTTCTACAGATGGTGGAAAAATTCATCCATCAGATAAAAAGATTGACATTGTCGCGGGTTCAAGTAGTAGTAGTTCAGTAGCAAATGTGGAATCAAGTTCAGAGATTGAAGACGAAATTTTGAGGAAGTACAGGGCTTTTAAAGCATTTGATATTGTTGAAGATTATTCTGACCATATCTACAACAACTTGGGGGTTCAAGGTGAACAGCCAGCAAAAGCTTGGACAAAGAAGGTCCAGGATGAGTGAAGGATCCTGGAAAAGGATTTACCTGATACAATCTTTGTAAGAGCTTATGAAGCAAGGATGGATCTCAGGAGGGCCGTTATCATAGGGCCACAGGGCACGCCATACCATGACGGCCTTTTTGTTTTCGATATTTACTTTCCGCCTGAGTATCCACAAGTTCCGCCAAGGGTGTACTACTACTCTAGCGGCTTGGGACTCAACCCTAACTTATATGAGAATGGAAAAGTTTGCCTGAGCCTTCTTAACACATGGACACATGGACTGGTAATGGAACTGAGAAATGGTTGCCAGGGAAATCGACTATGTTGCAAGTGCTAGTGTCGATACAAGCGCTTATCCTTAATACAAACCCGTTCTACAATGAGCCTGGTCATGAGGAGATGTCTAATAGTCCTGAAGGACTGAAGCAGAGCAACAAATACAGTGAGCATGTATTCATCATGTCACTGAAAACAATGATGTATACCTTGAGAAGGCCTTCCAAGAATTTCGAAGACCTGGTTGCTGGCCATTTTCGTGTCTATGCTCATGACATTCTCGCATCCTGCAATGCTTATGTCGGAGGTGCTCAAATAGGTTCGCTGGTGAAAGGAAAACCACAGGAAAGCAAAATGGTTACAAAAATATCACCATCGCCGACCTTCAAAGCCGATGTTGCTAAAATGGTCAATGGACTCATTTCAAACTTTACTAGATACGGTGCAAAGGATTGCGAAAAGTATCGCTCCTTGCAGTGACTGTTTCAGTTGATGATCCTCTCTTTCAACAAGTCTGTTAGATATGAAGCCAGACGTCCAGGGCTCAGTTACTGCTTTTGAATAGGGGATTTAGTTAGGACCTAAGGTTTGCTTCTGATTGAAAGAATTTTGGCCATGCATAATCTTGTTTTCCTCTTTTCTTTTTCCTTTTCCCTGCAGTTGTATGATAAATCTATTGTTGATTTCCAGAAAAAACAAATTAGCACCAAAACATACCGTTGTTCTTTTATAGAAAGAATGAATGCTGCATTTCAGAAGCTGAAATTTGTGACAGATATGGGTTTGTTGAATCTAAACACTCTTTTCTGGTACCAAGAACCTAAACACTTCACCAAACCTTTTTATTCTCTGCTCTCTTTCTCTTGAGAATGGCTGAGGCTATGAATGTGTTTTTGCACTCCTTGTGCCTCTCTGCATCAATGTATTCTAACAGGAAAACTCTCTTGTAATACTTTCCATCAAATTCAGCTGGAATCCTTCCCATTCCAGTCCTTGCTTTTTGGTATCTTTGAACCTGTCAAGTATGATATTCCGGGTCAACTATAGGACCTGAAATAGGCAAACTGAAATACATGAGATCAATCGACTTTATAATCGTCTTTTTGGTTCGATTCCCTCCTGAAATACAAAACTGTACTGTAAACAACTTCAGTGCAGAAGCCTAGAGCATTGGGAACTTGCACAAGGCGCAAAACATAGCCTTGCAGTAAGTGTTTACTGCTCCCTCCGTCCCATAATTATTGTCCAGTTTTACTAAAATGAAAGATTTTATTTTTAGTCAAACTTAACTATATTTTACCTTAAACAACCAGATATACCCCTACATAAGTAATTGTTTAACCACAAAAATTTTATGGATAATATTTTTTACTAAGGACATATGTGTAACTTGATCCATAAAAAGTCAAATTGGACAATAATTTTGGGACAAAATTTTTTGTGCAAAGTGGACAATAATTATGGGACGGAGGGAGTACTATATTATGAAAATAGTCAAACCAAATCCAACGACTTTACAAGGTAGTCTTTCTCTAGGCTTCTGCAATATTGTGAAATGTTGATTGTTGCCAATTCAAAAACAAAAAGAAAAAACAAGAAAACAAAAAGGAAAAATGGAAACTGGAATTTTTGCAACCCTTAAGCATAGTGAATGAATACATATGAAAAGCTGTCAAGAACAGATTTTTCTATTTGACTGTGAACATCAGAGAAAAGACAAAAAGAAGGATTTTCAAGGACCTGCAATCAAGACTACAATTTTAAGACACCATCATTCATAATTACACTGGATTCAAACTTCAATTGATTCAATCCAAGTCAAATGCATGAATTTGTACAATAACTCAAGTACTCAAGCATGTAGGCAAATCATACGTTAAAAGCGAAAGAGGGGGCAAGCTGATCACGTTAATTACGTAAATACTAGCAAAAATACAGTTTCACAGAATAGATGCACCTTTTTAAATGACGAAATTTAGAACTATACAAGAATATGCAAGCAAGCTGCGAAAGAATAATAGTTTTTGGTACATGACAATTTTTTCCCATCTTATCAAACTCAGATTACCCCTGTTAGTTTTAGATCTAAAAAATGAAAAGCTGCTAACCATCATCATCCTCGGTGTCGGTTTTCCATGGCGATGAAACCAGAATTGATTTTTATCCATGGCCATCCTAATGATCAGTCATTTGGGAAAGTTGCAAAACTTTTCACAACCACGTCGCCGCACATGACAATTTTTTGATTTTTTCCATTGAGATTCTGATTTCCGGGCTCCCTGAATCCATTGATCCCGTCACAAATACATTCATTGATTCTTCACCAGAATGAAGGATTAAAGCAAAACCAACAGACCCCTTAGGGAGGCAGATTGACCAAAAAAAGAGAGGTTGTTCATACGAAGCTCTTGGAAGCTTGACTAACAACAAAAATGATGTTGCGTAATTAATAAAATTGTATCGTTTACACTCGCGATTTATTTTATTGTTCTTTTTCTTTTTTTTTCTTTCCAAACATGAAACTTCTTCAGTTAAGTTGTAGTGTATCATTAACCGAAGTCTTTAACTTTGTTTTTCTAATTACGACAAAACATAGTATAATCAAAAAGAAGGTAATGTAATAGTTTGAGTTATCCAGATTTTTAGCGTATTCTTATGTAACAAAAAAAAAGAAAAAGAAAAAAAGGTAACTCAGCCAAATGCCTACACTTCATCATACATACAGAGTACAGACCGCCCAACTATAGCCTTTCTTTTAAAAAAAAAAAAAAACAATTATCAATGTTAAAAAACCATCCTCTTTTTACATGCCAAGGACACTCATTTTCAAATTAAACCAAAATACACCAAACTGGAACCAAATTAACCCGTGAATCATCACACCACCACCAATATTACATTTTATTTTCAAACACGTCCAAGCTTATTAGTAATCCAAACAATCCGCCGCCTTGATTCTGCAGATAAAACACATTCTCGCAAATATGATGCCCTACTCATTCTCCCAGACTTGCCGAAATCCTGATATTCTTTCTTCAATTGCAGCTTGGACAGAATGCCTTTCATTCTATCCATTGTCGTGGATTCCAGATCGCCACTGGCTCTCACAAAATGATGATGTTTATGGTGGAAGGACTGGGACGAGAAGTCAGACCTGGAACCAACTTTCTTTGCCATTGCAGAAGTACCAAACCCCCGGCGGCCTCGCACAAAATGATGCGTATGATATAATCGAAGCGAAAAGCTGGGTTCAATGCGGAAGTTCATATTTTCTAGTAATTTTATCTTGTTCATATCAACCAAAGCGATGAGGCTGGCGTTAGCGTAGACTCATTATTACCTATTGCCTTGCAAGATGCACTGTGGTAAGAATCCTCCCAAGGACTCAAATGATAACCACTTGAATAGCTATCGTTTTTCTCATCTAAGATTTCAAACTCTGCATCAAACCCTGCTTCCTTCAAGATCCAACAAACTTCTCTAACATCATCAGGCTCTGAATCTCCTTCACTGCAGTGTAAGTAAGCTTCAATTTTATCTCCGACTCTGTCGAATATTTCAAGCAACAATAGTACGGCTTCCATCTCCATCTTCTTCTTTTGGGCCTCAAACACCAACTTGCCTTTGTCAAAGTCGCAAGTGGACCTAAAAATGAAAATTTTCAGAGCTGCAATCTCTTGGAGAACAAAGTCTCGAGTTTTAGAGCCTCCTTCCAAACAAGGCGTAACCCTATCGCGAGCAAACATCAACAAGGCAGTCAACTCGAGCAGTTTTCCTTCTTTCAGGTACTTGAGTAATTCTTGTTCGATTTCAACAGTTTTGGAAGCCAGCAATCTCACAGCTTCAGCGTCCTTTCTGCGAAATGGAGAACAAAGATGGAAATCAACTTGCACAAACGCCGCTCGGGTTCCTCCGGACTAGGTTCAGATATCCATTCTGAGGATTCCTTGGATTGCCGATCGCGCCATCCCTCGATTTCAAACCATAAACGTCGAAGAGCTAAATTCAGGGGAAGCAACCCTTTCAAACCATCATCATCAACATCAATTCCAAGGTTCACCTGAACCTCATTTGGAGGCAGACAGAATTCGGTTATCTTAGTGGCTCCATAACGAGCAGCAGAATGCAATATGGGACCAGAATTGACATCGATTTCGAACAATCCAGCGGTTTCTCCATTCAGCACGGCTTCCAAACAGTGTACAGAATCATTACAAAGTATCCAATCCAAAGGATTCAAGATATCAAATTCTTCCCGGGTAAGGTCGTTCAACAAGCACACAAACACATCCTTTCTATCGTATACCAAGGCATCATACAACTCTTCTTCGAAATCCGTATCCGAATTGAGGGATGAATCAAACCACCTCATATCCATTTCCCCCCAAATTAGGGTTTTCACTTCGCCTCCTCTTTCCAAGTGAAAAGGGCAACAAACGTTAATATTCTCTGGTACATACATGGTGGTGGGCTGGGATTAGCAGGTGCTGGACTACTGAAACTGCAAATTTTTTTTTCTTTTTTAATTACTCCCTCCGGTCCTTAATATAAGACATTTTCAATTGTTTTTAGGTTTAACCTAATACGTATTTTTAATTGAAAAAAAACTTTAAAAACATTTCATAACAATTTTTTCATCGATTAAAAATGTGCATTAGAAGAAACTTAGGACAAAATCAAAATGTCTTAACCGGAAGGAATATTTATTAAACCTTTAAAGAAAATACCAAATCTTTCGTTTCTTCAGAGAGTAAACGAGATTTTTGCCGGGTTAATCCCTCAACCCATTCTTCTTTGTGGTGGCGCTACCACCATCACCGCCGCTCTTAACATCCTCTGGTCCGGCAGAAACAGGGGGCTGTTAAAAACCAAGAAGACTTAACCGGTATAAACATGAAACACGACAATTCTTATGTGACAGACGAACTCTTTCCGAAATCAAAGGTGCACAGAGAAAAACAAAAAAAAAAAACATTCAATTACAAAGTAAAGTCTAAAGAAATGAATTTCGCCCCTTTTTGAAACAAAAAAGAAATGGCGGGTATTGCCCAATCTTATTGATTAATAAGAAAGATAACCAAACCATCTAGTTACAAGGACTTTGTATTTAAGATGAGAAGAAAAAAAACTACTCCTTCCGTCCAAAAATTATAATCCAGTTTTGATTTTCGTTTTCAGTTTAAATTAGATAATAATTTTGGGAGAGAATGAGTACAATAAAAATGTTACTTTTTTAAACTCTATCTAATGGCTCAACTGAATTAGATCGAGTTTGACCCCTCCTATGACTCCTCATTATCATCATTTTATACTTGCACCAACCACCAAATATGTCAGAAGGCAACATCAACACTAAGAACCCAACCGCAGACCCCAGAGTGGAGTAGAACAAACTATTCAGATGTTCTTTGCTGATGAATTTGCCGTCTAAATGGGCACCGCCGTAATACACCAAAACCGGTAAGCCCGTGTAAATGAGTAACATGACGATCCCTTCGCCAACAAACTCCGCCATCTTCCGTCGATTACGTCTCTTCATCTCTGGTTCTTCATCGGTATTTCCGCTCCTCTGATCCTCCTCCGGCGCTGCCGCGGGCGGCGCCGCAACCAGAATTATAACGTATACCGGAAGACACCAACCAAGGATGGTGGAAACTGCCAATTTCGTCACGGAAAACACCTTCATCACCGCCACAGTCTCAAATCCCCAGACGCCGTAGAAGATATTGCTCGCAATCTGGTATCGGTTCCTCTGTTCTTTATCTGTATACTCGTCATACTGGGTTATACCCAAGCCTCCGGCGTAATATATCATCAGAGGCGGCAAAATACAGAAGCCTATAGCAATTAGGCTGAGTAGCAGAGTTATTACAATCCCCCATAGCTTCCGGCGACCCACTGACAGGAATTCCTGCAATTCCTTCCTGACTTCTCTCAGACTATGATACCTCGCCGTCGCCATTATTATTAGCCTCTTTGTTTCTTAATGATGATGATGATGAAGAATTTAGGTTTAGGACGCTCAAAAACAATCCCTCGATGCACGGGTATTTATTGACGGACAAACCCCAAATTCCGATTTTGGTAATTTTCTGACTTTCCTAAACCCTGACTAACAAAATTACTCCTTCGTCTCCGTCCCATAATTATTGTCCAGTTTGAGTTTTCATTTTTAACACTCTTTTAATGTACTCCCTCTGGTCCTTTTTAGCGTGTATATAATCTCAGTTTTGTGAACACAGCTGGCCACTAATGCTGTTTTATTTTTGGCAAATTCAATTGGTACGTAGTTGAACTTCCTTTCTTCCTCTGATCTCATGCATATTGTAAACTAATTTGGAATGAAGTAAATGAATCGTTGTCTCCCTCCATCCCAATTTTAGCGATATTTTTGTATTGTTTTAGTTCAACAAAGTGGGCTATTAAAATGTGATGGATGAAGTATGTTGTTTAGTTTATTTAATAAATAATTACAGCATTTTCTCCCTGCCCTTTGTGGGGGTACAAACTTTAGCTGCTAGGCTGCTACTACCACCAAGTTAGTGTTTAGATGAGTTGTATTACCACTTTGTTTTAAGAGTAAAACAAGAAAACCAATTCTTAATTCGGTGATGGCATGAGATAATGAAAATATTCCATAAGTGCTTAGATTGTTGTGCGACTCAATCGCCCTAATAAACAATAGTATTAGTTAATATTAAAAAGTCATGCCGGATGAAATTTGCAGGAAAAGATTCCTTTATTCTTTTATAGAAAGAATGAATACTGATTCTTTTAGTTAATTCGTGATCAGGGATGCTGATCATTTTGCTAGACAGTGGGGTTGCGGAATGAATCTAAACACTGTCGCCTTTCTGTGTTGTTATCTTTCTCCACAGAATTAATGGCTGTGGTTATGAATGTGTTTTTGCATTTCTTGTGTTTCTCTGCATCATTGTATTCTGTAACTGGCTTGAATTCTGATGGGAAAACTCTCTTGTCCATGCTGAAGCATTGGACTGTTACACCCCTTTCCATCAAATTCAGCTGGAATGCTGCTCATTCCAGTCCTTGTTCATGGGCTGGAGTGAAATGCGACAACCGCATTGATGCTCAGTTTGTGGTTGCTTTGAACCTGTCCAGTTTTGATATTTCAGGCTGGTTAGGACCTGAAATTGCTAACTTGAAGCATTTGAAATCAATTGACTTGAGCTATAATCGCCTTTTTGGTTCGATTCCTCCTGAACTAGGTAACTGTACTCTACTTGAAGATTTAGATTTATCAGACAACAACCTCACAGGAGGAATACCTCAGAGCATAGGCAACTTGCACAACTTGCAGTCCTTAACCTTAGGGCAGAATTCACTTGGTGGTACCATACCGGAATCCTTGTTTACAATCCCTCATCTCCAAACTGTTTCCCTCTCCGGGAATAGACTTACTGGAAGCATACCATCAAATATTGGAAACATGAGTCTGCGCTTGTGCTTCTGTATTTATACGACAATCAGTTGTCAGGCACCATTCCTCCCTCCATATGGAATAGCACTTCCATAGAATATCTTTGTCTGAATTTGAACCACTTGGTTGGATCACTTCCCCGGAGTTTGGAGAATCTTGAGGAATTAGTTTACTTGGATGTCAGCAACAACTTGTTGGAGGGCAATCTTCCTTCTGTTTTAGGAAACTGCAAAAAGATGGACACTTTTGTTTTCTCGGAAAACCTATTCAGTGGAAATCTTCCATCTGTTTTTGGTAATTGCAGCAGCCTAACAGCATTTGCTGCGTCAGATTGTTCCTTAAGTGGCCCTATTCCTTCCACTTTTGGCCAACTTAAGAATCTCAAACTTCTTTACCTTCGCACTAACAATTTGTCAGGAAATATTCCACCAGAACTGGGAGGCTGCAAGTCCTTAGTTGAGCTAAGATTGTATGAAAACCAACTTGAAGGTGAAATCCCGGTTGAGCTTGGGAAGCTAAGCGATTTGGAGGACCTGTATCTCTTTACTAATCGTTTGACAGGCAAGATCCCAACGAGTATATGGAAGATTCCTGGCCTTCGGAATGTTCTTTTGTATCAAAATCATTTTTCTGGTGAGCTTCCCGAAGAAATCACAGAAATGAAGCTGTTAAGGTACTTATTGCTGTACAGCAACAAGTTCTCGGGAGTCATTCCACAAGGCTTGGGTATCAACAGCAGTTTAGAGATAGTGGATGTTTCTGATAATCAATTCACAGGAAATCTTCCACCAGATCTTTGCTTTGGAAATCAGTTGAGGGTCCTGTACTTGGGACTGAACAATATTCAAGGTAGCATTCCTCCTGGTGTCTGGAGGTGTTCTAGTTTGAAAAGATTGATCCTGAAACAGAATCAACTCACAGGTACCATTCCAAACGTGCTTGACGATTTCAATATTGAGATAATGGATATTAGTGGCAATAACTTCATAGGAGCAATACCTTCAAGTTTGGGGAACCTTTTGAATATTAGCTTCCTTCACTTGTCAATGAATAAATTCTCAGGGCCGTTGCCTTCTTCTCTCTGCAAATTGGAGAAGTTGGAGTATCTTCTTTTGTCTGACAACGACCTCACCAGCACGATTCCCGTCTGTCTTATGAACATGAGTAAACTCGCCGTGTTGGACTTGGGAAAAAACAGCTTCCGTGGGATGATTCCAACAAGATTCTCAAAGGGCAATCGTGGTTTGAAGAGCCTTGGTCTAAATGGAAACCGGTTAGAAGGGCCTTTGCCGAAATCTCTGCTCAACTGTGGAAGCTTGGAAATACTTGATGTAGGTCAAAATGATATAAGGGACACATTTCCTGCGTGGCTCGGAAGTCTCCCAGAGCTTAGTGTTGTCATACTAAAAAGGAATCATTTCTATGGTACAATCAGCATTGCTTCAAATGCACCATTCCAAAAGCTGCGAATATTGGACATATCTCACAATCATTTCAATGGCTTCTTGCCAGCTGAAATGATTGATAGTTTCCAAGCCATGAAGAAGAATGACAGCCAAATACAGCGCGTAGTAAACACAAGTGACATTCCGTACTATGAATACTCTGTGACTTTAGCTATGAAGGGGCATGAGTTTGAGGTAAGGCGTGTCTTAAAAATTCTTACAGCCATTGATTTGTCTGGGAACCAATTTGAAGGAAGCATTCCACAATCAATCGGAGAGCTGAATTCACTCAAGATACTTAATTTTTCACATAACCGATTTGGTGGTTTGATCCCATCAGCCATTGGGAACTTGTTTGCGCTGGAGTCCTTAGACCTTTCCTGGAATCAACTTGGGGGTAGTATTCCAGCTGAACTAGCAAACCTGAATTTTCTCTCATTCTTGAATCTTTCTCAGAATCGGTTCGTGGGACGCATCCCTACAGGCGGGCAATTCAATACATTTACCATAGATTCCTACAGTCGGAATCCAGGACTATATGGATTCCCAGTTGGTGGTTGTGGACTCCAAACACAATCATCTCCGTCTGAGGTATGGTCACCAAACAGATGATGGGATCACAATGGAATCATTGCTCTTGGGATTTGTCTGTGGATTGATTCTCGGATTGTTAACGGCCAGTCTAATGTTCTACACTCATAAACCAAGATGGTTTCATGAAATTATTGAAGTGTTAGAGATATGTGTTAGCAGCCGAAAACAGAAAAAGAATTGAGGCCAATCAGTTACCTTAAAAGTAGCATGATCACCAGTGTCCCGCTTTGGTTTTTGCTGTTACCTTAAAAGTAGCATGATCACCAGTATCTTTGCCTGAAAAGTGCAGAAATGACCAAATCTGAGGCATCTACAAGTGCAGATAACATACATTAATAGAGATGTATAACACTGGTCTCATCGGATCTTGGAAGAAAACTGTGCCGAATGTAAAAATCTCGATTTTGTCATGAGATTGTATGAAATTATTCTGTAAAAATTGCAAGACTTGTTTATTCGTGTTCCAGTGTTTCCAGTGTTCTTGCTTTTTACAAGGACAGATCACCAGGTCACTCAAGTCAGAGTTTGCAAGTCTTCTTTTAGAATAAAAAACAATTCAAAAACCTGAAAGGCTGAAAGTTACATTAGCGTTGAACAAATATACAAGACATAAAGGCAATTACTCCAAATAGTGGATGCCAATTGCCGATGCAAACTGAAAAGCAAAAATGAAATTGGATAGCAGAAATAGTCAAGTGCCTGGTGTTTCAGTTCTATTCGCCACTACTGCACTACTCAAAAGAACATATTTTAATTTACAAGAGCTGATGTAATAATAACATCAGCCATGGAGAGCTACTCAAAGTCTAAGCAGATTCTTCATCAAAATGAAGACTCAAAGTGAAAAGCTAAACACCTCTGGGCTCTTGCCAAAGCAGATTACCACATTATCAAATCTTCATTTTGGAAACTTCTTCTACCAAATATTTGGATTCAGCTGCATAATCAACGGGCGCAACACCTCTGACCGTTATTCTCTGCCTTCTCTCGTTGTTGTACTCATGTGGAGTGACACTAACACGGAAAAGGTGAGGAACCCATGTAGCTTCCTTCAACTTCATTTGGTAACTACTGTCACCTTCCTGTCATTCATGACGAGCACCAACTTATTAAAAATAATGCACTATTACTACCAGCTGGTGAAGAGTTTAATAAACAGCAAATGTGCCTTAGCATCCACTGTAAAGCATGATAAACGTTGTAGGAAGGAATGACATGGATCTCTGATTCTCACCTCAAGTTTCAGCTTATTAAGCTCATCTGCAGAGTAACCAAGTATTTTTTCGGCTTCATCATTGAAAACGGAGAGCCAACCTTCACCACTAGCATCCGATACTTTTAGAACCATAATGTACCTGGAATTGGGATAAAAACAAGCCAATCTTAAAACCTGTATCATATTAATCTAGCAAATAGATCTATAGTTTGCACATAGTCTGAAATCAAACCTCAAACTGCATTCTGTATCATTCTTCTGACATCCTTCACACCAGTATCCAGATCCAATAGCTTCCGTGACTTTCTTATTACACGTCTTGCATGCCCGATACCACATTGTCTGATCAGCCTTGATGTAACTCACGTAAGCCCTTAAGCTGAAAAGGGCAGGCTGTCCAAGAGAAATGTTGATATGAGAACAACATTATTTTGTCTCCATAAATTGGCACAGGAGAAATTAAAAAATTTTATTGAAGGCAATTGTACCTTATCTTCTCCCAAGGAAGGATTGCTGATAATATGAGAAAGGAACACTCTGTCAGAATACATAGATCGTCCTCCACCTTTGGTATTAGGACTTAAGCCAGCACCAACAGAGGCTAAAGCAGTATCTTTCCCTTCAGAGTCAAACCTGCACAGATAACATGTAACTTTAGGAAGGACTTCACAGATTTGAAGAGGCTAATGATGCAGTGGCCAATTGCTTACCAATTTCTTAGCTTCTTTGCTTCAGGAACATCCGGATTCACCGAGAGGATGCTTTTGCTTATTGCAGATAAAGATAAACCTAAGAAATGGAGGGAAAAGTATTAGCATAAGCCATGATGTCATATATATAGTATAGGAACTCAAGTAAAAGTCACAAACTGTAGCTTAGTTACCTTGAAAGTCTCCAACCCGTAAGCTTTTGATTGCAACAACTGGTGATTTATCAGCCATATCCAGTAACTCTTGTCCAACAGTGGTAGCCAAATCATTCCAAAGAGACACCACAACAGTCTTCTTCCTAAAATAAGAACAAATTTGTTTACTGGGAAAAAGAACAGAAATCCATGATATATGATAGTAACAACACAATAAATTTGCAATCAGGATGCTGAGGTCAGGCTTACGTTTCATCTGCAATTGTTATGTCACGCTTAGGAATGGTTTCGTTGTCACTTTTTCTTCTTATGCTTACTGTGGGAGATACACTTTGGACGACGCCAATTACATCTTCAAAGGAAAATTACAGGTCAACTATTGTTCTGGAAAAGGAATTAGAATCCAAATAGGTAAAATGTGCTTACCAACAAGTTCCCTCCCATTGACATAGGGACCCAATTCATCAATTGGGACAAAGTTGAATTTTGTTTCGGGGACAAATGCAGCTTCAGAGCTCACCTCCTCAACTTCTGAATTTTCATTCAATGTCATTTCATAATCGTTTTTTACAGTGCTGAACTGTTTGTTAGCAACTTTAAGGCTTCCTTTTGATATGTAATAGACCTTCCCCAACTCAAATTTTTCATAGAACTTTCTAGCAGCCTCATTGAACATTGTAGCTTGTATTTGTGTACCCTGAAAAGCAGTCATCAAAAAATAAGCCAAATCGACAAAGAATAGGAAGTTACATCAAACAATACATAAAGTATGCAACAAAAAAGCTATACTTACATCTTCATCTGTTAACTCAACATTGAAGACACAGCCTTCCCCTCGGGCATTCTTGTATGTACGCATGTTTCCTTTCGAAGTTACACGAACCTTTATGGTCCACATTCCTTGATAGGGATTTAATGATAGAAGTGGGTAAATTCTGCGGTTCATTCCCATTCGAGCAGGTGCCATACTGTTATTCATCAATAACTAACACTGTTAGCCCTTATGTAACAACTCCATGAATCAAATGTAACACTCCTAGTGAAGCAAAAGTTTTTTACCAGTTCAAACTATCATTAATAAACACAATTATGGAATATACAATGAACTTCCAATACAACCAAATTTCCAAGAAAGAATGCTTACTTTCTAGTCTGTTCATGCACAATCTGTGCAGCTGATTTAGCCACAATTTCTGGCTTAGGCTTCAAAACTATCCCCGGTCCTCCACTTTCAACATTCACCTTAGCCATCAATTCCTCCTTTGGTTTCAACAGAATTCCAGTCTCAACAGTATTACCATCAGCCTTGTATTCAGCATCAAGTGCCGGAGAGACTGCCTCACATTTAGTCACAATCAAGTACCTAGAGTAAGCAACATAAATCAACCCTAATCAAAATCTGAAACAACAAATAAAAAAGGAGTGGCAGTACAAAAGATTTAAGATGCCATTACACAAGGATGGTTGCAATACTCACTTCTCATTCTTGGTTGGGATGTCATTGAGAGTATAATCAAGAATCCGGATAAGGCCTAGATTCTGAATGTTTCCAGATATGACTTCAGATGACAAACCAGATTGCAGCATTGCCTTGAGTTTCATCTTCCCATCACTGGCTGTGAACCTACAAATCCAAACATGACAAAATGGCTTAGAGCACCTTAACCAAACAAAATTTTTTGTAAAGACACGTGAAGCATAAATGTACTAACGTTTATGAAACCTTAGCCAAACCAAAGTTTTAAATTTTTGTAATGAAGAAAGCATTTACTTGAAAGAAAAAACATTTAATAACACAAAAAAGAGTAACACACAACCAAAGCCCAAATAACAAGTGAAATCCACAAGACAAAGCATAACATATGAAAACTAACAAAGAATAACGAAAACGCGTTCCTAATAGAAAACCAACAAAACTGAATGAAACTTTTCTTAATAATAATCTCCCCCCAAACACCCCAAACCCAAAAAAAAGAAAAAGAAAGGAAAAAATAGTAAAAAACAAATATTTGAATCAGGACTGATCAATTAGATGCCAGCAACCAAATATCAAACAGAATTTGTTCTGCTTAGTACAATAAACTACAAACAATAACTAATCAAAAATCAGGTTAAATTGTATTTCAACAGCGGCAAAAAGGAAGAAAGAAGGGAAGGAAGAAAGAAAGAAAGGTTTACATGTATCTGTTGCCGGTGGGCTTGAGATCCAGAATCTGAACAACGATCTCAGGAAGATCCGAAGAGGAATCCGGTGATGGGTTTGCTAATATGACCGAAACCGCATCCGGGCTCACACTTTTCGCCATTTTTAATCTAATATCAAGCAAATTCGGATGCAAAAAAGACTCAAACCTAAACCCCGCTATCTATTTACCCCTTTCGTTATACCTTTAACTCCGAGAGAGAAATATAAGATCTGATGATGAGGGGAAGAAGATGATGAGAAAATGAGGCCGCTTGTAACTCTTTGTATTGGTATTTGAGTTGGGAAATTTGGGGGGAAGGGTTCGAATTGGCGCCCAGATTTTGGTGGGATGTTTTTCCCAAAATTCATTTTTTGACTTTTTCGCAGCTTTGGTTTTCGGCGGGAGAATTAGAATTTGGTGGAGTTTGGCGGTAAACATGAAAAGCGTGGCATGAGTACGTCTTTTCAGGATTTAAAAAACCACGCCTTTATTCTCTGTTCATGTAATTTGGCGGTCTAATTTTGCAATTTCTAAGTTCTAAGTTCTAACCTATACTAACTTAAATACTTTATTTCATTTATGTTATGTTAATTCGTAGAAAATTTCCAAACAAAAATAAATAAATATAAACGAAAGATCGCCCCTAGTATGTTAATTCATAGATAACACAAAATATGGTATTAAAATTATTATTAACCGATATTTCCAATTTCACGAGAAACATTAGTCACCTCAGGCTCTGTTTAATTATTTGATACAAACACTTAATCTGTTTAAGTATTTAGTAAAGTTAACTGTGTTTAATAATAACCACTGAAAATTTTTAATGAATTAAGTGTTGAATTAATTGAATATTTATAAATTACATGTATTTGGTAACACTATGGTGAGTATAATGTTATAAATTTTTAATGTTATACTTTTTATTTAAATGTTCAGTACTTTAGTTTACACGGTAAATACATAATAAAATGAAATAGTTTTAGTATCATTACAAATTCACATTAATTATATTTTAACCACGAAAAGTGCATTATATAGGGTGCAAGATTATTATCACACTTAACACAATAATAGATAGTATAATAAAGTAGTTATGTACTAATTATTTATCACATTTGTGGATATTCTAAGTGACAACTAAAATTAAAATTAAGTGAGACTGAATGACTAATTCAATTGTTATACAATACATAAGTGATAAGTGAGTCTGAATGACTCTTTTGCATTTTTTTCCCCTTATCTTTTGTTATGGAAATGTTTTTTTATTTTTATATTTTTATAATACTTATATTTTCCTAGGGTAAAATAATTAAGAGCTCTCAAATTTTTAACTTTAAATTATGAATATAAAACAACTTCAAACTTGCAAACTTGACTTAAACCAATTTTTAAAAATAAATTTTGTTATATAACAAGATGTCCATATACATCGATATATATATATATATACATGTTTATAAATTAATAGCGTTTGGGACCACTAAACAAAATAATTCATATGCTTTCTAGAGACTAAAAAATAAGTATCAATAGTTAATATTGTACTACATTTTTGAAGTTATTATTATTATTATTTTATTTTATTTTACTTTTAAGAGCTGAATTGGGGCTATTACTAGATCAAGAGGATTTGAAGTTGAAGCAAAGGGGTAAATAACATTGGTATAGAGAAGGAGACATGAACACTATATATTTCCATGCAAATGCAAATAAGAGGAAGGAATTAAACCATACCTCATCACAAAAGGATCAGTAAGGCCGGGATTGTGTTAAAAAGGAGGATTTGGAAAGAATCATCACTGACTATTTTCGAGAATTATTCAGTTCCTATAATCCTTCAAGGACATATATACAACAAGCACTGAGTAGAATTCGACCTAACACGTCTCCTTTCTAGTAACGAATCTTTTTTTGAAATCCCCCTCAAAAATAAAATAAAATAAAATAAAAAATGGTAGTGATAAAATAAGGATAAGAAAAAGTAGTCACCTGTTTCTTGATTTTGACTAAATTGACAAATATCGAAATTCTAAATAAATGATCGAATTGAATAAATGACGAGTTTTTGTGGCCAAAACCACGAAAAAAGCTCAAATGAAAACATTTCATCCATCCAAAATGATTGTCACACTTGTTGTTATATAATAATGACAAAAATTTTATGAGGGATGAAATGTTTCTTAAGCACGTGCACGAATTCTAGATCAACACCTTGTACAATTTGCTAAAAGAGGAAGATAAAATTTCCACACCAAAAGAAGAAAGATTGTATTTACACCAAATGTTTATGTAGATATACAACATGCTTGAAATCAACTGCTGACATAATCTACATCTACAACTGAAAGTTTCCCTAAAAATGCATCTAAATTACTGTCATCTAACGAACAAAAACTCTGCATTCCTTCTATTCATCAGCTATTTATAATCCATTTTTTTTTAAAAAAGCTATTTATAACCTTCTTCCGTTGCCTCATGAAGCAACAGTTTATATGTTGCAGCATTTATTTTCCCTCTAAGGATAATTATGTTTTCTTTTCTTAATGACCGAATGCGCAACATGGCATACAAGAAATCCATTTAAGTCGAAATCCAAAATGAGCTCCCACCGGATTCTTTTTCTCTGCCTGCTCTTGCTGTTGATCCAATGGCTGTGATGATGGTGGCTCCGTCTTTGGCGATGACACTTTCTGCTTCCCTTTGGAAGAGCCATCACCGCTCATTACTGGTTGCCCTCTTTCGCCATCTGTCAATCTTTTTTTTTTTTTTTTCCAGTTTTGCATAAAGAGAACAAAGAAATCAGCAAACTTTGCAATCCAATCTCTTATATGGATTATGGAGTAAGGGAAATAAACTGATATTCTACAGCATTCTCATTATGAATGTACTCATGAATCTCAGTGTCATTTAGTTGCTTTTTTTTTTTCTTTCAGAATTTGCAGACAAGAATTACGAGTTTCTATCTTCAGGCTTCAGCTATAAATACATTGCATCCACAGACAGAAAAGGAGAAAGGGCATGCAACTTTTAGATAAAAAAAAACAACCACTAAGCCTTTAATCCAGCATATGACCTTGGCAATATATGGATCATATGTCATAATCTTCCGCTGTCAAAACATTATTCTTCTTCAAAACCCTAATAAATCATGTCAGTCTAGAAAGAAAACGTTAGATATAAATCAGCCAAACCTCCATTCATCGTGATCAAGCATTGGGTTATATTAAAACAGCAGACACACAGTATTTTGTGGACTTTAAGTTCTAAAATCAGCAAAACGAAAAGCTTACATTGGAAATGCAAAAGATTTGTTGCTGGCTGCACTTTCTGCTGGATGATGTGATATTTGTTCCTCGGAAACTGAGTTCTTCTTATTGCCATTTTCATTTTCCTTCGAAACTGACTTCATTGTCTCAACAGAAGCCTCGGCTCTTTCCTTTTCCTGGATTTTCCCGTTTGTTGCTTTATTTCCTGGAACCTGATTTGCTGAGTGATTAAACATATGACCTGGTCCTCCTGCCATCGAAGATGATTCTACTGGCATTCCCAAATCCTGATCTGTTTTCATGAACATCTGATCCCCCGTGAAACTCATATTTCCCATTTGAATGCTGAACAGTGACTCATTAGAAGCCATACTCCAATCCACAGGGTTATTGGACTTAGTTCTAGCAAACACATGTGAAGGTATCCTATACTTAGACTTGTTAGGGGGGCGCTCCATAACTTGTGTGGGAGGTTTACTCATTGTTGATATGTCGCTAACTGTGTTAGATTCGGAACCATGATTTGTGACTGTTGATGCTTGTACCGAAACAGGCAATTCCTTTTGTGAGGGTGAATCCCTTGAAACAGGATCGTCGTGTTGCTTATCTAGTCCTGCACCTTTATGATCCAGTTCAGGAGGATCATCATGTGAAGAGTCTGATGAAGAAGAACTCGTGGAGGAGGACCGCGATAGTTTGGATGGAACTTCAACATCAACCTGATCAATGCCAGAGGAATGCTTCAAATTCATAGTGTTTTCATTACCATTCTTACATGAATCATTGGATAGACGGTCTTTTGGTGGGCTTGATATGCTTTCTTGAGCTTCATTATCGACTCCATCAATTATAGGGGAGGAAGATTGCACTATCAGCTTATTACCCTCTTTAAATGGGGAGTCTGGTGAAGAACTACTGGCAGAGGAAGACCTTGATGTTTTACTTAAAGCTTGAACAATGATTCCTTTATCACTAGGGGAAGATTGCAGCATCAAATTCCTAGTTTCCTCATTTTCATCCTTCATGAAGTCATCCATTGGAGAGTCTTTTGAAGGCCTTGATGTATTGCTTTGAACTTCAGTATCAACTTTCTTCATATTAGGGGAAGAGCACACTGACAACATCTCAATGTTCGAGTTCCTATGCGAATCACTCAATGGGGAGCGTGGTGAAGAACGACAGCTGGAGGACCTTGATGTTTTCCTTAAATCTTGAAATTCAGCCTCATTTTTATTAGGTGTAGATTGCACTGTGGAGTTTCCAGTACTACAATCTCTAATTTCCTCATCACTTTTTCCATAGGGACCAGACTTCAGTGGAGATTTTGGTGAGGAAGAAGCGGAAGAGGACCTTGATGTCTTGCTAGGAGATTTAATTACATCAGAACTATCAACAGAAGGGGGAGATAGCATTGAAAACTTTACAGTCATTGATTTGTGATCCCCATCGTTCAATGGTGAGTAAGATGAAGAGGAACTGGTTGAGGAGGATCTCGATAATTTTGTTAAAGTGTGAAGATCAGTACCATCATCATCAGGGGAAGATTGCGGTGGCAAATTTTCAGCAGTAATGTTTTCGCTTTCCTCAAATGGACCATTCAATGGGAAATCTAGTGAAGAAGTGAAGGAGGATCTCGATGCCTTGCTAGGAGACTCAACATCAGTTCCATCAACACGAGGTGAAGATGGCATTATCAAATTTCCAACAGTTATGTTGCTATGCAAACCATCCAATACTGGAGAGTCTGGTGAAGAACTGATTGAGGATGACCTTGAATGTTTACTTGAGACATGAAGATCTACTCCATCAACAGTATGGGAAGATTCCACTATCAAAATCCCAATGTCATTATCTCTCTCGTCATTATGTTCTTCCAAATGTTGATTCAATGATGAGTCTGCCAAAGAAGAGCAGGATGAGGACCTAGATTTCTCGTCTAATCCATCTTCAATAGTAGACTGCATAACCAAATTATGATCATCTGTAATTCTATGATCCTCATCACCATTCCTCAGAGAATCTACTGAAGATGAACTGTCAACGGAGGACCTTGCATTTTCACCCAAGTCTTGAAGATCAACATCATCATGAGCATTAAGGAAGGATGGCAATGCCAAGTTTTCTCTGTCTATGTCATCATCGAAACCAAATTGACCATCAAATACAGAACCTGAAGAAGATGAACTAGATGGGGAGGAAGGTCTTGACTCTTTGTTCAAAACTTCATCATCATCAGCTCCATCATCAAGAGCTACTGAATGCGACATTGGCAAACCTAAAACATGAGTATCCTCCCTATGCTCCTCTTCGAACACCAATTCGTCATCATTCAATGAAGAAGAACTAGAGGACCGTGAATTCTTACTCAACGCATGAAGATCACCTCCATCAACAACAACAACGGAAGGAAATTGCATCTCAAAACTGTCATCATTTTGGTTTACAGACTCCTCCTCCTCCTCTTCCTCCTCCTCCTCCTCATCATCATCATCATCATCATCATCATCTCCCACAAATGGATTGTCCTCTGGGGAATCTGATGAAGAACTGCTAGAGGATGAGGAACTGCTAGAGGACGAGGAACTTCTTAACTTTATGCCTGAGGCTGGAACATAGGCTACTCCATAAACAAAGGGGGATGGCGGCGAACTCAAGTTTCCACTATCCAAATTGCTACTACTATGCTCATCATGCTCCATAGTTGCAGATGGCTGATATATTTCAGGCATTACTACTATACAGGCGTACAATGTACATATATAATTACAAACGAGAGCTTCAAACTTTCTGTTCAAAGAAAATTGATATTCATCAGCATTTAGCAACATTCAGTCTATGCAATTAAGGAAACTCATAAACCACTTGAAAGCATCAGTTAGCAAATGATCAAACAAGAGGTTGTAAATCAATTATACCAGAAGTATTCATTCCAACCCAGAATCTGGAATAATTAAAGGCACAGAATACATATGACAGCAGAGACATACAAAGATTACTCAAATATGGATAAAAAATTGTGCATAATTTGAGCAGCCAAAAATGCTGATAAATCAAGAACAGTGAATCAGAAAGATCAAACTCCAATTTTGCTAATGAAATCATGCATGAACAACAATGTAACATATATGTTCATAAATGTTGCGAAATCCATGAATAACTAATCAAAAGAATCGATAAACATCAATTTGGCAAAAGGAAACATACCAATTCTTAGAGAAGAATCAAGAAGTTGGTGCATGCAAAATTGGGATCATGGCAGAATCAAGAAGCTGGAAGTGCATTCTACATCTCTAATCAGCAGACTTCCTTCTTCTTGTTCCTGCCTGCCTACATGCAGCTCAAATTAATTGACCTGAATTTCAACAACCCAGAAATTATTAACAGAAATATTAATGTTATTTTCCAGGAAAAAAAAAAAAAGAAAGAAAGAAAGAGAGATGAAGATACGATAATCACCTCAGAGAGAGAGATGATTCAGGCAACTTTTTTTTGTTTTTGTTTTTTTTTTTTGTGAGGTTTGTTAATGATTGATAATTCCTTGGAGAATTATTCATGGTCCAACGTTGGTTTAGGCCCATGTCTCATGATATATCTCCTTATTACAAATAATAATTATAATACCAAAAATATATTGTCTAGACTCTAGATAACATTATGAAATCATTGTCACACACATACATATGATATAGAAATCTAGTCATTTTACTTTGGAACGGTGTATAATAACAAGTTTTAGTTGACATATAGAAGTCATTTTTTAGCCCCCAATTTGGATGGTCGAACCGAGCAGTAATCTGATGTTATTTTAAAGTATCTAACTTATGATTTATGGTGAATTACATTATTTTTTGTGTGTGTATTTTCTAGTGAGAAATGTCTTTATTTTTGTTCTATTTTTTATTTTTGTAATTGAAATTCAGATCTTACAATTCACCGGATTATTCACCTGGTCATATCTTTCACATTACTTATATTCAACAGTCTTTCATGTTATTCCTTAATCCTTAGATCTTGAAATTGTGTCTTGGCCTTTCCTCCATCAGGTACTGATTAAGGCAAGTTTTCTCCAAAATTTGGCAAATCTCATAATACATTGTGTTATTACTGTCACGTACTCTTTACAACTCAATGGAGAAGAACTTCCATTTTTGCTCTAAACAGAGGACTTTGTCTAAGGTGTCTCCTTTCACCTTATCTCATTATTCTCCGTCAACAAGTTTTATCTTTAGCCATTAGAGCGGAAACTCAGTTCTTCCCTGGTTTAAGAGTAGAGATTAGCCGCCATGTGCCAAGAATGAGTCACCTCATGTATATAGATGATAGTTTATTCTTTATAGAGTGCAAGGAGACTTCAATTTTGGCACTAACTGGTCTTTTAGAGGATTATGCTTCATTTTTAGAACGGAGAATAAATCTGTCCAATTCCTCTATCCTCTTGAGCCCTATCACTTTAGTAGTCATGAAATCTTTCACTCAACTTTGAAAATTTCAAAAGGGCAGTTTCAGAGCAAATACTTAGGCATGTCTCTTGACTTCAATGGTAAAAAGAAAGACATCTTCAAGTGTTTCACATCAAGGCTTGGTACCAGATTTGTATATTGGAAAACAAAGCTACTCTCTCTGGGTGGAAGGATCACTCTTGCTAAATTAAGCTGTCATCCATGTTGGTTTATCCTATGGGGTCTTTAAGCTCCCTGTATGTTTACATAAAGCTGATCAGATCATTGGAAACTTCATCTAGAAAGGTGATAACATATCCAAAGGAATCCACTGACGTTCTTGGAAAAAGATCAGCAAATCACAATTCCATGGTGGTCTCGGTCTTAAATCAACAAAGGAATTCAATCAATCCTTATTGGCAAAGCACGCCTGGAAGATTATGGCTGCACCAAGTTCCCTCCTCTCAAAGCTATACAGGGCTAAGTATTGCACTAATGGTTTGTTCCACCAACAGAACCACCAAACAGTTCTTCCTGGGGTTTAAAGGTATCTTATGGGGGAGCCTCAACTCCTTCAAAAAATATCAAATGGAAGGTGATATCTGGGAAAATCATTAAAATCTCTGAGGATTGGATACCCAATCACTCGAATCCTATTCAGAGATATTCTATTTTGGCCACAAATTCTACCCTTATGGTCAAAGCCTTGATCAAGCCTAATGGTCAATGGAAATTGTCGGTCCGGAACTTAATCTTTCCACCGTCGATGATCCCTCATATTACCGGAATCTTTGCTGACCCGGATAGAGCAAACCAGGATGACAGACTTCAATGGTGTAAAACACCTCATGGGGGGGGGTACACTGTGAAAATAGGATATCATACTGTACTTAACTTGCAAGATCCATTGGCAGCCCAAAGTCACCCTCAACTTACATAGAGACCACGGTTTGAAAGAAATTATGGAACTCCAAAGTCAACCTAAACAAAAACTTTTGTTTTGGAGGGCTTTACCCAATGCTCTCTCCACACGCAAAGATCTAGAGAAAAGAGGAGTGGAACTGGATACCATATGCCCTAGATGTGGTTGATACAAATAAGATAGTGTCATGATATGCTTATATTTTACCTATTTATTATATCTCTAATTTGTGATTTTTGCAATATATTTTACATACAAATATACTATTTATATGATTTTATCCTTATTTGTAGATTTTGTACTCAAATGGAGGAATTGTTGAAATTTTGAGCCTAAAATGAAGATAAAAGCAACTCAAAGGGAGAATTGAAAATTTGATAAATTGACAAGGAAGAAATTGAAGTACTTGAAAAATTGGAAGATTAGTCAAGCAATTTCGGAATTGTTGTTTATGGAAATTGGCCGAACAACTATGGTTGTGTGGTTGATTTGGGATTGGAATTGGGTAAGAATTTTAATCCCAATATTATTTGGGAAACAAGTTTTTTTCCTCTCCAAGAAGTAGAGTTTTGACGGAAGCCCATAAAAGGAGGATTTGGGATTTATTTTTAGAACAGAACTGGACCGAAAACCCACGCCTCCTTCACGGCTGCAACTCCTCCACCGTACTTCACCGAAATCCAGCCGATCCAAGCAGCCACCTCCTCTTCTCCTTCGCGTAGCAGCCACACCACCATCACCTCCCCTCTCTCCACCTTCATCCACCACCTTCCTCCTTGCTTCACTCCCACCCTCACGGCTGCAAAAGAACCAAGCAGCTCACCTTCCTGCCCACGCAAAGCCCCTTCACCCAACCAAAACCCACGCCCAAAACCCACCTTCCACACACCAAACCAAACTAGCAGCCTCCATTCCCGCACATCATCACCATTTAATGCCATCATCACACCATCAGCCCCCCAAGCTTTCTCACGCACAAAACTCCCACGCCTCCATCATCCATCACAACCCCACACCACCAACACCATCATCATCCTTACGCATCATCATCGGAGGAGGAAGCATTGAATCGAATTCCGGACTCAACTTTTGGCCTACTTCTCCGGGTTTCATTGTTTTATTTATTTTTAAGATGATGTGTAGCTAAATTATTTAATCTAGGGTTTTGGAAGTAGCCGTCGTACTTTTTAATTTAATTTAATTCATGATTGTGACTTTTTCATTAGTTGATATTTAATATTCTTGTTTTTATTTCATGTGAGTATTTGATCACCACTAGCATACTTTAAAGGTGTTTAACTGAAGGAACGATGGTTGAAGGTTAGCACTAGTTCATGGGAATATTAAACTTAGATAGTGGGCCACGAAAGTAGGAACACCGTCTTTGTAGCTATAGATTCTAGGGTTTTTAATGTACTCTAATTAAATCTTATACTCACGATAGTAGTCATAGGGTTTGAGTAAGAGAATTATATCACGACAGTGAATAGTTCTTAAATTGGTGAATCGTTGTGAGATTAATGAAAGTCCAAAGTCACAAATCTATAGATTAAGTTAAACTGAATAGTCGGTTGGTGAACCCTTTGCCCTAGGTTTTTCTTTTACTTATTTATAACTTTAAATAATTGTAATTGTTAGTTTCAGGTTTATAATAGTTTAAAATTGATAATTGGTTAATCTAAATAATAATAAGAAATAGTTTTAACCTGGTACTTGGTAACCTTCTTTATGGGATCGACCATGCTTGCTACTTTACTACTAGTAATTGTATTTAGGTAATTAATATTTGAGTAGTGTGACGACGGCTTGTCATGTCATTTTTTCTTCAGTTGTCAGGTGTCACAAACAATTTGGAATTTCACATATTCATCCTTTCAATCGATTATGAATGGTACACATACATCTCTGTTTGATTGGTACATCCAATGGATTCGCTCAAAAACCCTCAACAGAGGATATGGATCTATTCCTAATTATCATATGGGGGATATGGTCGGAAAGAAATGACAAAATATGGCGAAATCATAGCAATGATCTAATTATTTCTTGGCGTATCATCCAAAACGAAGTTGAGGCCCACAAAAAAGATTACTGAGGGGTGCTTCATATGTGGAGGGGGGAACACCTTCATTCCCAATTCCATTGAATACATGTCAGTCACCTTTGGATCATTATGCCTCGATTTTCTTTGATGGTTCTTTTCATCCTCAAATACGGAAAGTAGCTAGAGCATGGAAGATTATCTCACCTTTAGGTATGGTAATGCAAATCAAGATAGTAGATATCCAAGCTTTATTCCTGTTCCAGACGGAGGCACTCACTTGTCTACTAGCCCTCAAGGAAGCATTGAATTTCGACATTACTCGAGCTAGATCTACACAGACTGTGAGGTTTTAACGCAAGATGGTAGGAATGCCCTAATTCTAACGGAAGCCCAAGAAATAGTCTTATTACTTATAAGTTTAATTCCAACCTTCATTTCTTGCCAAACTGATTAAAGTCAGTAGAAATAAGGTCCATGAATAACATAATTTAGATTATAATAGAATGCGATGTAATAGTGTAAGTATTTTTGACTAATAGAACTGGTACCTTTAAAAAAAAATGCATTGAAGTTCAAACTAAACAAAGATGTGAATGTTGAAAACTCCAATCAGTCATAATCTTGGCCATTATAATTATGATTTCTGAACTTTTGATCTTGAAAAGACAGAAACTAACCCAAAGACTCGTCAACAATAAGAATACAAAAAATTTCAATCTGTATAATTACTTTATGAACAAGAAAACAATATCTTTCTCTCTCTAAAAATTCAATACAATATGATTGAAATCATTCTCAATTTTGATACTTACAAAGCAATATTCGGCAGCTATCCATGAAACTTCCTGGAAAGAAAAATCTCCAATGTTTCTTCAGTAGGATATTTCTTTTTCCCAAAAAAAAAAGGGGAGAAAAAAGATGGAGCTTTGATTTGACTCTTCATAATAAATTATAGAATAATTTCGGTCGCATTCGCATTGTCACTTACACAGTTCCCATTCCAATTCTATATACTGTATGCTGCTACGTTATATCACCAACAACTAGAACTTTCGAATATTAACATTGCACTTTGAAAAAAATTAAAATGGACTTGGGTGCGAAAATTAGTTGGGACGGTTTGGACATTACCAATTTACGAAAATTGTTATTATCACGAGATAAACAGTTTAAATCTCATTTGAGCAATTTAGTGTTTGTTTGTTTCACAACTCATTTTACATTTTTACTCATTTTACCTCTTAAACACAAAATTCAATAGAAAAGAAAATATCATCCAAATAATTTTCTGATTTACATTTTAAATTCCAACTTGAAACACTTTTTGTTAGTGTAATGACCATTTTAGAACTAACAATAGTTTAGTGACAAATTTGGCAAGATTCCGTTGTTTAGTGATTGTTTTTAGAAATATTTTTTTTAAAGTGACTATAATTGACAGTATTTAATTGTTTAATGATGACTCGTGCTTGATATTTCAAAATGTAGTTCAAAATTTTTTTTTTCAAAACCAACATCCAAACAATTTTTTGCTCAAAATATCATCCAAACAACATTTTTATTCCCTTTTAATTTTCAGCTTGAAACACTTTTTACTTTTAAGTGGCAAAATGAAATGTAAGGTGACGTCCAAATAAGCACTTAATTTTTCAAAATTGGAATAGACTTTCAATCATCTTTTCCTGCTTGATCATAAGTTTTCTTAAAGGTTTTAACCAAAAAAAAAAAAAAAAAACTTTTCTTAAAGGTAATTTTCAAACTCCAACTTTAAAGTAAAAAAATATCCCTTATATGTAGGAGAATTTATGGGTTGACTCAAAAAGGAGTCGGAACTCCGAAACGAAAATCTTAAGGTCAAACATTGACAATAAAAATATTATAACTAATTAGGGTTCAACTAAAAGTCTACGATTGAATGATGTTTTACAGAGATCTATCTAGAAGAAAAACTAATATTGAGTCATTATGTATTGGTAAACTTTTACAAGTAAAGGTTTTCTAATTGAGTAATTTTTTCTTCGTTTGAGCCATTGGCTGTTCGAATGTGAAATATTACTCATTTTGTTTTAGAAACATAGTTCAATCATCTACCATATTGTTTCAGGAGCAATTTTTTTTTTCTAATTTTACTACAGACCAATAATTTGTTTTGGCACATAGAGAGGTCAAATTTACTTCTGTTTTATACTAGTGATGTTTGGTCGCGCAATGCGCGACCCTGGCCCAGTCTATACTTAATTTTGGAGATTTTTAATAGTTTTGTAATAAGTTTCATCCGAAAGGTATACGCTTTAAAACAAAATTGACACTTTGTAACAAAAACCTAATTGATCAATTCAATTTAGACTCCATAATTAAGAAAAGAAAACCACTCTAATTGAATGAAACATAAAGAAAAATTTTTAAAAAAAAACGTGGCAAAGTGCAAAGGAGGATTTAGTAATTTTGTTATGGTTAGATAAAAAGGTAATTTAGTACTTTCCTCATGCCACGTGGCAATCATAGAAGGTGTTTGAAAGGGGGTTTTTATTTCTAATATAGTAAGATATGTGTATAGAAAAAAATAAAATAAAAATACTTCTGTTTTATTTTTGTAGTTCCCTTTAGTATAGCAAGTACATTTTTAAAGCACTAGTAATCATAATTAATCAATACGTAACGTCTCGAGTCAGCAGATGATGTAAGTCAAAGAGTGTGTTAGAATTTTAGGCCCCTTGTAGCATGACTTCTTCCCATTTGAATTAATGTCTGTTTTTCTTTCAACATCTTCTTGAAAATCTTTTTTTTTTTTAATTTAAATTTTTATTCTTTTTCAATGGCCTGCAAAGTACAAAGTACAAGTTGCCAAAGGAAAAAAAGCTTGTTGATGTTGAATCCTAATAACAAACTATTAACGTAAACTACAACATAAACAAAGACTTTATTTTATTAATCGCCCGTCAACTATATGAATATATATAAAGTATTTTTGTATAATGCTTTATCTCATTAATTATGTGCTTGAATATTATACTTGACTTCCCTACTCATCAGTATATAAACAACATAAATTAATTTTTATATTTAACTAACTTCGAATGGATTGTGTCTACGTTTTCCTCTTTTTAATTCTTTGAACTAGTATGAAGTATACATATATATATATATAACTAATACCGAGTATATAAATGTATGGGTTATTTACATTCTACAAACAATAATTAGAATATAAAATTTTACGACGTGCAAACAACAACTACTTAAATCAAAGTTGTGGTGGATTGGAAGGAACGCTTTCACCTTTAACCATAGGTCGAGAGTTCGAATTTCGCTACGGACATGGAGCAACCTTAAATACTTTAGCCAGCTATCCCACTCATTGAGGTGCCTACAATTCAGCGAGAGAGATTAGTCACTATTGCCGATGGTGAACACCCTGCAAATATGGAAAAAAAAAAAAAAAAAACCTAACTCAGTGGAAATTACTTTGGATATTAAGCAATAATAAAAATTGAGACTGTTTGACCAATTTGATCCATGCATATCACCAGTATTTGGGATGGATGTTAAGGTTTAGAATTGTAAGCACAAGATCGATCGATGTTCAAATCTCATCGGTCAGTAGAGCAAAGGAAGTAAAATAAAATCATTAGTAGCAAACAAAAGATAGTAAAAAATCATTAGCATTAGATTTTGAATATTGTTATATATACATATATATATATATATAAATTACTTGAAAAACAAGAAGAAAGCACTTATGGAAAGTGGTGGGTGTATTATTATTTTAATTATTTTTTTTAATGAAAGTAGGAATTTTATTATTAATAATTTATTTTTTTGACAGAATACTAGTCCAATGCGAGTGCTCAACTCAGCCTCAAGTTTCAACTACTGACTTCACTAATTATATGTCCCTCTTTTACTATTAGTTCCTTCAATCACTTCTCTCTCCAAATATCTCTTTCATGTTTGAAAATTTCATTCAGAGTTTGCAGTTTAACACCACCATCCTCCTTCTGTTGTACTACTTTTGTTCCCAAAAAAAACGCGGTCTTTGAAGACTTTCTTAGCCTTCAAGAATCTTGCATAATATTCAACTAAGTTAGTATATCTCTGCAGACTGCAGACTTTGATTATCTAAAGTATGGAAATCCCTGAAAATTAGCAAAGATAACAAAAAACCTTTTGGAATACTCCTTTGATCTTCTGGACTTGCTTCCATTCCTTTCCTGTTAATCAAGTTTAGTGAGCATCAGTTATAAAGGGGTCCAGCCAGATTTGATGGTTCCTCAAATTTTGTAGCAGAGGTTATTTCCTGTAGAATAATGTCAAAGATGAATGGTTTTAAAAGGAAAAAGCCTTGATTTCTATGTGTTTTAGCTAAAGAAAGAGATCATCCCTTGTCAGTTTTCCTCCCATCTTTGATGTTTTTTCTTATGCTTTTGCATCATATTTGATCCCAGTAGCCATCTCTGTCCTCCTCTGATCAGAGATATGCAAGTTTCCTAGGAAGAAAGATTCAAGCTGATACCAGCTTTCCTTGTTTTCACTAGAAGTGGATTGACCACCTCAGTTTCTTGTGTTTTTTGATCATTCAAGTTTCTGTTGGTAAAAGATGGAGAACTCGGAATCCGTAATCGACAGCCAACAGCATCTGCTTGCTGCAGTCTATCATCTTGTGAAAGCACTTAATGGAAGCAATGATTTGGTGAATGGCGACATGAAAAGGGTCCTAAGTGAACTTGATGTTCAGCTCTCCAGATTGAGTTTGGTTGATGATACGAGTGAGGCTGACAGGACCAAAGAGATTGAAAATCGGCTCAAATTTGCCCAGAAAAAGATCATGAGTTTTGAATCCAAGGGCTCAAAGGTTTGGGATTCAGGTCCTGGGGAGGATTATGGATACTTACAAGCTGTTGATGAAGTTAGAAGGCTGGCAAATTCTCTGGAAAACATGCCAACAAGCCAAACTCTGAAGGGGAAACAGCTAAGAGATGAAGCTCAGAATATTCTGCAGGCAGCAATGGCAAAACTCCAGGAAGAATTAGTCCAAATCCTTTCCAAGAACATGAAACAATTAGCTGCCCATGAATCTGTTTGTTTGCCCATCTTATGTGAGGAAACAGCAGTTGGGGATGAGGAAGAATCATCCATAGTTTCGGCTGAGGATATATCATTTGAAGTCCCTGGTCAGAGAAGTAGAGCCATCAATGAATATGAGCAGCATTTAGTGGATTTAGTCCATCCTAATGCTATTACTCTGATCAAAGCCATAGCAGAAGTGATGTTTGCTTCTGATTATGGTCAGGAGTTTCGCCACGCTTTTATTGGTTTCTGGAGGAAGGCCTTGGATGATTACTTGATCACTCTCAACGTCAAACAAGTCAGCATAGAGGACGTTCTTAAAATGGATTGGAAATGCTTGAACTGCCGGATCAAAAACTGGTGCCGGGCGACAAGAAGCTTGATTGGATTCTATCTTCCTAGCAAAAGACGGCTATTCAACCAAATTCTGGAGGGTCTGGGATCAATGAGCTCTTCTTGCTTCATTGAGGCTTCTAAGGCTTCTGTGATGTGCTTTCTGAATTTTGGCCAAGCAGTCATAATTGGCCCCAAAACACCAGAAAGACTTTTTTGCTTGCTTGATATGTATGAGGTTATGTCAGGACATCTGCAAGATTTGAATTATTTGTTTGCAGATGACGACGGTTCTGGTTTGGGTTCTTTTGTCAGGAATGAGTTTCATGAGCTTCTAGAGAAACTAGGAAACTCTGCAAAAGAGATCTTTCTCCAACTTGGGAACCATATTGCCTCAAATACATCGAGAACTGCTTTCACAAGTGGAGGAATTACCCATCTTACAAGGTATGTCATGAACTATATGATGCTAGTTCAAGACTACGGCCATACCCTGAATTTGCTCCTTGAAGAACAGAACCTAATTGACAATCCAGGTCGAGTCTCTAATGCAGAGGTTTCTCAGATCATCGATGGCTACAGGACAAGTCCCGTGGCACATTTCCTTCAATCAGTTACTTCCATTTTGGAAGCCAATCTGGATGCTAAGTCAGACCTATACAGAGATGAAGCTTTGAAGCATATATTCATGATGAACAACATCCACTACATGGTCCAGAAGATTGAGAACTCCGAAATACGAAGCTATTTTGGGGATGAATGGCTCCGAAGGCATGTCAGAAAATTCAGACAGCATGCAACAACTTATGAGAGAATCGCATGGGGCAACATACTTTCAATGCTAAAGGATGATGGGTGCAAAGGAAAGGCAGCTCTTAAGGTTAAATGCCAGAAATTCAATGCTGCTTTTGAGGAGCTATACAAGAGTCAAACGGGATGGAATATCCCAGATAGGGAACTTCGGGAGGATGTCAGAATCTCAGCTTCCGGGAAACTCATCAATGCATACAGGCCATTTGCCGGTAGGTTAAGAGATGGTTGCATTAGTGACCGCTATATCAAATACACAGCAGATGACTTAGGGAATTATATCTGGGATCTTTTTGAGGCTTCTCCTAAGTCATTGAACCATCACATTAGGCGATGAGTTCGGAATTTTCTCAAGTCCTGGTTGTAGCTAATGTACCATTGGATCATTAAGTTGATTTGCATTTCTCTAATTACAGTGATTTCTAGTGCATTTCTTTGTAGACAAAGAACCTACACTTCTTACTAACATACACTATCACTAAAATAATAAAGAATATTACTTCAGATATGCATATCGATAACATAGAGCATTCCGGTGGCCAAATTGCTTGTTTTTCCAGTTATCTGCTAGTGTCTTACCGTGAACAAGAACAAAACTGAACTGTATTATGATCCATTCCGCAATTTTAGAAGACCAATATTTCGGGCAAAACAAGCTAAGAATATGCTAAGAAGGCAGCTTCAGAGTAGCTTATCACTACTTTATCAAGTGCTTTCTCCATATTTTGTCATGTGCCACCTAAGAGTATATGCAGTGATCATTTTGCCGAGACTTTTCAAATGGTCCATATGCAATATGAGAGGTAGAAATGGATTCAGGAACACGCTTAGTTAATTCAGAAAAGAACAACAAGCTATGAAAAAAAGAAAAAAAAAAAGACAAAAACTCAAAAAGCAGGTTCTTAACCAGTTTATCCCCATTAAATACCTCCAAAGAAGTAATGTTGTAATAGAACTTTTTACCTGACCTACCACTAATAGTATTGTCAATATCCCAATTTAAGATTAGTAATTGTTTCATCTCAAATGAGAGGTGGAGGTCTCAAGTGGGTTACAAAATAAATGTACATCCAGGAAGGAGACCCAGTATGGGGACAACAAAGAATAATGAATGCTTACTTTTTTGGCCCAGGAAAAGAACCCGTGCAACTAGACTAGACAATAATACAATTTTTGAGATTCGCCATCAAGGAAGAGGTAAAAAGGTGGTTTTCTAATTTTTCACCTACTCTTTTACTTTCAACTCCCACAAGTCAATAGTGGGTTTAAAAATCTAACTAAATGAGAGCATAGGACCTAGTATACAGGATGTTTTTTTTGTTGAAAAATAAAATGTAAAAAAATTGTTTTGATGAATGGCCAAAGGTGTCCTCAGAAATGTAAAAAGTTGCATTTTACATTGATAAGCACTGAACAATAACCAAAATAACAGACCAGAGAGCCACTCTATTTCTATAAAACTAAAAGGATTGTTCCTGCATGTGTAGGGTCTAAAAAGGGCTATGCCATTAAGGCTCACTTCTTTTGAAGTGAATTTCCATATTTTGAACCCATGACCCCAAATCACAGTGTAACAGCTCTTAGCATTGAGCATAACCATGCTGGATGTTTATCTCTTCTTTTAATGATAAACCACCTACAGTTTTGTGGCTTTGCCATATATATGCTCCGACAACAGTGATCCTATTTCTAACTGATTTATGCAAGGTGCCAGAGTACGTAAACTGCTAAGTCTTAAGGTTTCGTCGTAGGACCAAGAGGATCTAATGGAACAGCTCCCTTTCTTATGTCAGCATTTTCACCAGTCCAACTATCAAAGCTGTCTTGAGGTTCTAAACTAAGCATAGATTTTCTTTACTAAAAAATGCCTATATATTTTTAATCCTGCTGAGTGGACAATCACTTCAAATGTCAAAATAATATTTTAATAAAGTAACTTCTGTATTGTGATTCCTAATGTGGATATCTCAAGCCTCAACTTTGAAATGATTGCAAAACTACGAGTTCAAGCCAGCTGACTGAAATTTCACAGTTTCAGTTTAATTACTATTTCAAAAGATGAAGCCCAGGTGACTATATCTTATCCCAAATCCAAAGAGAATCAATAACATAACAGGGATGTACTGGAGGAGTAAAAAGGACCTACCTAAAGTTACTACATGAAAGTACTTAATGCTGTTGGCTGGCTACACTATGGAACAGACACCGCACGCTGATGAAGCTTATAAAGGACAAATAACAAACCCATGTGGACACAAGACAGTGCCCATAGGTTGGGGGACTTTCAAGCACGACATTAGCACATTGCAGCAAAGCCCCCCCCCCACACACACGCCACACACAAGTTTGAGATGTGGGTTGGAGTCACGTAAACACTCTTATGAGCATTCCAGATTGGCAAAAAAATCTATGCATACTATGCAGATATAAGAGAAGATCAAAACATTTGGAATCAACGAACAAAGGAGAAGTTATAAACAAGAACTTGATTCTTACTGACTGCCTGCATAATTATACCACCAATCAGTTTAATTAATATTTTTTTATAATCATCTCATGCCTTTATCAAACATGGCCGTGCAGAAAAAATCAATCGTGAGAAAAAAAAAATAGCACTTTAGGCATTCTAGTTCAACCATTTCAGATCCCTTATCAATTTCAATGGGATAACGAACAGAAAGTTGCATGCATCTCATTCCGAGTAGAAATCCTAGTGATCACAAATAACGTGCTAAATTGCTCATAAACTAACCTACTCCAAGCTTTATATTTCTCATATATTCTTCTCAATTGTATTAAAGGGGGTTCTCCAATAACCTGTTAGCCTGAACCCACAAATAGATTTTAACTTGCCAGGCTGTGAAATTCAGCTCTTCCATGAATCTGAATTCACCTAACTTTAGGATAACTATAGGTTAGGATCAACTTCTCTTCTTCCTGAACCTTTGATCACCCTAAATAATTTGGAGGCATCCAATTTCCACCATTTTAAGGATTTGAAAATTTCTAAATCTTAGTTAAAGTTACAAACACGGAAATTGGGGTACAACTACACATTCAAGCTCCAAACACCATCACCTCAGTGCATAAGAAACATCAACTAGCAACAAACACACAACAGAAATGAACAGCATAAGAGGAAAAAAAAAACCGAAGAAAAGATTGAAGGCAGACTGGATGGATCAAAAGTAACCATGGAATGTGTTTATTTCTAAAACATCAGAAGGTTTGTGGAACACTGTACAACAAAAGTTTCAAGTAACAGCCGCGTCAATAAATAAAATAAGACGCCCATCAATACAGACACTGGAAGAGCAGGCAGAGCTTTCTGATAAAATGCAAGAAGCATCAGAGTAATACCTAAACCAGCAATAATAGCAAGGTAGCACGCATAAACAGTCATAAAATCGTACATTGCAGCTCTACCAACTAGAACACTGTAAAATATGAAGTCCCCAAGACCAAGCTTGATAGCGCCGGACGAGCCTAAGCCAATCCCCTCGAGTGCAAAATCCTCACTTGACCCAACGGGTGGTTGTTGAATCAATGGAGCAGATAGCTCAGAATCGACTCTTACAATCCTTTCACTCTGATCGGAACCATTACCGGAAACATCACCCACATTCAGGTTACTACTGGAACTCGCACCTAAATTACCATTTGAATCAGATTCAGCCCGGCTTCTATCCCTCCAAACTCTCCTCTCTGCAACTCTACTTGAGGGAACCAAATCCGGATTACTAACAGGCCGGGCCTCGTATACCAAAGCAGGAATATCTTCATCCCTAGATATAGCAAGCTCCACCAAAAGCCTCAATGGGCCACCAGGCAATAACACAGCAGCAAGATCATACAGTGCCATGGCAACCAAAAGCACCCAAGTAGTCCATTCAGGCAAAAGTGTAAACCAATAAGCAACCAACATTCCAATAACCACCAAGTACCCTTGTTTTACAAAGATCCCAACTTTACCCATAAAAACCGCCAAAACACCAACCACAGTAAAATTATACAAAACTACCATAAATGTCACAGCATCCACAGGAATGCTCAACGCTTTGACCACAAAAACAGCCACTTCACCTCCAACGAAACCCAAAACAAGAAAAGCAGAGAAACCCATATAGTATTTCAAAAACGTAGTGCATCTCCAGTAAAACAAGAGAACCAATATAAATGTGACAACTGTGACAACCCCAACAAACACGAGGGAGTTCAAAAGGGCACCTTTGAATTTGTCCCAGGTGGAGTCTGAGCTGTCCTCACTGTAGGCTATGGAAGCTAAAGTTGAGATGTTTGAACCGAAGCCGCCAAGGCCATTGTCGTCGTTGTTGAGAATTGAGACTAGAAGGACTACCAAAAGCATGCAAATTGAAACTGGGGTGATGATCCTGATGATTTCTTCACCAAGTGTATGAAGTATGCTTGTGGGTTGTGGCTGAATTTCACTTTGTTCGTCCATTTTTTCGGGGATTTGGAGATTATCTGGGGTCAAATTCCAATCCCTTTTTCTCGTGAATTGGAATTTCAAAGATATATTGGGTGTTTTGATATAGTTGTAAGAATGCCACCTGAATATAGGATTTAGGGTTGTTTTTTGTTGGCTTTGGGATTCAATAAAGCGGTGGAAATTTGGTAGCGATGGCGTAGACCGGCGACGAGATCGGTCGCTCAGATCTCTTCCACGTAAGATGCCACACTGAACGCACGTTTCTATTTCTCACTAAGAAAAAGAAATAAATTAGATCACTACTAGATGTTACCCGCACGATGTGCGGGATATAAGAATTTACGCTTTATCATCGAGTGATGTATTCATGTGGTGTAAATACATATGTGATTCATCATGAATAACCTCAACTATATCATATAATCATCGATTGAAGTATTCCCGAAGTGTTTCATGTTTTGGTCTTCAAACAGTTCCTTCAGGATCTTTAAGGTTTTGATGACCAACGTCACCGTAGATGGATCGTGCAAGATAGGGTTCTTTATGTGGAATTATATTCATAAATTGAAAGACTCTGAAATAGATACTTATAAATTGAGAGATGCGATACTGCTTGCTACGTTGAGAAGAAGAGAGATTCATGCTATGGATTAAGGTTAAGCATTGTACGTATTACCTCCAAAAGTCATTAATGTAAATGTTTTATAGAAAAAAAAAAATAACCAAGAAGAAGAGACAGAAGCATACCTTGGCCATATTTTGAGATTTATAAAACTCAACATAAACTATTTTTTTAGATTGAAAGAATAAAATACTATAAACTGGTGGCTCTTGTCTGCATTAAATTACCAGAAAATTCAATTTATTAACACGTTATAAAGAAAATAATCATTACAACATTTGTTATTGTATCATCACTTAAAAGAATAGCATTTTAATTTCATGATGAATGTAAATTATACATACCCATCAAATCAAGATTTTAATCAACAAAATATTATGAGAAAGAAAAATGCATTCATCATAGAGAGAATTTATTAAAATAAACAAACAAACCTGTTTCATACCAATGTTAATAATTGGCGCTAGTTACTTGATTTGGCAATATAACCTGCAAAAGGTGTACTCGGAACTTCACAAAAAAGCGAAGCTTCACAGAGAGATATGGAATTTTCTTGAAGGTGGTTGCTCCTTTCCCTGAAACCGATGACCTATTTAAATTGTCCCTGGCATTTCATAACGTTAAGCTTTCTTTCTGAGGTTCTTCTTTTTGGTTCGTAATATGAATACATTTTCTTTTGACTCTCTCACAATCACCAAAAAAACTGCAAAAGATTCAATCAAATATTTGTTATACCTCAATATATGCAATGAAATCAGGCTTAGCGAATCAAAAATGAATACAGATTGAGGTTATTTGAGAGTTTTGGGATGGAGTAGAAAGACAAATATGTGTATGTATATATGTTTCAAGAAAGAAGATTGGTATGTATTTATTATATTTTTTTGAATGAAATCCAAAATTAACCATGGCTTCCTTCATCTTTTCCTAATTATGCGGCACATATAATTATTTTAAAATTTGAAATAGTATTGTTAATAATTAGCATTTATAGTATGGTAAATATTTCGGCCAAATAAAAAACAGGTCTATTGATTTGATGAGGCTAAATTAGGCAAAAATTAGTACGACCAAAATTAGTGTCTATCATAAATTTTAACCTATCACAATTAGGTCAAATCAGCATCAAATCAAAATAATTGGCCGAAACAAAATTTAGGAAAGGAAATTCAGAGCCTTGTCGAAAGGAAACACAGAAAAAATAAATATGTTAAATATATATATACACACAAATATATATAGTTTTAATTTGGCCGAAGGAAAAAAAATCAGTATTAATTCAATGAGGTTTTCTTGCTGTTTTTTTTTCCTTGCATATCGGCATTTTGTGGACCAAATTTTGATATGGCCGTAATCAAAGAGATTATGCATTTAATTTGTAAATTTTTCATTGAATAACTGAACTTTGGTTTTTTTTTTTTTGGTTTTGTCGCTCATTCACCTTAATGGTGCTAATAAAAAATGTTTGAATTTAAATATAAGCTTTAAATGAATTAAATCAATGTTAACATTTTTTAAATGGAAAGAAACCATTAATATTATTGATTTTTTTAAATGTTATGTTTTTTTTTGACCGAATACAAAAAAAAAAAGAAAGTTTACAACCAAATTAATTGATAGAATTTAATTGAAGTTTGATAAAACTTTATTTACTGGAAATTTTAAGGACTATTATTGTAATTGTTGTAAATATTTTTTCTGTCAAGATTTAGAGAAATGACTCCTAGGATTTTATCCTATGTAGCACCTTTAAAAATCTTTTTTGTTTTCTCTCTCTGGTTTCTCTCTTAGTATAATACTATATACGTGTGTGTGTGTGTGTGTGTGTGTGTGTGTGTGTGGATTGGATATGTTTGTTTTTGAATTTCAAATCAAATGAGATTGTATAATGAATAAAATTAATTATTACCTTTTTTGGGTGACACATAATGGAAGATTTGAAGATTGAAGATTTTCCGTTTTTATTTCATCTCACAATTACGAAATAGAAAGTTTTTGTTGATTATGATTTTTGCTGATTTACTGGGTTTGTTAATTAATGGTTCATATATTTAATTAATTTCAAAATGGTAACAAATGAATAACTGAAAATTTAGAGGACATTTGGTGTAATTGTTGAAAATAGTTTTTGTTGCAACCAATTGAAAACTGACACATAAGATTTTGTCATATGTGTCAACTTGGGAAGATATTTGATTCCCTCTCTCTGGTTTCTCTCTTAGTATAATATACTATAGATTCTTTTCATCCCATTTTTTCTTATTTTAATTTTTTTTACGACCATTTTCATCCCATCTGTATTTTAAATTATACAATTCAATAATTTTTAATTTTATTTATTATTTTAGTTAATATTTACAGTATTCACAATCAATTTTGAAATACGTACTACCTCAGGCCAAAAAAAATAGTCTACATTGAGGTTTCAAATTTGTACTACAAACAATACAAAATTTAAAACTCAATGTAGATTATTTTTCTGGAACGGAGGGAGTATAAAATTTTTTGGCAAAGGAAAATATATTTTACTACCTCCGTCCCAAAAAAATAGTCCACATTGAGTTTTGAAATTTGTACTTAAAACAGTGTAAAACTCAAAACTTAATGTGGACAATTTTTTGGGAACGGAAGGAGTAGAATATAAGTTACTTTTTTCACTTTAAGGCGTATGTAGTACATTCAATCGGCCTAATCGCCTTAAAACAAATCCTTTTGTTGTGATAAGAGTTTACCAAGTTAAAAGAACAAAATTGTAAATGAATTCCTAAATTCAAAGCATAATAATTCTTCCATCTTGTCATTAATAGATGAATGCAGAGGCACAGAGCTACTATTTGGTCCTCTAATGTGAGCATAAATCTCATCTATATTCCAAATGAATTTTTTTTTCCAAAATTATTGTCGAATTTAAAATTTCACTTTCATTTTAATTTGTTTAACAATGAAAATCTAAACTGGACAATAACTTCGGTTAAGAGAGAGTATAAATTATATATATATATATATATATTCAAAACACAATATTCAACTCAATTTTTTAAATTCTCTATTTATTATAATTCAAAAACGAAAACACGATATTAAATTTTAATGTTTTTTCCCCTTTCTAGTTCTAAAATTGTAATGTATATATAGATATATATATAGGTGCTTGTCCAGGCGTTGCCCGACCCATTTACAACAATATATTTTAAAATTAAATATACAAATGGTAAAAGTATTTTTCAACTTTAACTCAACTTGTTATGTTTAAATTTTGAAAATAATAAAAGAATCATTCATTTATATCATTAATGTCTTATTCTATTAATATTAATTGATTGATTATAATTAAGGACAAGGAAAGTTAACACAATTAAAGATTGTAGAAATTAAAATTTTTTCACAAAACTACGTAGTTTTTGATTGGCGAGAAGCGGATACATGAGAACGCGACACGTCAGCTTTTTTTTTTTTTTGCTTAGACTATTGTTTTAATAGGATATATAATTTTTTTTTTTTTGGTAAAAGGGTAAAATAGATTACTCTTTAAAACCACATGTACAAAGTATCTTTTGTTACATCTTTATGGAATTAAAACCAATGCTATACAAGTACCGTATATCGTCATTACTACCTAGCCTACAATATATCTGCATTTTATACATCAATTCAGCCTTAATTCTTTTGAACCTCTCTGTTACCTCCAAGTGCAGCTTCCTGAACTTTCTACTGTTGCGCTCAGACCAGACGTGATCTACAGCAGCATTTACAGCAGCAAACAGCAGCCATCTTCTGAGCTTCTTGTGCCTCCATAGTTTTAGAAATCTTTTTGCATCAGCTTTAAGACTTTTGATGTTGATCTTCAGCCCCAGCCAGTCCAGGAGTTTCTTTAATAGTTGCTGAGGATAGCAACATTTAAAGAACAGGTGATCTGTAGTTTCTTCAGGTTCAGAACATAGCTCACATGTTACATCTTCTGTCAGATTCATCATTTTCCCAAGCCTTTCCATGGTGAGCAGCCTATCCCTCATTGCCAGCCAAGCAATGAAACTGTGTTTTGGCAGGGCATAGGGAACCCAGATTATCATAGCTTCTTTATATTTCTCTTGCTTCCCCAACAACCAATGGAACCAGATTTAGCATAGTATTGCTTACCATTAGCTCCAGTCCATGTTCCATTCTAAATTTCTGCTTTAAGCTCATCTTTAACTGCCACTTACTTCCTCCAATGCCATCCACAGTCCAAGGGAGCTCGATAATCCCATATGCTTTTGCCCTTTAAGTAGTATAAATGAACCCATTGGATCCATAAACTGTCCTTTTTGCTTGCCACATCCCACAAATTGCTTCCCTATTAAAGCTAGATTCCAAATGCCTGGCCTTTTAATGTTTAATCCTCCTTCTAATTTGCTAGTGCAAATCGTCTCCCAGGCAACTAATGAGAGACTTCTGCTAGCTTCTGTTTTGTCCCATACGAAACCCCTGCAACATCTTTTAATCTGGAATTAACCAGGGTTAATCGTCCAGCATAAGATAAATGCCGTGTTGACCAAAACTTCATTCTAGACACAATTTTGTCAACCACTGCTTGACAGTCAGCGTGCGTCCAAGCAGAGAGTGCAATAGGAACTCCTAAATATCTCATAAGAAAGGAGCCTACCTGAAAAACCCATTATCTGCTCGATTTGGTGCTGTAATTCTTCGCTTACTCCCCCAAAGTAGATATTCGACTTTTGCAAGTTAACCGACAAGCTAGTAGTTGCTGCAAATTCATGCAATATCTTCATAATCTTCTTGATAGTTTTCAGATCAGCCTTACACATAATGATTAGGTCATATGCGAAACTTAAATTAGTGATTCTGAGCTGGTCACAGTATGGATGAAACTTAAAATGATTCACTGCCTCTTTCTTAAACATACGGTTTAGGTATTCCATTACTAATACAAAAAGGAGGGGGGAAAGGGGAACACCCTGCCTAAGTCCGCGTCTCCCTTGAAAATGTCCAGTACACTGACCATTTAGATTAATGAGTAACTACTAGTCGTGACACATTCCATTATCCAGGCTATGAATTTAGTTGGGAAGTGGAAGTATTTCAGCATCTCTTCTATAAAGTCCCAATGCACAGAATTAAACGCTTTCCGTAAGTCGACTTTCATCAGACATCAAGGCTTAACATTCTTCCGCTTATATAATCTAATTAACTCCTGCGTGAGAAGTACGTTATGCAGGATGGATCTATTTTTCAGGCAAGACCTCACTAAGTCTTTTACTCAGGATCTTAGAGATTCCTTTCTAAATGGTGTTACAACAAGCTATAAGGCGAAATTCAGAAGCATTTTTTGGTGAGGGATTTTTAGGTATCAAAGATACAAGTGTGACATTTAACTGTTTTAGTAACCTACCAGAACTAAAGAATTCTAATATAGCCTGACATACATCATGTCCTACTATCCCATACAGCTTTGTAAAAACCACTATTAAAGCCGTCTGGACCAGGGCCTTTATTCGAATTAATACTAAAAATAGCTTATTTAATCTCAGCTTTAGAGCAACTTTTAACCAGGAGAATCTGGTGATATACATCCAGTTTAATCTCTGTGTTAAAAGTTTCTCTATCAGCTGAGATTCTATTGACAGCTATTCCCAACATGTTTTCAAAATAATTAATGAAGTGGCTTTGTACCTGAGACCAGTGCTCCACAAGCTCCCCATTTTGATTTGTGTAGGAGATGATCCTATTTGCAATCCTTCTTTGCTTGATGCTGGAGTGAAAAAACTTTGTGTTGTGATCACCATCTCGAATCCAACGGTCCTTCAGTTTTTGTTGCCAGAAACTCAGCAAAGCTTTGCTAACTTCCATGTATTCCTGCAGACAAGATTTCTCCAGTTCTTGAAGTTCCAAGTTCTGAGGCTTCTTATTCAGTTCCATTTGTATTCCAACCAAATCAAGCTTGAGCTTCTGGTGCCTGATCTCAATATCACTGTAAAATTTTCTGTTCAAATCTTTTAAGATTAGTTTGAGTCTTTTCTGCTTCATCACCAACTGATACTGGTCTATTCCCTGTGCCCTTTTATTCCAGCTTTCTGCAATAACCTCCTTAAATTGTGGTTGATCAATCCACATATTAAAGAAGCGAAAAGGTTTCTTGATATTGGCTATCTTGTAACCCCATTTGACCAAGATAGGGCTATGATTAGAAATCCCATCATTCATAACAGTAGCTACAACCTTAGCATATTCTTCTATCTAATCTTCATTACTAGGGCTTGATCTGGTTTTGAGACAATCCTGGAGTTCCCTGTTTGCTTGTTGTCCCATGTGTAAAAATTACCCTGTGTCTTGATATCTACTACTTCTCAAGTTTCAACCATCAGTTTAAACATATCAGAATCTTTACTTATGCTGTCTTCTCCCCCTAGTTTCTCCTCAGTTGAGAGAACACATTTGAAATCTCCAATTATTATCCAGATTCTACTAATTGTTCTTGTTATAGTAATTAGGTCATTCCACAGACAAGATCTTTCTTGAGCCTAAGGAGCTGCATATACTACTGTCAAATCAAAATTTTTCCTACTTCCTTCTTCCTTAACAGGATAGTGGATCAACTGTTGCATTACTTTGGTGTTGAGTATCTTATATCTCCCCTTGTACCAAATGAGCAATATCCTGCCTTTATCTTCTGGGTTATGATTGTTGATGTAGTCGTAGTTCGTCCAACTTTTAGTCATTAAGTCTATCACCTTGTCTTCTTTTAGCTTGGTTTCAAGAATTTCAGCTATATACCAACATTATTGATAGAGAGATAGTTGCCTATCTCCCTATGTTTCAGAGGGTTATTTAACCCTTTTACATTCTAGCTAGCAAGATTCATGTTGACTAGCCCCTATATTAGGGGGTCTAGTTCCTTGAGAGCCACATTTTTCGTGCTGCTTGCTTTTATCCAGAGCCTTAATTTCTATATTCTTCGTTTCCCTTCTAGTCACAACCTGTTTAGTACCTTTCTTTCCATTACTTAATTCTGGTGAGGTGATTGTATTGCTGCTACTGGCTTCATCTTGATGCCTTTTCTTCTCCAGTTTTCCATTCTCTTCCTCTGTCACTGACAGATCATTTCGGACAATCAAAGGTTGCTTATTACTTTATGTAGTGGGGCTTCCTTTTGTATTGTTAGCTACTTCCTTTTCCTTTGCTAACCAGGCTTTAGGAACTAGCTTCTTGCACTGCAGAACTTCGTGACCATATCCTTTGCAGTTACCACACTGTACTGGCATCCACCTGTATTCCACTTTTTGTTCCTGCAGTACACCATTTTCATCCTCAAACTAGACTTCCTTTGGCAAAGTACCAGCAATCTTGACTTCAACCAGAACTCTTGCGAAACTGGTTCTGTCCCTGAGAGTGGTCATCTCATCCATTTCAAGAGGTTTCCCAAGTAGACTAGAAATCCTACTCAGTATACTTACAGATCAGTATCTTAAAGGTAACTTCGGGAATTTTATCCATATAGGGACCATCTTGATATCTTTAAGCTTGAAATCCTCTTCAACCGACCAATCTTTAACCACTAATGGTCTATTGTTAAAGTGATACACACTGTTCTTCAGAACTTCCTCTTTAGCTGTGACAGAGGTAAACCGCACCACATATATCCCGTTATCCATGAGTAGAACGTTGCTAATCCCTAGTTTTCCCCAAATCCATCTTAGATAGCCATTCACCACAAAGAAAAGGGGATTTGCCCCAAGGACATAGCAAATTAGGAAGGATTTCCAGTTGTCTACTACCTCTTGTATTTCATTCTTACAGATTTTAGCTATAGCACGATCATGTACTACTTTAGGATCAATGAATTCTAGCTTCCGATTAACACCACTAAGTTGCTTAGGGTCAAATTGATCCCATAAATTCCTAGTATCAGTAGTCCTAGCTTTTTGCTTCTTTTCTGTACCTACTTCTTTTTGAATCTCAAAGCTTCTTTCTACTTGAACAATCTTTTGATGGCATAAACGTTCAAAAATTTCAGTAGGGGAAGCATCTAGAGACGAATTAGGGCTTATTACCTTCTTCTCCGTAATTGGGGCCAGATCTGTAATTTTTGAAATTCGTTACTCTTCTAGTTGTTCCGATTCTTCAACAGCAACTTTCCCCCTCTTATTTTGTTTCCCCACCATTGTTGGGCATGCAAACCCACGCCGGGAATGAAAGATCGAGTTTTACACAGTGGGTGTGAAATCGCCCGCAGTACAGGAAGAGAGAGAGCGTTTTGAATTAATGTATTTATATTGTTTACTCCCTCCATCCCATTTCAATAAACTACATTATTATTTTAGGGTGTTCCACTAAATAGGCTGATTTCCTTATTTAGGATGAAATTTTTTAATGAAATTTCAAATATACCTTTAACTTAACCAATCACCTAAGTACTTATTGATTGTATTGGGATTAGTAGAAAGAGTCAAATTTATTTTTTCTAATAAGTTGAGATGAATTTTTCCAAAGTAATTATCTCCATTTAAAGTCTTTGTCTAATAATTTATTAATTTCTTTTTAAGGGTGGTTTAGGAAGATTAAGGAAAAAATTGTTAGTTAAGTTAGTTTTATTAATTTGTGTGAAAAATGGTACAAGCCTATTAAAATGAGACGGAGGGAGTACTACTTATCATTTTCATGTTAAGAAAACCCAGAAAAAACCTAGGATTTGGATCGAAATTTTCTGATGATCCGACGGTTGACATCAACTTACTGCTCTCACCTTATAATCGAACCGTCGATAATCCCCGAAGTTTCGGGTTGAGTTGTACTCCCTAGCCGAGCCTTCATCTCTATATCTCGCCCGTTTCAGTAAAACCCCTGTCTAGGGTTTTAGCAATACACTCGCTTCAACTATTTCTCCCAAGGTACAATCTTTCTTCAATTTCTTCCCAAAAATGACGATTCTTTTGAAAACCCTTTTGCATATGGTTAGATGAAGGCCGTCTAATTTGTGTTTATTTGATGGGTTCGTTCTCAAATGCTTTGTTTTATTTTCTCATGTTCCTTTTGTGGCAGGGGATTTGATGAAAAATGATTTTTTTCCCCCTAAGAAGGGAATGTTCGTGTGTATCTTTGATTGAATTGTTTTGTTTTTGGTTTTTGTCATTCGTGGATTGATGAATTTGGTTTTGAATGGAAAAGATCAAAATTTTCGCTTCTGTTAAGGTTCATGATTTGTGGGAAAATCATATGCGTGGCCCAACTTTAGTTTTTTCTTCCTTGGAGATGTGAATTTGTCGAGTTTGAGCGATATAGTACTCTTTGTATGTGGGGTGAGGTGGTGGGAGGGGAGTTTACTTTTCCTTTGTGTATTATACTATTATTAGTCTTTTTGTAGTTAACTTATTTTTAGTGCCAAAACTATGTGTTTTTTTCTATATGTTTTATTAATCTTAACTTCTGAGATCTAAAGTGACCTTTTAATTGTGTTCTTCATATGATGAATAAGCCCGGGAATCTGGGGAGAACTGCAATGTAAGGGAAAAAGATTATTACTGTTATTTGAAAGGGCATGAAGTTCATGCGATTTTCTGTCTTGGTAATTTTGCTTTTATCGAGGGGAAAAAAGGAATGCTTATTCATGATAACCTGATTTCTGTGTCTTTGTTGATGATTTATTGTGGAAGTATCTGCCAGTAATTCCGATATTATTTATTCGTGGCAACTAGTTAGATGGTTTAAACTAGTTCGAGTCTTGATATTCCATTGTTTTGGGTTTACAGAAATGGCTTTCCTCGGCAAAGTTCGTGGCTTGCTACAGCATAAAATAACTAACAATGTCGGCCGTGAAGTATCAGCATCTACACCATTCCTATTCCAAGCTATACGGTGCATGTCGTCAAAAATCTTTGTTGGAGGTATTCCGTGTAGAAGTTAAAGAATCTAGTCATAATGTGTTTCCTTGACATTCAGATGTTCTGATTGCCCTTTGAATTACTTGCAGGACTTTCGTATCAGACTAGTGAAGATACCCTGCGGCAGACGTTTGAAAAGTATGGACAAGTGTATGAAGGTATTAGTCCTCATAATCGGCAAGCACTATTTAGTTCTATTTTAGCTGAACTGTCTGATTGTCATCTACTACAATAATCCTATGTTTCTGCCTAATTCGTCTCACAGGCTGTGTAAAACATAGTCTGCCAGGAAAAAGAAAAACCAAGAAGAGAATTTGTGAATAAGAGGAATGCATTTGAGGGGGTTGACCTATTTTTTGAGTCCATATGTTAACCCTCTTGCCATGGATTTTGAGGCTACCATTGTTATATGGAGATTTTTGTGCAAGTTTCTTGCATTTTTTTGCCTGTGTATGTTGCCTTTGTTTGTTTATAGTTGATGAACTATTTTGCATGGGTAAAATAACTTGGTTCTTTCAATTTCACCAAAAATGGCTGCAGCTAGGATCATTCTGGATCGTGAAACGGGGAACTCCAGAGGATTTGGCTTTGTTACGTTTGAAAATAGTGAGGCAGCCCGTTCTGCCATCATGGCCTTAGATGGTCAGGTATTGTACATCATTAAACTTCACATATTCTTTCACATGTTTTGCTCCTCTCTCCTTCGCAAACCACCTCCGGCATGCAATTTTTTGTGTTGTTGAAGGGAAAGTCATTCTGTTGTTTCCTCTTTTTATTTAAATGAACTTGAGTCGAGGAATTGACTAGCTTAGGTGTGATATTGGTTAAAACAGAAGTTCTTGCTTCTCATTGTGATTTGTGCTTGTCGATTAAAATATCTTTCAGGACCTTGATGGGCGTAGGTTAAAGGTAAGTCATGCACATGATAGGGGACCGGGTTTTGGAGGTGGTAGAAGCTACAACAATGCTGGTGGCAATTTTGGAGGCGGTGGAGCTTACAACAACTATGGCGGTGGTGGTAACTATCAAGGTGGTGGAGGTTATAGCAACTATGGTGGTGGTGGCGGTGGCGGTGGTGGCAGTGGCGGTGGTGGTGGTAACTATCAAGGTGGTGGAAGCTATGGAAACTATCAAGATGGTGGTAGCTATCAGGGTGGTGGAGGTGGCTTCAATTACGGTGGTGGTGGCAACTATCAAGGTGACCAGGTGAATCTTAGTAACAATCCTGGGTATGGTACAACTGGCGGAGGCAGCTATGACAGCAATTATGTTGGTGGTAATGTTCCCTACTCAGGAGGCAATCTTGACTCTAGTGGCAATTTCAGCAGTGCAAATGCTGGTTATGCTGGTGCCAATGATCAGAGTTTTGGAGTTCCTCCTGCTAGTGATAACTATAATGTTGATGGAAGCAATGTCGGCAGCAATTTCAGTAGTGCTCCCTATGAAAATACCACAACCGGATTCAACCATGAAGTTAACAGTGATAGCGGTTTTGAAAACGAGCCTGATGAATATCAGGCCAGAAGGGCCTCGTAATCACTTCAAGGTCTCTGCAAATTCAGGAACTCGGTTGTCTTCTGGATGGCTTTGCTCAGTTTGACCTACTAAATCTCTCATTTGGGAGTATATTGCATTTACTGTTCCGAACATCAAAGATTAGATTGTTTAGATTATGTTTAAAACTTGTTATGATCACATCAATTGGTGCCCATTTCAACACTCATATTATTTGGTACTAAGAATGTGTAATAACTCGAGCCAAACAGGTTATGTTCTTGAACCTGGTCAGAACTATGTAGTATTATCCTTAGTATTTGGAATTCTTTGCCAATTTACAGCCTGAATCTGTTCTGAGCAACTGAGCAACTTGTAATGGAAAAATAATACTCCCTCCATCTCACAATTATTGTCCAGTTTGGGTTTTCATTTCTAGTTCGAATTGTACTAAAAGTGAAATCTCAAATTGGACAATAATTTTGGGACAGAGAGAATAATAAATAAAAAGGTGAACAATAATAGTTGCGTAAAAAAAGTGAAAGATTTGGTTTAAAGTAAGCAAAACCTGCTATTGAACCTTCCCTAATAGGATAAGCGATTTCATCACTTTTGAGGAACTATGAGATAAAACGAGCAACAACGCAAACAACTACTCCTTCCGTCCCATAATTATTGTCCAATTTGAGTTTTCATTTCTAGTTCAAATTATGTTATAATTATTGTCCAATTTGGGTTTTCATTTCTAGTTCAAATTATACTAAAAGTGATATTTCAAAATGGGCAATAATTTTAGGACAGAGGGAGTATTGATTAAAGGATGGGATGATAAAAGGGCTAAAAGAGAGTTATTAAATCACAATTATTCTACTGGATTATAACATCATTATTTCATAATATTATGATGATCAATGTTATCATGAACATCATTTGATGAAAGCAAAATCCGAAACCAGTTACTGTATTTCAATATTTACGAATGAATGATCACCAAAACAAAATGTCTATAGTCTGTAATTAACAATTGGACGATCATAAATTTCAATATCCGTATCTTAAAAGTGTATCTCCAAGATTAATAACACTTGGAAGGTCAAGTAAAAATGGGAGAACTGGAATTTCTTTTTCTAATATCTCATATTGTCTTTTTTTAAATTTCCAAAAAATATATTTTGAAAAGTCAGCATAAAAATAAATTTAACTGGTCAAATAAAATAGTACATGAGTTGGGATTTTGACAATCTTGCTAATAAACAGCGCATATTTTTAGTAATAATTTTTACTATTTATTTGCCACCAATTTTATTATTTCAACCCAATCGAAAAATCCCAAAAATGAAAAAGACAAACGTCATTTCTCATAGTCATATGTTTATGTCCTGGTTCAGTTGTTGGGTTGCACAATTAGCGAAGCCTGCATTCATTTTCCCTTCATTTTAAAGAAAGAAAAGGGCTTCCATCTCTCTCTCTCTCAGAATCTTGGTCCTTCCTTTTAGATTTGCCTGCACGTGGTTTTGCACAATTCATGTCCAATCCATTCCTCATCAAAGAAAAGGGGAGCAACTTTCTTGTTTTCACCATTTGTTTGATACACTCAATAATCTTCTCCACTTGCCCAATTCCTAAATTTGTTGGCCCTTCCTTTTCTTTAAAGTGAGTATCTTTTTCACTTTCTAGTCCTGTATCTGCTGCTGTTTTACCCTTGAATTGGGAGTTCACGTCTGGGTTTCATTTGGGTTTTTGGTGGAAGAGGAGAGACTTCCTTCCATTTCTGTTTTGATGGGTTTTTGTTATTTTTTTCGATGATTTTGAGATTTTCCGCTGTGGAGGAGAATTGTGTTCTCGGTGATTGATGACTTTGTTCTGTCTGCTCAGGTACTGTAAACCCAGTTTCGCATTGTAGTCTCCTTAATTGGTATTTGGGGGTTCAATATTAGCCCTATTGTTCATTCTTTGGCTCGCTGAGTAGCTTTTGATGTAATGACAGAGGCTTTACACCTTGTGGTAGAAGGTTTCTGTAATGTGTAGGTTTTGACCATGGATTGATCAAGTCTGCATTTTTTCGGAATCTTGAAGTATGCTAATTTCCATTGCTGTCTTCTTTTGTGTTCTTCTTTGGAATTTGCGGGTTATGATTCATTAAAAGGTGCAAAATTGTTTGGGGAAACTAGGTTTTCTGATTGTTTTGGAAGAAAAAGGGGGTAGGAAATGGACATTTGGGTTGTTGCAGCAGCTGCGGGTGCTGGATATGTAGCTCAGCACTGCAAAAGTCTTGTAAAGGGTAGGCATAGCTTCTCGGAATCTTCTTGTAGGAGTCATAGTATTAGAACCGAGTCATCATCCTCTATCACTCAGCAGGTGAAGGATAACAAGTCTTGTCCTGGCAGTACAGTGCATAGTTTTAGGCACGATGAAGAAACGTGTTCTGACATGCCAATGCTGTCGCGAGCTACTTCCTTGGGAAAAGAGGCATCTTCTAGTTACTTAGAGTGTCTGACTCATGAGGCATCTACTGATTGCTCAAATCCTTGTTCTTGTTCGGGCTCAAATTTGGTGCCTGGGATCCCAAGCTACGAAGTTAGATATTGTGGTGATGTAGGTGGGAGTGATAGGGACTATTCCATGCTCCCTTCGACAAGAGAGGTTGTTAAATATGGTTTTAAAAGAAAGAAAAGCAGTCTTAGGAGTAGACAAGCCAATGCGAAATTATTACAGCCTGTAAACTCGTTGGAAAGTTGTCTGATGGCTCAGCTGTACAGAGGCCAAACTGAAGTGGAAGATTATAGTGAAACCTCTATGACTCCACCTTGTAGTCCTACTGTCAGGCAGTTTTCAGTGACACGGCATGGCAGGAGCATTAGTAGACCAACCCGTGATTCTTCCAATTTGCCCGTTGGATCTTTGAGAAATAAGTTACAGAAGGATAGTAATCTACCAGGTGCAAGGATGATACTTGGAGTTCCACAACTACCTAGTGTCGGGTCTGAGAGATTGCAGCAAAGAAGGAAAACTCAAACGGCTTTTGGCATGATGGAAAAGAACCAACAGCTGCAAGGTAAGAATTTGTTTTATATGTTTTTTTTATTATAATTTTGGAGATTTATGCAAGTTGTTAAAACAAATGTGCTGTGAATGTTTAACTTATGTGAGCCATGAGTTTTCTCAGGCAGTTGGCCATTGAACTAATTTAGAAATGTAAAATTCTGTTGTGCCTAGAGGGCTAGAATACAGTTGTTTTCCCTTTGATGGAATTCCTTCGGCACTATTTTCGGTTGTAGGAGGCAATGATAGATATGAAAGCAGTCTAATATCATAGCAATATGCCATTGCAAAATAGAGTGCTTCCTTAAACTCAAGAGAGATGCCTGATAATTGTACTTGTATCATTTATGCCGCTCTTTTGATTACAATTGAAAGTTCCCCAATTAGGTAACTGACGGAAGCTTCCAAACTGATTTGTTTCATGCCAAAAACGAGTGAATGGTTTGTAAATGCTTATATAGATTCATGAGTATAAATTGTCCTTTTGCATGGTTGGTTCCGAAAATTTTAATTTAGGGAGAAGTATGCTTGGTCTTGGAAGCATTGGAACTTGGAAGTTCGAGTGATGTTTGATGAACTATTATTGGTGGCTGACAACGTCAAAAACCTATTTAATGTGATTAATTAATTGATAAGCTTGGTGGCTTATCATATCTTTCTTACGTTTTAAATTCACACTTTTCTTTCTATACTTTGGTATTCTTCTCTAAAATGATTATTTTATTTTCTTAAGTTTGGCATTTTGTGTGTAGATTCCATATCCTTTATGATTGTTTGTCATCCTCTGATCTAATCTCTTACCTTCAATCAGGATTTTCACACGGTGCATTACTTTTCTGTTTGGGGATGTCGATTGGATTAATATCGTCGGTCCTTAATAATAAACGAGAAGTCGACAACTTGAGCAACTTGTTGAAACAAACGGAGAGTTTGGTTCAAGATTTACAGGAGGAACTGGAGATGAAAGATTCATTAACTGTCAAAGAACTTGCAGTGGAAGACTGTGAATCACAAGATACACAGAATGGCGCTTTTCACAATGGGCCTTTAGGAACCTGTTCACCTGATGAGAAGTTGCAGGATCAGCTCTCTGAAAATAATACTCAAAAAGTGGAGGAAGAATCTTTCAGCAAAATTGAAGCTGAGCTCGAAGCTGAACTCGAGAGATTAGAATTAAACATTAGTTCCCATGGATTGGACAAAAAGATACAGAATCTTTCTGAGGTAAGCATTTTACTAGTATTTTTTTTTTCCATGTTTTGTTGCTCGATTTGTATCCTTGGTTCTTAATAATGGACTTGTTTGTTGCGATGGTGGTCTTCTTGCTCTAATGCTGTATGTTACTTACAAGTATCAGAGAAAAGTGGAAAATAGTTTTAATTGGACCATTACCTCTGTTAGGCAAACGCTTCTTTCCTTCGCTTAAGGCTTTAGGAACTTTAGTTTCAATCTTCGATAACTCATTTGATGGGCGTATCTCCATAATTTGCCTTTCCAAATAGTTAAATAAGTCGCAACAGTTTCAGGTATTTGATGATCTAGTCTCTGCTCCCCGGTTATATCCTGTCACATTTTTCCTTTACTCTTTCTCATGGATCCATACACAGTATTGCAGAAAATAATCCACTGTGTCTTACGTGTTGCGTATAAATATGGAACAAAATTATGGCATAGTGGTGAACTCCTGGGGGTGGAGAGGAATGTTAAGTTAATGTTCAACTATTACTCACATATTAAAATTGAACTCGTCTTTTCAATCCCGAATTGGTGCTTCTGTGTCCTGGAAGTCTCGTATAATACAATCCTCCCCCTTTGGCCAACCAAGAACTAGTGGAACTTAATCAAATCTTACTTTAGCCAAATAGATTAGGCCCATTGACTCATTGGTCTTTTTTTCCTCTCTTTTGAAACTTAAAAAAGATGAGTGCGTCAAGGTGTTCTCATTTATTGATCTTCATTTGTTTAGCGGCATTGCTGATACCATATTCTGATTAAATATGAAATGCATTACAGGATGCAGATTATGTGCCACATGCAGTAGCAGGAGAGCTCAATGCTGACATCCTTGGTCAGCATAGTGGCCCCCAACCTTACGCCGATAGGGATGGAAGTGGCAGCTCTACCCCACGCTCGGTCCATTATGCAGTCTCCCCTAGGGAACTGACCTTGCGACTGCACGAGCTTATTCAGTCGAGACTGGAGAAACGTGTCGAGGAGCTTGAAATTGCGTTGCAGAACAGTCAAATGAAGGTTCAATATATGGAATCGCAGAATGCAAGTTATTTGAGAGAGTTGTCAAGCAGAAGGTCGAGGTATTACAAGAATGGAAGTCCAGTTGTAGTGGAAGAAAGTCGTGCAATTGCAGACCAACCTGTAGTTATAAACTTATCAGAGGAAGCCCTTGACGACGAATACACAAAGATTAATGAACTTGATGAAGAGGATGCTCCGGTTCTTGGCAAAAACGACCATAAAAATGAAATCTTGCTGGCTACAGAACAAAAGATATACTGGGCCCGTGATACTCGGGAGAATGATGAAATGCAAACGAAGTCATTCACCGAAAGACTGATGATGTCAATGAAGCAAGAACCCGGCGATGCTGACAAGTATTTGTCAAACGGTCTTTTAACAGTCACCGAAGATCATGAAGATGACATCAATGGTTATGATGAGATGGAGGAGCTTTTGATTAAACATATTGTTGAGCAAGCCCGGAAAGGGTCTCCCGTAGTTTTGAATGCTCAAATGGCATTGAGTTCATCACCTGACGAAGAAAATGAAGAACACCCACGGTAGAAAGATAGATAAGAAATAGAGTAGTTTTAAGAGCATGTATAATTTGATTCAGTTAGAAATGATGACTTCAAAGAATTTATACTTATCATAATACGCTTAGAGCTAAAGAGACAATAAGTATGAATGGCCAACAAGGAAGTTGAAATGAATCCTTTTATGGATTGCTTCTTTATATCTTTTGCTACTTTCTTTGTCCCAAAGGGTGAAACTAATTGTACTCTAAATCTCTGATCCTCTAGGTAAAATTTAGAAAATCAACACATATTCAGTTTACAAAATAAAATTAGTTGCAAGTTGCAACCTGCCCATTATCTAGAAAGTAGCACAAATATACATATTTTCTTACCAATCATAATTATTGAGTAGAGCTACTAAAATGCCTAATTGGCTTCATACTGAAAAAGAGTAAAGCCAAAAGTGCAGGGCGCTAATATGATGAGAGTAATGCAAAATGCAATTTATGGGGAGAAATAATGAACATGTTTAATATAAGAGCTTTCTAATTAAGTCCTCCTTACAAATAATTGATTCGTTTACAATTTTAGTCTATAATATTACAATTCAACTTTAGGTAAAAAGTGTCTTTTTTTTTTTTTTTGGGAAAAATCACACTAATTCCTTATATATTAATCACATACACTATTTAGTTGACTTTAAGAGATTATGATTTTTTTTTTTTTTTTTTCATATTTGTAGGGTGTCCACCGTCAGTAATAGTGACTAATCCCGCTCGTTGAATTGTTGGCACCTCGATAGGTGAGACAGATGGCCAAATTATTTAAGGTTGTTCCATGCCCATACCATGACGAGGTTCAAAGAAATTCACAACAAAAACAGTGGGCCGATCCACAAGTCAAATCGAGAATTGGATCTCAAGTTTTGGGCCGACCCATACGAAACATTTCAAGGCGTCGACCACTTTATAAACTCTTCTCTCGTTCCTTTGAACCCTCAAAACCCTAGGAAAGCAGCTTCCGGCAGAGCAGCAGCTTCAAAATGGGTATGGCCGCCGTTCCCTTTGGTTAATGAATTTCCGATTCCGATTCTGAGATCACTAATTTCGAACTAATGTGCCTTTTTTTTGCTTGTTCTTCTTGTATGGGGGGTTTTCGGTTGCAGGTGCTTACAGTTACGTGTCGGAGCTATGGAGGAAGAAGCAGTCGGATACGTTGAGGTTTCTTCTTAGGGTTCGTTGTTGGGAGTATCGTCAGCTTCCTTCCATTGTCCGTCTCGCCCGACCCACTCGCACTGACAAGGCTCACCGATTGGGTTACAAGGCTTCTCAGGTACTCTTTTCTTTTTTTTTTTTTTTTCAGAAAGTTTCTATTAGGAGTCGTTGATGTTGGTAGCTTCCTCTTTTTTTTGGCTGTGTTTATTATTTCTTTGGCTTTGTTTTTAAAGCTTTGATTTTGTTGCGATTTAAACTTGTCATTTCTCTGATGACTGGAACATAAAATTCATATGTAAATAGTTTTTTAGATATCTGCCGCTTTATGTTTGCCTTCTTTTGGTGAGTGTTTTGATGTTGGGAAGCCCAGTGTTTTTGGCTTCAAATGTTTATTTGAAGAATTCAGGGAATTAGTATGGTTTATACTTTAATGTAATTATACGTTGAAATGCTACATGTACCAAGGGAAGGGTGGATTTATAAAGGTGCCCTCCCTCTTGAATTTGCCAATGTGGCTGTAGCTACATGAATGTGTAGAAGTTTTACTGGCCGGTTGTTGTCTCCTGTCGACATATCTGCTTACCGAACTTCAAACATTTTCTCTTGTGCGTCGTCACTGACTTGTAATCTTATCTATAATTTCTGCCATGCTAATGGAAAATTGGTTTTAACCAGCATGCAATACTTGGCTTTCCTTGCTCGTTTTGCCAATCTAAGTACTACGATTCATCTGTGATTGAATAGATAAGAGACTTTGGTGTCAGTTCCTTTCCTGTTCTATCATCTTCGGCTTGCATTTCTTTTCTCTATTATATGCAATGCTGATGTTAAAATGAAGGGAGAGTGACCCTTTCTTCTCTTTGCCTTTTGCCAGTTTTGAGCTCATTAATTTCTTTGTTATTTGTCCAAACTATATGAATGCATATATATAAAAGCTTCCGTTTCAAAAAAATACATTTAAGCTTTTTACTGGACTGGAAGTTAAACACATTCAGTACTGAGCATTGTAACATGTGTTGCCACTATATGACTTATCAGTTGATAAAAATGGGTTTTCTTTTCTTCTAGTACATAACCTGGCTGACTCTCTTTTCAGGGTTTTGTTATCTACCGTGTTCGTGTCAGACGTGGTGGCAGAAAGAGGCCAGTTCCCAAGGGTATTGTCTATGGCAAGCCCACAAACCAGGGAGTCACTCAACTGAAATTTCAGCGCAGCAAGCGTTCTGTTGCTGAGGAGCGAGCTGGAAGGAAATTGGGTGGTCTCAGGGTGCTGAACTCTTACTGGATTAATGAGGTTGGTGTCAAGCTCATTTGTTTTGGTCTCTTTTCTTCCGTTCTTTATGTTGAGGGCTAAGATTTAGTTTGACCAAGCCTATTTGTTAACTTTTTAACCATTTTGTGGTTTTATCATGTTCTCGGTGTGTTCATTATGCCATGCCCTCTTTTTGAAGATACTGGTTCTTGTATTTCTGTTTTTAAACTCTTTACTATTCTTCGAAATGCAGGATTCTACCTACAAGTACTATGAGGTGATCTTGGTAGATCCAGCTCATCCTGCCATCCGCAACAACCCGAGGAACAACTGGATATGCAATCCGGTTCACAAGCACCGAGAGCTCCGTGGGGGAACCTCAGCTGGTAAGGAAAATCGGGGTCTGCGTGGAAAGGGACACAGGTACCACAAAGCACGTCCATCAAGAAGAGCCACTTGGAAGAGGAACCAGACTCTCTCCCTCCGTCGCTACCGCTAATCATTTTAGTCCGTATTTGTTCAAGTTTCTGCGGCCAGTTCCTTGCTTATGTTTAGTGTTTGCAAGACCATGACAGAGTTATATGCTTCTTTTGTTGGAAAACATGAGAATTTTGTTTCTGTCTTGTTGAATGATATGTTGATTAGACACCCTTACCGTCAAGATATTATAATTTTATTTGTAATCCTTGTCCTAGCGCATTCATGTCAAATGTTAGGCAGCAAAAAGTATTTTAATACTAGCCGTCAAATACCTTGATTTAGTAATTCAAATACCTTGAGTTAATATTAACATAGGATAGTTAAAAAGATCAAAACCGCTGATCATTCAAAACTTAAACTACCAATCCCATGAATTGATTTTCTGCCACAGAAATCAAAATACAAGGCCCTGACTGAGCAAGAAATCGATTTCCAAGCATAAGGGGAGCTGAAAGGCCATTCCACATAATGTCATACTTCTAGAAACTCCACATAGATTGGGTACCATTAGACTCGTCTCCACGCTAGACACACTGAGCAATTAGACCTCCATGTTGCATGTAATACACAGAGCATAATAAGGAAACAGATCCCCAGAGAAAATTGGAAAAATGATGTCTTGCGATGTCAAGGTAATATTGGAACGACATGAAGAAGGTAGCGGAACAAAAAATAATCCCCCAAACGAATCGTTGTGATGCTCATAAAAACCCCAAATTATGAAATGTTATTAATGAAAAATTTATATATTCAATTAGCCGCCTAAAATTTTGATTTTCCAATTTTAAGTCTGATGAGGCCTCTTGGACAGATTTATATATTAAGTGAACCATTAAATAATTAAGAACAAAAAAATAATGAAGTGACATGAACGCGATGTTCAATTTCCACATAAACTAAAAATATGTTATTTGCAATTTCAATTACGTAGTTATCAATAATCAAGTTTTGCAAATTACCACAGTATCTAAAATTTTAGTTTTAAAAAACATCGTTATCTTCTTCTATAGTAAGTTAATATAAAAACTTCGTTTGGTAATTAATTTATTGTAATTTGATTGGTCGGACGGTCATCACGTGACATTATTCTTGCGTCACTTTATTAATTAGGGACAAAGTTGTACTTAATTAAATAATTCGTTTTTTGTCTTTTTAATTATTTTTTTTTGGAAAAACCCCCTACTCCCCAAAACGATGGAGTTTTGGGGAGTTGTTATGTTTTTCCCCGTTTTGTTGGGGGAATAAAAGGAGCAACGACAGATTTCTTTTCCTTTCCTACTTTGCATCACTTTTTTAATGAAGGGTAATATTGTCTTTAACTAATTGATTTCGTCCTTTATACACTAATAGTGCTGGGCTTTCTTATAAAAACCGTATTTATTAATTATGAGAGTTAGTATTAAAAAAAATACTGCAGTTTATATTTCCCAATAAAGCGGTAAATGGATGTATACGAGGATTTCACTTTCACTAAAATCCTTTCAACTTATTTTATGCACTAACTAGTAAGAGTATTACTAGGTGGTGTTTGCTGCACGTTGTGCAGCTTAAAGGGAATCATAGCCCAGTAAATTTAGGAATTTTTTTTACTTCTGTTTTTGAGAATAGAGACTGGGAAGATTATATAGTCGTCTTGATACCAAACTAATCAAATAGCTGGAAAGATTAGAAGATCGGGAAGGAGCATGAGGTTCTTCCTCCACCTGATCTGACAAGCCTGGGAATTCGTAACAAAATTACTTTGATATTGCATATAGGTTACAAAAATCATAATTTCATGTACATTTACACAAATACTATATATTATGCAGAATATTGTTGATATTATATGAGGGCTGATGCTGAAAGATTAAATGGATCTGGCAGGCACTCAGAAGCTAGAAAGTTCAAAACAAAACATTTTCCTTTTCAGAAGGTCCATAAATTGTGCTGAATTCCTATGATAATACTCCTTGTCCCGCAAGCTAAAATCAGCTCACACTTAAGTGAAATATTGCCCTGCCCTTTTCTTTTGTGATATGTTTTTGAGCCTTGTCATCAATTCAGATGTATGTTCGAAATCTTCCTGGTAGGAAACATGAAATAGTCTTTGCTCGATACATCACATGGTACATGATCTCACCAAAACTTGCAACCTTTTCTTGGCAAACCTAGCCGATCAACACCGAATCTTTGCGTGAGTGCATAGGCCGACATGATTAGTGCTAGAGTATATTTCCTTTCGTCCTCATCTTCTAAACAGAGGGATGCTTTTTTCTGTCTGTAACTTATAAGAATATGTGCTTAAGGGAAAACGAAGAAATCTAGGTCAGTTTAAAACTGAAACTTATCTAAGTTACAACGGAACTGAACTTCTTACATAGTCTGAAAAAACCAGAAAAGAAGTAAAGCTTGAATGAGACTAAAACCATTGCAAAGGGGCTGCATTTTGAGCTAAAAAACAAAGACATAAGTATATGTTCAGTCCTTTTTTTTCAAGTTATATGTTCAGTTCATTAATACGTAATTGGTATCAAAGACAGATGTTGTAGTAACTTACTGCAATAAGAGCATTGACCCTGAAGAATGATCTCTTCTTGTTCGGGTATCAAGCTCTTGATGCTTGTTCTCTCCCTTTCCAAGTTGGTATATCAGTGACAATCAATAAATCTTTTTTCAATTATGGGACCAACCTTCAAAACTCCAAAAGAAGCATAGTCAACGGAATCCATTAGAGTAGCTCTCTTGCCTCTAAATTGAATTTTCTTATCAGCTTCTATATAGCTATTAATTAGGAATTTAATCCCATAGATTCGCAACTAGTTGGTTTTTCTAATATAACTTCAGCAATAAAAAAGCCCTCCACTAAAAAGAATATAGATGGCTACTTTTATAAATCAGAGAACACACTTATACCCCCGCCCATTGCCAAACTAAACATAACTCAAAGAAAAACAAAAGGAACTTACCATGCAGTTCTCTAGGCCATTTTCTTTTGGCCAATTGAGGAACAGAAGAATTGCATGGCCATCAAATGAGTATTGAATCTAAAATTTATTTAGGTTTCAGATATTATTCCATAATAAAATTTATTGGGTTTACTTTAACGACATTAAGAAACAATTAGGGTTCTAAGTTTTTAAACGTTGCACATATAAAATCATGGATCAAGGAAAGAGGAACATCTGAATTGAGTTAACTTTTTTACATCCAAAACAGAGTTCAGATACGTTTAAAATTAAGACCAATTGTTGTTCCAAGAGGCGTTCACAGAATGAGCGAGGTAGATTCTTTAAGAAAAAGAATCAAACACTTAGTGTGCAACACAACCAAAATATCAAGTTGAAAGTCCAACTCAGAGAATGATAACCACTAAGACATTCATTCTAATACTTAAAAGTTTGAGAGTTTTGAATTCTATGATTTTATATTAATCTGGCAAACAAAATCCAGTTTAGCAAAAATAGTCAATTAAAACTGAATCAAATAAAATTGAATGAAAGAACAACACAACAAGCATCTAAAATTACTCACCCATATGGCGCTATGCCGCCGCTGCCACAAAAGAACCAGAATGCCACCGGGATTGAATCCCAATTTTGAATTAGGGAAGAGCTTTGAATCAAAGGTTTCTAGCCTAGAGGCTTTGGTTCGTTGGCGTGGAGGGAGAGAGTATCAGATTTTAGGAGAAAAACGCTTTTAGGAGTTTCAGATTTTGATATGAGAAGGAAAACAATTTCAATTCTTGAATGAACCGAACCACTTGCTGTTCTTTCCTTCTTTTACCAAAGGGCTCTCCTTCTCTTTGTAGATAATTATCCGGTGCGATGTTGCTAATTATCCTTAAGCCCTGAGTTGCAGTAGATCGTTGTACATACTCTACAGAACAACTAGCTCGAACTTACTATCGCGAAGCCGCAAAGACTTTCACATCTGATGGTCAAGCTCTATGAAAAATCTCTATGACTCTTCAGGGGTCTGCAACATTCTTTCATAGCTGTTGTGAGCTAACCAAACCATGGCTTCAATAGCCTTGTTCATATCATGGTGAGATCTTTCCGCTTCTTACATTTTATATCTCAAAATGGCTGTTTTTCAAGGGGACAGGGTTCCTCAATAATATATTGTATTCCATGCCATTTCTCGTGCTATGATAATTTATTACTCACTAATAAATCTACAAGTACATGAGTAGTTGTTTTGTCAGGATCAGAGAACTATCTGGGCTTCTAATGGTGTCTGCGCTCAAGAGCCATCACCATCAGAATAATCTATCCTCGACAATTGCCACGAAAGGATTCAGACGAATACTTCCTCAAAACTAAGGTACACTAGAATGATCTCTTCGAATACGCATCCTCGATCGAGGAGCCCATATATACACTATCAAGGTCCGAGAGCCTTTATGCGCTTATTAGATGAACTTCTCACAATCTTTCAGTCGACATGTCATCATTATTATACTTGCAATACATGTCTTGGACTAAGTTGCAGGATAAACGTACCCCGGTACCTCTGGGGCAAAATAAGCAGAGATACGTAACTCTCGCAGCTGATCCCTCGAGGATAGCAGCAACTTCAAGTTCGCTATGACCTTTGGGCGTTTATGTTTTAAACTCGGGATATAGACTACTGGTCTAATGCGCATATGGTAACCCACTCGAGTACTCATGAGAATTGTTACATCTCATATACGCTGTTACACCCAGCTAAATATGACTAGTCATTTGAACGGATATTCTCTTCAGGATCGTCCTTACTCAGAATCGTCTGGATTCGAGGAGCTCGTATCCAGTTTCCTCAAAGATATCCTCTTCAGGATCGTCCTAAAAAAGACATTCTCTTCAGAATCGTCTACACAAAGGTATCCTCTTCAGGATCGCCTGCAAAAGAGCCGTGTACTTAACATCCCGCCGTTATAAGCTCTTTACAAATAACTCATAAGCCGTATACTCGACATCTGGTATTGCGAAAGACCTAGATTTCATGTTCATGAACAATGGGTGGACTATCCCTCGAACCTAAACACATATGTTTTATACCTCAAAGAGAACTAGACTTGTTCTCGAGTATACTTTCTTGGATCGATCTATCATATCATCCAATAAATCAGAATGAAAATGACTTTATTCTTGATATTCTCGAATTCACTTTGTGCCTCGTTAATACATGCCTATTCCTTCTGTAAGGTGGTTACCATCCATCTTCTTCTGATAGACGCCATTTTATGCCTTAACCCTACGAGTCCGGGGCTTCTTGATCAGGCACCTCCTCGAACTGAGCAGCGGGACCTACACTCTCATCTAAAGTCTCGGTCTGCCAAATGCCACTCTAAGACTTGGAGGCTCCGAGATGAGTAATGGCTCCGGGGTTATCTATAGCCAGGAGTGTTTATGTATGGGAGATTGTAAGACGTCTGTAAGGTGTGTAAGGTATCTGAAAGGTGTGTAAAGTGTTTCGGAGGTGTTTGGGAGGTTGTGTTTTTGTTTTTTCAATGACTATTAGTCTACGGATCTCTTCCTATGACTATTTTCGACGGTCCACAGACTGGGACATCGTTCATTCTCACACTAATGCGTAATACCTCCTCGATTCTTGATCGAACAGGCAACGCCATTATACATCTACTCGGGTTCGACACATCAACCTGATTTATACTTCTCAAACCCGAACTAAGGGTTCTATGCTTTATTTCTCGGGACATGAGAAATGACAAACGGGTCGGTTGGGCGGATATAAATAAGCTTAAATGCTTGTGTGCCTTCTTCAAGGTCAAATGGTTATAACTCTTGAGTACTTTCTGGAGTTCTGCTCGAGAGAATCTTTTCGAATCTCTGGATTTCTTAATAGAGGTCACATTGGAGCAAGTTCTCGGCAGACAGTGTTCTTTCTCAAACTCATGTCCTCGACATCGAGTGTTAATAGAATATTCGGTCTTTATTCATGGTGCTTCTCGATCCACTACACAGTAGTTTTTCTTGAAGGTTTGGATCTATTACCTTTCACTCAGAAGCGTATGTCATAGTTCTCCAATGGACTTCTCATCTCGACAGTTGATATATCTTAGCCGCTGCTAATGGCGCATATTTTGAGACTAGTGGGAATCTACTTTACATTTCCTTCTCGACAATAGATTATCTTGGGCCAAGTTCTTGGCATGCAGCTCCAACTTATATTTCTTCTCGAACTTATGTCTTCAACGACAAATGTCAATAATCACAGTCTTATTACATCTTCTCTCTTAGTACTCAACATAGTATTGACAGAAGTCTCTTTCTCGAGCTTATCTTCTCGAAGTCTTCGAGACTCATGTATTCAACCTCCTTTAGGCACATCTCTTGCCTTTATTCACGAGATTATTTGATATCACTTCTCATTCATTATTCTCGAGATTTAGAGTTAATGCTTCTCGATCTGAAGTGTGCATTGTAATCTTCGAGCAGATCTCTTGTTCTGCTGGTTATTGACAACACACAATTATATCTGAAATAGTGGGAATCTCCACTACTTCTTCTTCTATAATCCTCTCAAGGAGCGGGGCATTCGCCTCGATATTTTTCTGGTGCAGATTGTGAAAACCATCACATAATGCTTTCTTGATTAAAAGTCTGGACTAGTGATTTCATCTTCCTCAGACTTCGATGTCAATCATTATAAGTGACATGTACATCGAGAAAGGTACGCGCTAATGCTTTTATTGCTTTAATCTCTCCTCGATACTAACCTGTCGCAGGTTCTCCATCTAAGTCAGTTTTTTCCGAACTTTAGGAAACTATATACTTCACGTTATCGAGCTTACCTTATCTTCAGACTTCGAAGTATAGACTCGATAAGGAGCACTTGACGAGTCCAAATTAATACGGCCCGCGACTAAGTCGGCCCAAGTTTGGTGAAAGGTTCAACCGGCCTCTGAAAACTTCTAGGTTGGTTCTTAATTACTTTTCTACCAAGAAAGGGTTCCATAACCTAGTTCTATAAATAGGGATTAACCTTTCACGGTTAAAGGTACGGTCTATGCACCCCAACTATGTACTTCTTTTACGAATACTTTTACTGACTTAAATATCGGAGTGTCTACCTTCGGGAGACCCCGAGGCCCTCGTTTGCAGGTTTTAGGGTTTCGACTCCGTCATGGCCGCTGATTCAGCCAACCAAAGATGTTGGTGCAGATTCATGCTTCGTCAGAGCGATATCTTCTCTTCAGAGTTCTGAACATGGGTCGGTAGTGACGTTTGAAGTAAAATTTCAAGAATTTGTCGTCCTTATGAACCTCATTTTCTTCGGAATCAGGAGGAAGGGGATCCATGAAACCCCAAAAAGGAGAGCAAGGATAAGGGGGGCATAGCCTTGGAATACACATTCTGGATATCATAAAGTTCCAATCTTTGGACATAGATTTGAGTGCAAACAAATCATTTAGTGGCAACCTAGACAACACTTTAAATATCAAATCTTCAGGGAAAAAGTCCGACCAAAATCCCCTTTCACCCTCATCCTGGGTGGAAGTTGTAGCCTTCATTGATAAAGAAGCAGTTGCTCCTACTTGCTGGATTGGACTCAGCCACATCTTTGATTCTGCCACTGAAGGGAGGATTCAATCTCCGGATAATCAAATGCCAATAACCAAATTAAAAAATATGGCCGTTCATTATCCAGGAAGAAAGATTTTTTTTTTTTGGCTCCGCGTTTCGGTTTGGACGGAAGCAAAGTGGCCACAAAATTCTGTATTCTGATTTTTCGATTGGATGTGAGTGTTGATTTCAGTTTAGCCCTTTCAAAGACTTCAATCCTCCTCAAATGGCAAACATGGCTCTGGGTGTGGCTCGCAGTGAAAGAGTTGAATATGAAGTCGTTTCATAAATTATTGAGGTAAAAGTACAATGCGAAAGTAAAGTATATAACAATGTAGTTCCAGTCTTATACGTTTTTCAACAAAATCATAAACCAAATTGTGTGCCAACGTCAATATGGTTTCTTAGCATCATGATCAAGATCACCACCTAATATACTACCACCAAGCCAATCAGAAGTTCTCACTTCTTATTACCCATAAGAGAAAAGTAAATTATATTGTAGTATTTTTGTATGAAACTAAATAGGACCATTGTGAGTGAACAGAAGTAGCCTACCATTTACCATCAGCATTTTTTTTTTAAGTTCTAGAAATATGTTGTAATGAAGGTAATACAAACAAAGGGAAAAAACAAAAGGATTGATACTTACTGATAGATTGATTCTGTTACATTTGAGTGTTACAATATGTATAAAACGTGACATAACATAACAATGAAGGTTGATTCAAATCCGGAAAATAGATTCACAAGACCCGTCAACAACTAATTTTTTGATCAATCTATAGTATATTATACTAAGAGAGAAACCAGATAGAGAAAACAAAAAAGAATTCTAAAGGTGCCACATAAGATAAAATCATGTGTCATTTTTCTAATGGTTGCGTCAAAAAATATTTACAATAATTATACTAATAGTCCTTCAAATTTTATGTAAATAAAGTTTTATCAAATGGCATTTAAAATTATAGTTTAAAATAGGAAAATAAAAATTAATTAAATTTAATGGACGAGATTAATGAACATTAATGCACCATAATTATTCCCTCCCAAAAATAATTCCCGATTAGTATTAATTGATTTATTTAAATTGTAAGTTCAAAGGATAAGGCATTTGTTATTTTCAACATTAATTAATCGGAATTTTTCACTCCAGGCAATTCGAATAAAAAAAAAACTCTCTACAAAATAATCCCTAAAATCACTACTTGATTGATTTAAAACCTAATTCAACGTGCGGGAAAGTGAGAATTCTTTAGTGATTAAAAACTAATCAAATTTAATTGAAAAAGACTAATCAACATTAATGCAATGGAAGTCATTTCCCCACCAATCTTATCCCTTAATCAACGTGACATTATCATCTTTATTCCATAGTCATAAATTTTACTTTAATTACTGGTTATGATATCTCATTCAGACATTCACTATAGATATACACTTCGGTCTAACTATAACATGTACAATGACAACCGGTGAAACACTAAAGCGAAGCATCTTATATACTTTACAAAACATTTTTGCGGCGACGACCTCACTCCGATCATGTTTTATTAAACATGTAAGGTGTCTTTTTCTCCAATTATTTGCAATCTTGATTAGCATGCGTTTTTAACCGTGTAGACATAAACTGCTTTGATTTATATGACATATAACATTTGATTTATTATTTTGGTGGTCTTTTTTACTTTTATTTGCACATAATCCTTATACATATTCCATTACTTAATTACATTTTTTGCATACGATTTATAAAATGTTGTCATTTCAAAGTACATATAACAATTTTATTTATCATGATCTAATTTAATTTTAATCATATATGTATTATTACAAACCAGTTACTTTATTTATATTAATCACATTTAAAATTTAAAAATATATTTTAATAGATGTATATGTATAAACCCCGCACATCGTGCGGGTTTAACATCTAGTATAAAATATTAAAATTGTAACGATGACACCAATTAGAGACTGTACAATTCTTCTCTTTAAGACATAACTCGGGTGTTAATTATCCTTATCCCCTTAATAAACAAATAAAGGCCGACTTGACTCCAATTTGACTAAAACAGTCAACTCTTCACTACCAAAAGAGGGAGTAGTTGGAGCGGGGGGAGGGAGTTGAACTGATTGCTCCCACACCTCAGGCAAAGCTGCAATCTGGCCATACAATAGTAAACTGCTTGTGTACGGCAAGATCTGATGGCTTCTTTTAAATTTGATGGAAAATATGTAACATCCTTGAACAGATTTGAGGGCATCATCGCAAGCAGCCCCTGAATCTCTTCAAACATACACCTGCATTGTTGTTGGACATAAAGAATGTGGAAGAACAACCAAGGAAAACGCAGACTTCCATATGGCAAATTAATTCAAACAGGACGAGAGGAAGTAGTATGGCAATTCCCAAAGCAAAGCACTTTTGTGGAGGTAGTAACGTAAATGTTGTTTTAAGATATCCAAAAAGTTTCATGAAAAACTCACAGCAGTTGAATGTCAAGATAGCAACATCAAGGAGACCAGGTGTAACTTGTATCTTAAAAAAGATCATAATTTAAATACCTTGAATTAGCATAACCTAGTATCTTAAAAAAGATCAAAACCGCTGATCAATCAAAACTGAAAGACGAATAATACCTAGAATTGATTTTCTGCCACAGAAAACAAAATACAAAGCACTGACTGAGCAAGAAATCGATTTCCAAGCATAAGGAGAGCTGAAAGGCCATTCTGCATAACGCCATTCTTCTACACTCCGCATAAATTAGGTATCACTAAACTCGTCTCCTATGCTAGAGATGATTAGCAATTAGAACTTTAAGTTGCATATAATTAACAGAGCATAATAAGGAAAACAGCCCAGAGAAAATTCGAAATACGGAGTTCCTCTCTAAGGGTAATATTGGCACAAGATGAAGGCAGCGAAAGGAAAAAATAATCCTGACAGTAGCACAGTTATCAACCAATTTATCAGCCATTCATACAAATATGAAAATCTTCTCTGTAAAGGAATAAGGTATTTCATTACATAAAGATGCAACCTTTGTTCAAGCATTTGAGAAAAGTGAACTTACAACAGGAGCAGCACAATTATTTAGTAGCAGCAATGGTATCGAGCAGCAGTAGGCATGGTGAGAAGGGAAAGATCCAATTTCCATCCAATTGTAAAGTTTTCCTGTTACAGTGCCACGGGTTGGGGGGTAACCAAAGCTCGTTAACCAGTTTGGTCTTTAAGTGGTAGGAGATGATCAGTTCCGGAGCTGCAATAACCATAGCATCATCCTTTGGTAAAAATGCACGAGGCCTAAAGCAATCAAATTTTTTCCAATACTTTACACGATTAGGACCAGGTAGGAGGGTCAAGACCAGGTCATCTGCAATGCTTATGGTGTGGATCAGAACCCATTCAGAATTTTTCCCTTTAGAGACAAGCATCCACACAAACATGGATGAACCTTGCGCATCGCGATTGGAGTAATAAAAACACCCTGAGGAGAACCCAATGCACCCGCAACAGTTTGGAAGAAGCTCCCTTGGTATAAGATCTCTATCAGGAAGCTCAATAGCCCAAGCTTCTAGATCTAACCAACTATCATCCTTACTTATTCTGCTGCTAGTATTCCTGCTGGGCTGCGGGATCAGCTTGTCAATGCACACTAAGTACATAGCCAAAGACAGAGAATAGAGAGCCCCATTGAAGTAAACAGAACGGCGAAGCCACTCGAAACCGTAAAGACCATGAGGCTCAAGCGGGAGAACATGGCTGGACCATTGTCCAGTATCAGAACTAAAAATGTCCAATTCCATGGGATGAGTAACTGTGGAGTGTTCAGCGGGGCGAACGCACCTGACAATCTTAAACCCAAGGGAAAAGGAAGGATCAAAAACCAATGAGGAATGAGTGGATTTAATGTTGGTGTTATCGTGGCGATGGGAGTTTCTAGGGACTAAAAGACGCTGTTTTGTGACAGGGTTGGCCACATAATATCTGTTTGTGGAGGAGGCTAAGAGTAAGAGACCATTGCAACAGTCACGAATATCAGAAGCATCACACCCATCCTCCGGTGGAAGGAGAGGCAAAAAGTGATCCTCAATCGTGCCTGCCAAAAACCTAAGAGGAAATATTTTGGTGCCTAAAGTATATTGGTAGAGAAGTCTGAAGTAAAATTTCAAGAGTTTGTCCTCACTACTAGGATCCTTAAGATGTTCATCCCTAACTTCTTCGGAATCGGGAGGAGAAAGGGGATCCTTGAAACAGAGTAAACCCCACAAAGGAGCACAAGGGTAGGGTGGGCATAGCCTGGGAATACAGAGCCTGGATATCACAAAGTTCCACTCTTTGCACACAAGTTTCAGTGCAAATAAATCATTTATTGGCAACCTATACAGGATCTGAAATATCAAATCTTCTGGAAAACCTGACCAGAATCCCCTTTCACCCTCACCCTGGATAAATGTTTCAGTTTTTATTGACAGAGAAGAAGCTGGTGCAGCTTCTCCTTCTTGTTGGATTGAACTCAGCCACATCATAATAGATAAATTATTTACTATGTTACAAACACTAAATTGTTTGCTAATTCTTACAAATAAAATTAATCAAACTAGGGAAAAAAAAATTCATAATTACTTGAGTTATTCATGCGCTTAAAAAAGAAAGGAAGGAAGGTAAATGATGAGAAGTAGGGATAAAAGAACAAAACTTTAAGGCGAGAAGGCCCTGGCTGAAGAGATCCATACTTGTGTTCTAAGAATCCGAATCCTTCCTGGACAAAACGAACTCAATCGCCTGCATTCAAAATTTAGAACTTCAGCGCCGCCTGCAGCCTGCCGCCGGCCACCGTGACCGCCATCGGAGTTTATTTTCAAATTCACACTCTCCCTTCAGCATTTAATTGGTTGTTCGAAAGCATGGCAGGATTAGAATTAACGAGGGCAACCTATTTGGTTCTTCTTTTCTTTTTGTTTGTTTTTTTTTTTTTTTTTTAATTCCAATTTAATAAAAATGATGTCACGAACTTTTCGTCCTTATAATATTCAGAAATAAAAGTTTATCCCCTCCTATTCTTCTTAAAAGCAAAAAAAAAAAAAAAAAAACATCGAAATGTCTTATGTGTTTTTATATATTTTTTGTATTGAAAATATAAAAATGAATATTAAAAATATAAAAAGATATGTTGGAATGAAACAATTAACATTTATTTATTTTGAAATTACCATCAAAAAACAAACCAAACAAAGATTTTTTGGTTCCAAAGTCATCCATTTTGCCCAGTTCAAAAATAAAAATTTTGTGATGTTTCCCAAATGTACTGAATTGGTAACTTTAAAACATGAAGCCCCTGAATTGCAATTTCCTTGGAGGCCGGGCATCATTTCCCAAATTTCGGGAAATTTTCCTCTTCTAACTCTCGTCGCCGCTCTCTCCACTGCGGTTTCCAGTCGCCGGTGTTCTTTGCCGGCAACGCATCATTCATCAAAATCAGTAAATTTACACTACCTCCATCTCAAAACAATTATTCACATTCTGGTTTTCGAATTTACATTAAAAACAACAGTACAAAACTCAAAACTATTTTGTTGCCACCGAGGTAGTATCTAAATTCTAAATGCTTGCCATGAGCTAAATAATACTAGTACTAACTCAAACTTGTATAAAAGCAACTTTTTTGAAATGGTATAAAAGCAACTGGGACAGTTCAAACTCGTTCACACCACCTACTCTCCATAAAATTCCGTCAATAGATAATTAGAATTAACCACACTGGCCAGAAAATAAACTTTCAGTCTAACTGATGAGGAATCATCATCTGTACCCAAAAAAAAAAAAAGAGAGTTGGCGATTGGATAAACTACAATGCTAGCAATTTAGTAAATACTATCTGAGAGAAAATTAAGCAGTTCACTGGAGAATTTTCTGATATGGAACAGTAACTACTACATAAGGGTTCCAAACATGTGCATAAACTTGTCTCTTTCCCTCCCAAGTACTGTGAATCAGATTAAAAGATGTACTACAAAGATTCCAGAACTCCTCTACAAACAACAAACATGCTGGAAAAGAAATACTAGTATTCAACACAGCTATGGACAGCAAAGATCTCGGTACAAAGTTTGTCACACAGCCAGGCAGGAAGCAAACCATAATCAGACAATTTCTTCAAAACTTCTGAGAGCTGCTGATCTTTAACCTGCACCAAAGTCATTGTTGGTTATAAAAGAAGGGGAGAAAAGAAAAAGGGAAAAATGGGTAGTAAAGTATAAAGCCTACTTAAATAGATGAGACCAAGTGATTAAAAGGAGGAGTGAAAGAACAGGAAAGAGGAAAGAAATCTTACCAACATGAATCATGTTAAGAATTTCTTCAGCAGGGGGACGATCTGAAGGATTAGAACTCAACATGAGACGTACAACATCAAATTCACCAACAGCCATGTTTGTTTGTTGGGGAAAGAGTCCATTTTCTGCCACGGTTTCAAAGAGTTTAGACAGCTCCATATCTGAGGTCACAGAATAAACTAATTCTACCATTACTACTGCCAAAGCATAGACATCGAAGGCTTTGGTCAGTATCCCCTTCTTAACCACTTTCCCCATTGTTTTACTCTTCAGTTCTGGAGGAAGATATTTGAATTTTCCTCCAATTGCCCGGCTAATCCCATCATCCTCAATAGCTGGAAAAACAAACTAAATTGAGTAAAATAACATTACACCTAACTCAATAGCATAAAACTAAGAGTGAATCAGAAATTATACCAAGTCCAAAATCCCCAATTTTTGCCACCCCTTGGAAATCAAAGAATATGTTGTCAGTTGATATGTCAGCATGAACCAGGTTTTTGGAATGGATATAGGCCAGTCCTTCAGCTGTAGCTCTGAAAATCTGACTGATTTCAGTACCAGAAAATTTTCTGTTTGCTGCCAACTCGTCAGCTAAAGTACTGCAAATCCAAAGAAATGTCTTACAATGATAGAAAAATAACAACATCGGGACAAGATCTTTTCATCATGTTAAAATGGAGGCAAAGTTTTATTACCTTTTGCAAAGTTCCATCAAAAGATAAAGTGTTTTGGTCGGTGTAGGTTCTTCACCCGAATCACTCAATTGAGAAGCATCTGATTGACTTTCACCAGTATCATCACTTGTATCATAAAGATGCAGAGAGCTGCCTGGTTTCTTCAGTGCATCTTGAACACCATCTTCTATCCAGGCCTAAACCAAAAGACATACAAGGTCATGATATTCTAAGCTTTTATCCCTCATCCATTATTCCAACTGAACTTACTTTGTGATAGATCACAATATTCTGATGGAGCAAAAACAGAGCTCTGAGTTCCCTGGAAAATTTTTATAAGTTCAGAACAAGGAAAAAAAAAAGGAAAATAAGAAAAAAGAAATTGACCAAAACACACTTACATGAATGTATGTTTTTCACTTCTATCAGAAAACGGTATAAGCTTTACTGCATATAGACTCCCATCCAACTTATGCCTGCACCTAAAAACGGTCCCAAATCCACCTTCAGCTGCAAGACAATCATTTATATGTATTCTCAACTCCCAAGTTCTATTCCAAAAAATTCTTAAGAAAGAAGAATCGTTTAGGTTATACCAATGCTCTTTATCACTTCATAATATTTTGAATAGAAAGATAGCTGTTGGTCACAGTTTGTTGGGACTGAAGTGCAAAAGTCAGTCACATCTTTAATAATCTGCCACAGTGGCACCTTTTGAGAACCAACCTGTTCCAGAATGGATTTAAGTTAGAGAAGCTTGAAGCCACATGAAACAGCATTGTAAATCGGTTAGATAATCATGACTAAATAGAAAAGAGGTGCTTGCAGGACAAATTCAAGACACATCTTTGAGGAGAAACAGAAAGGTAGATTGCTCACGCAAACAGAACCATTCAAATACAAATGTAAATGAGCACTCTGTAATCATAAAACTGAATTTAATAGGCTGACTCAATGTAAGTTCTTCAACAGGCTTCACATCATAGAGACGTTTTCGGAAGAGATTAAGAGATCCGGAAACATTACAGATAAACAAAAAGGTTTCTGTATTGCGGGCACACAAACACAAATGTATAATTAAAGATATAAAAGACAACTAATTACATCCCTTTGTCTTCCTGTAGAAAATAAAGGTACTGGTTCGTTCTAATTCCTACTGCCGCTGCAACAGACTTTATCATCAACCACATGTAACTGCAGCCATGCTTGAGTTGGCCGCTAACGGTTTTCTCTGTATTAATAGATAGTCAGCTGTGCTAGTGTAAATAAGAGATTGGACTTAGCTATGTATGTCAGTATTAGCTAAGTGATATGAACCTAAGACGTAGGTTAACAGGGATTTATGTTTCTGAAATCCTTAAATAGTGGTTATACATAATGCAAATAAGGAACCCCAACACATGCTCATGTAGGAGTTCAAGCTTCATTGCAATTATATTGCCTCATTGGAGTAAGGTAGTTGCAATCACTTTGTCTTATTTCAATTGACATGCACTGTTACAGATGGGAGCTAAATTCAATGTGGAAATGGATACACTTGCACAAATATTCCCTGGTTTTAGTTTTGTTGGTTGCTCAGGGTAAAACAAGCTCAGAAAACAATCTTGGACAAATCTGAAGCCATCAAAACATGCTGATACTGAAAATTCATTCATCTGTAACAACTCAGGTTAGAAAATGAATATACAAGCTAGCCAAAGTAATGGAACTTCAACATGACACGATTTTCAAAATTCCACCACGCCAACGCATGTTTACTAACAATAGAAACAGAGAAAAATGACTTTTAACCGTTTATATATTTTTCACTTCAATAATTCATTCCTCCAGCTTGAATACTTGCTTAACCATTTATGGTATTACAATAATTGAAGCCTCCAACAATTCTCACTTCTTTCAGGCTAATAAAATTTTTCGTTCAAAACTAAGATGGATACCTACATAACTGAGTAGCTTCAAGCTGCATGAGACCTAGATGCGTAATCATGCCTCAAATATCATGTTCTGTTTTCCTTTCTAGAATGTAAAACGTCCAACAGTATCCTTTTCAGTTTTTCAACCTAATAATACTAAAACTTGATCACATGGCTGATAGGTGCTATTGTACTGTCCAATTAACGAAAACAAAGCTCCACCGAAGATAACCTTTCCTTCACATTGTGAATTAAAGCTAAAAAGGAGAAAAATGAAAAAATCCTCTCAGGCAAATAAAAGAAAGTCAGGAAACACGCATTACCCTCTTGTTCACAAATTCGAGTAACTCTCCTGCATCTTCAATGCCGTCCTGAGGCTCAAGTAGGATGTCCACGTTGCTTTCAGCCCACTGAATTCTCAGCTGAGTGGATAAGTTCTTCAACTTGAGATCAGGGAGCATCAGTGAGCTACACGAGGAATCAAATAATCTCCAATCAATTACTGATGAATCCAAGGGTTAATGAATCCAAGCATATCCAGCAAAAAAATGAAAAATGAGTAATGAGCTTAAGCTAGAGTCAATTATCTCAAAGTTACACCAAAGTTGCATGAACAAACTCCGAGTTGAAGTTTCAGTAGAAGCCTCGCGAGTTCAATAACGAACGAATTGAACAAAGATTAACCCTAAATAACTCAAAAAAAAAAGCAGAATTACTGACAAATCTTGATGTTTTTTACAGGTCAATGTCGATATCACTCCAACGTTACGATACTACCTCCAAATTAACTATCTAACCAAAAAGAATCAAAGATTCAAATACTTAGATACATGTCAAAGAAAATCCATCAGGAATTGTTCGAACAATTACGTCGATGGAATCATAATCACTGCAGCGCTCATACATGATACGATAAGAAATTAAGCTTAAAATGCTCAAAAGTACAAATACCTCAGGGGAATTACAACTTCATACTCGTTTCTATGCTCCATCTGAGGAAACCTAAGATAAAAGAAATCACCGAGTAGATCAGTATCGGTATAGTACGAAGCTTACCGCTACTGAAATGAGGTCACGAATAAGACAATTTCAACTCCAACCTTGAACGAATGCTTCAAAATTGAACTTCAATTAAGAACTCCGATGAAAAAAAGGTTCACTCTCGAATTCGATGTCGTACTGGAAAGCCGAGAGAGCAAGAGAGAGAGCAAATCGGAGAGAGAAAGGGGAAGAGCACTCACTGTGTGACTGTGTGTTCTGATGTTCTCGCTCCAATTTTTTGAAATTTCGACTCTGATTTCTTTTTCCGTAAATGGGGAAAGAGGGTTAAAATAAAGTTTTCGTGGGCTTTTTCGGTTTCAAACTTCATTAACCTTATTTTAGACTTGTTAGTGGGCTAGATAACAAAATCAATGGGATAGATACAGCCTGTGGCGGCCCGTTGGGGTATATTCCCTCCTGCTCTTCTCTTTCTTTTTTTTTTTTTTAACAATAAAATAAAATAACCCATGTTATATAGAGTTTTCAATTTCTACGTATTAAGGTTATTATTCTACATCTCCTCACTCTATTAGTGTTTCATTAATTAAAGTATAAAAAAATTATAATTAGATTAAATTAATTTTGTAATGATTCGATATCAAAATTATTTATTATATTCTATCTAATCAATGTTGACGTTAATTAAGGGAACTATTCACGCAATCAAAGAAACATGGATTCTGATTCTGAAAAATTCAAAGAAAAGATTGTTTGTTGATCTTATTTACATAACTATTCGCAAAATTAAAGCTCTAATTATTATGACTTCATTTTAATTTATTTTTTTATATTAAAAAATACATATTTCATTATTACTTGATTAAGATTAGTTTTATTAGAATATCTAAATATATTTTATTAGTAAGGTTTAGTTATGTTGGAATGTACGTATATTTTATTAACTTTTTCTTTTTGCAAAACTAAGGACATAAACTTTATTTGTAATTGTACCTTAAGTGTAATTTAAATGATTTTTTAGAATTATTATTTTTGCCTACAAAATTAGAAAACACTATATATATATATATATATATATATATATAGATGCAATAGAGTGCAAACATACATGAATTTCTAGTTTTCTAGTTATTTTTACAGTACATTTTGATGGGTTATATCACACATATTGGATTGATTATGGTATTCCAAATTTGCTTTTCTTTATAACGGAGTGCAAATCATGTGGCAATGATTAAAAGAGAAGATAATTGAAAATTCTCAGATCACAAAAGTAACTTCCCAGAAAAGAGATTAAAAAAAAAGGAAGAAGAAAGACGGAGTAATTACTTAATGCGGGCCAGTTTTACTGATAAACTCATATGATATTTGCACACGGTTAAGTAAATTTTATCCAAAAAAAACACACACACAAGGGGATGATTAACCATCTACAAATGCCATACTCTCTTCCCAAATGGGGAAATTTGTTCTGTGGCATGTTTAATTTCATTTGTATTTAGAGTAAAAGTTTAAACTGAACAAGTTATTTTAAGACGGAAAAAATATAAGGTAGTTAGTTATTGGCATTTTTCCCAAAAGCCTAAAAATTGGAAGGACCAGTGTCGAAACTCTCTTCCCATATGGTGAAATTTGTTGGAACTTGGAACTAGCTACTGTGTTCATGTCTTTGAAACTCCCTTGGTATAAGATCTTTATCAGGGAGGTCAATAGCCCAAGCTTCAACATCTAACACACCCATCATCCTTACATATTCTGCTGCTAGTATTCCTGCTGGGCCGCGGGATGAGGTTCATTTTCTTTCTTTTGCTCTCTTTTGTTTTTAAGGTCCCCTCCAAAACGAACCGACTAATTTAACCCAAAAGAATTTCATGAGCCAAATCTGCCCTAAATTTTAAATTTCTTGCCAATTCCGTCCCATTGTAACCCAAATTTCCTTCAATTTTAACGGTTCTCCGTTATTTAAAAAAAAAAATTATTTAATTTCCAGAACTCCTCTACAGGTTAGAAAACATTCAAATAACCCAAAATATGTAAAATGATAAAAAAAGAAAAAGTTTCCTAGCCTCTTTGATTGATCCAACGCTCAAAAAGCTTGTGATTGTCTGTTGGTGTTGGATGGATGGCAGAGGCCACGGGAGTTTGGCCCAGGCAAAGCTGCCTTTTGAGCATATGTACTTGAACTGATTGCGTAAAGGCTCAAATTAATGGCTTACATCATTGTTTTTTCATATTGGGAGATGGCAGCAATAGTACACTTTAGTGAGTTAGATTTATACTGTAACATTTAAGTTACAATTTAGGGAAAGAAGAAACTTGAATTCAGAAGACATCAATCTGTGTTTAGCTTAATATAGCTCCAGCAGATCCAATGCTACTTAACACTCACATTATCTACAGTAAATGCATAGAGCCGTCAACCTATACAAACATGAAACACTGTAGAAAAAGAAAATGTCACGCGATTAACAAATTTGACCGCATCATTGCAAGCTGCCCTTGAATCTACTGAAACAATAAGACAACATTTGTACTTGAATCAGAAGTCAAAAGAATGTGGAAGGGAAAAACATTCAAGGAAATGCTGATTTGCACAAGATGTCGCAATTTGCAAAGCAAAGCACTTTTGAGGTGGTAGTACACGAAAAAAAATAAAAATAAAAAAGGAACGCAGATAGTGGCTTAAATAATAACATCTTCAAGACATCCAAAACAAACTGTGGTGGAATGGGAACAAGAAGTTTAACTCCATCATAGCAACATAAAGGGGCCGCGTGCGACTTGCATTTCGTAATTCAAATACCCTGAATCAGCACGACCTTGTCTACTTTAAAAGCTTTGACGACAATAAGCTTCACAAAAATCAAACAACCAAAACTAACTTGCTCAGAGAGGCCTCAGGTAAATGAATTGATCTGATTAATTGATAAAAAAAATGAATCGATTTTCTGGCACACGCAATCAAAATGCTAGCCTACACACGCAATCGATTTTCTCACAAATAATCTATTTCCAAGCACAAGGAGAGCAGAAGTACCATTCCACATCAAGTCAAAACTGCAAACAGTCTACACACGTTAGGTATGACTAGACTCAGATTTCCTCTCCTAGAGATAATGAGCAATTAGACCTCGAAGTTGCACGTAAGTTGCAGAGCACAGACCCCAAAGAAAACGGAAAATAGAAGACGAAGTTCACTGCTCTAAAGTAATATTGTCACTTGGAGGCAGCCAAAAGCATCCAGATGCACTCTTCATCAAGTGAAACTTTTACCTCTTCGTTAGCAAAATAGAAAGATGTAACCTTCATCAACTAGTTAACCAGCTAATCATACAAAGATGAACGTTTGGCTATATAGATCATATGCCGCCATTGGGCTCAATCAAGACACTCTAAACAGATTAAAAACCATGCTTCACAAAATGAAACAACCATTACTAGTTTGTACGCAAAAAGATCTCATGTAAATAAACTGGTCTGGCCGATCAATCAATCACAACTGAAACAAGTACTTCATACTATGAATCAGTTTTCTGGCACTGGTAATCAAAATCCTCACAAATAATCCATTCCCAAAAATAAGGGGAGTTGAAAGACCATTCCATGTAAAGCCATACAATCTACATGGACTAGGCATCAAGAACCTCGTTTCCTCCCCTCGAGATAATAAGCAATTAGGTATTCCAGTTGCAATTCATAGAGCAAAACACAGAAAAGAGAACCACAGAGAAAATCGTACTCTAAAGGTAATAATGGCAGAAGAAGTAATCATTCTTAAACTAATAGAAGCATAGTCACCACCCAATTATAACAGCTACGTAGTAGTAATATTAACCCTTGTTTGCAAAAGAATTAGGTATTTCAAGATATAAAGATGCAGCCTTTATCTGAGTATTTAGCGAACATTATACAGATGCAGCCTTTATTCAAGTATTTGAGTAAAAAATACTTACAAGACGAGCAGCAGGACAATCTACACTCCCAAATTCTATGCGACAATATTATTGAGTAGCATCAGGCATGGCGAGAAGGGAAAGATCCAATTTCCAACCAATTGTAAAGTTTTCCGGTTACAGTGCCACGGGGTGCGGGGACCCCAAAGCTCATCAACCAATTTGGTCTTTAAGTGGTAGGAGATGATAAGTTTAGGAGATGCAATAACCATTGCCTCGTCATTTGGTAAAAAAGCACGAGGTCTAAAGCAATCTAATTTTTTCACATGCTTCACACGATTACTACCAACTAGGAGGGTCAGGACAAGGTCATCTGCAATACTTATGGTGTGGATCAGAGACCATTTCGAATGTTCCCCTTCTGAGACCAGCATCCACACGGACATTGAAGAACCCTCAGCATTGCGATTGGAGTAATAGAAACACCCGGAGGAAAACCCAATGCAACCACAACACTTAGGTAGCAGCCGGCTTGGCATAAGATCTTTATCAGGAAGCTCAATGGCCCAAGCTTTTAGATACGAACCAGTACAATCCTGACTTATTCCACTGCTAGTGCTGCTGCTGCCACCGCTCGGGATGAGGTTATCGATGCACACCAAGAACATAGCCAAAGAGAGTGAATATAATGCACGGTTGAAGTAAACAGACCGGCGAAGCCACTCAAAACCGTAAAGACTGTACGGCTGAAGCGGGAGAACATGCCGGGACCATTGTCCAGCCTCAGAACAGAAGATGTCCAATTCCATTGGATGAGCAACGGTAGCGTCTTCAGCCGGGCGAATGCAGCTAACAATCTTAAACCCGAGGGAAAGGGAAGGATCAAAAACCAATGAGGAATGGATGGTTTTAATGCTGGTGTTATAGTGGCGGTGGGAATTTTCTGGGACTAAAAGCCGCTGCTTCGTGACAGGGTTGGCCACACAATAACAGGAGCTACTGGAAGAGGCTAAGAGTAGGAGCCCATTGCAGCAGTCTTGAATATCGGAAGCATCACACTCTTGTTCCACCTCCTTTGGAAGCAGAGACAAAAAACAGTCCTCAATTCTGCTTCCCCAAAACCTTGGAGGTAAAACTTCTCCGTACATGTATTTGTAGAGACGTAAGAAGTGAAGTTTCAAAAATTTGTCCCCACTACTGGGATTATTATTGGGATGATCATCCCCGGGTTCTTCCGAATCAGGAGGGAGGGGATCCTTAAAACAGAGCAAAGCCCAAAAAGGAGCTTGAGGGCATGGTGGGCATAGCCTAGGAATACAGACTCTGGATATCACAAAGTTCCAATCTTTGAACACAGATTTCAATGCAATCAAATCCTTTTTTGGCAACCTAGACAGGATTTCAAATACCAAATCTTCTGGGAATTCCGACCAAAATCCCCTCCCACCCTCAGCCTGGGTGGAAGTTTTGGTCTTTATTGATAAACAACAAGAAGCTGATTCTTCTTGCTGGATTGGACTCAACCCCATAATAAATAAATTATTTGCTATGTTACAGGTACAATTAATCAAACCGGAACAGAAAACGAAAACAAATTCCTTCAGTTATTCATGCAATTACCAGGAAGGAAATTTTCAATAATAAGGAATTGGATAAAAGAACAAACTTGAAGGCGAGAAGACCCAGGCTGAACAGCTCCATTTATATCCGAATCCCAATTGGGACACGCTCAATTGCCTGCATATGAACACAGGACTAACAAATAAGGGCTCCGTCGCGGCCGGCCACCGACCGCCGTGACCGACATCGGAGGTTTATTTTCAATCATTCGCCACCATTCAAAATGTAGTTAAAACAATATTCCCTCCGACTGGAAGGAGAAACCTGAAAAAGAAAAAAAGGGGCCGTTCTCAGTTCAATCAGGCTCTGTTAGCTAAACATGTCTGGAAAATGATGATGGAACCACACTCACTATTAGCTAGATTCTTCACTGCTAAGTATTGTCCCGGTGACACACCCTCCCCTACATACGCCAAAGAAACTTTCTTCGAGCTTTCGAAGAATTCTTTGGAAAGCAGAATTATTACAAGGCAATTTGAGGTGGAAGATTATATCTGACAAGGATACTCTGCTATCTTCAAATTGGATTCCTGGAATTACTAATCCGATTAGCAATCAATCTGCTTTAACAACAGCAAACATCCGAATCAACAGGTTTATTGCTCCAACAGGTTAATACTCTTAGGAATTTTTTCTCGGACCATATCATATCTATCATCAACGGTATTTTTATTGATCCAGCAAGGCATGAAGAACAGGACTGTTTAGAATGGATCCATACGGACCATGGCCGGTATACAGTCAAAACTGGTTATCAAGTGGCAATTAATTCCACAATCCCACAGCCTACTCCGGATCCTGCAATTTTCCAATCAGAGAAGCTTGCCTGGATGAAGCTGTGGAATTTCAAAGTACAACCCAAGCAAAATTTCCTTTTCTGGAGAGTTTGCTTAAATGCTCTGGCCACTCGTTCTGAGCTTCACAAAAGAGGAGTTTCCATAACAACTAGTTGCCAACGATGCTTTAGAGCAGAAGAAGATAGTACACACTTATTCCTTAAATGTGAGATGTCACAAGCATAGTAGTAAATATTGTACGATACGCGACGTATCAAAATTAAAGATTTTGATATGTATCATGGTATGTATCGCAATCGCTTGTGTATCGGTCAATTACCGCTACGTATCGTATGATACATACGATACACGATAAGATTGTGTATCGTACGATACAAAACATTGGTAAAGAATTAATTTTTTCTTTAAAGAATTCAAATTGTGACCATTTAAATTTCAAATTAAGAGCGAATTTCATTTACAATTTGTTAAATAGATACTTTTAATTTATTTCATAAACATAATCTTCCTCAATTGTCAATAAAATCGATAAATAAATTATTCTAGTTAAAAAATAAATTAGGTAAAAATATTTTTTATTCATAATATCATTTTCCTTTTTTAAATCAAGTATAACTAATAGTATGTTAATAAATGCAATACATGTTTATACTAATTTCTCTCATTAAATTTATGACTTAATAATAATTATTATGAAAAATAATATTTATTACATAAGTTTGACGACCATTATTCATATAATGAATAAGTAATATGTGTAACTTTCAAATAATTTTGAATTCAATTTAATCAATTTATTTGTTTATAACTGAAAAATAAAAAAAATACATAAATATATCAACTACATATGAAGTTTATGATATTTATTATTTTTTTTATAGATATTATTATATTGAAACGTATCTTACGATACGATACACGATACGATACGCGTATCATAAATCTATGTTTCCGATACACGATACGTATCCCGCTTTGATAACTATGGTCACAAGCACTTTGGGCACTTGCTTTCCCTCGATTCAGCTCCATCTTCAATTCTTCCTATCACTCCCTGTTCCAATGGTTCACTGGTGTCGAACACAGCCACCCAAATAGGATGTTGATCTCCTACTCCTCATTATGTGGCGAATTTGGCTTGACCACAATGATAAAGTCTGGAGAAACCAAGTTTAGAATCCCACCACTTCTTGGAATCTAATTCAATCGGACTTTCGTTCCCTACTTCAATTCCAACGACGGATCAATCCAACATCTTCCTCTCCTAATCATTTGCCTACTCAGGGATCATCATTTCGGATGCCTAATACTGCTTTGATTATTTTTGATGGCTCATTTAGTCATCAAACACGCCAGGCAGTCGGAGAATAGAAAATTATATCCCCAAATGGTATGATCATGCAAGTCTCAACCACATGGATTAATGCCCTTACACCGCTCCAAACCGAAGCTACCACATATCTTCTAGCTTTACAATAAGCGACAAATCTTGGTCTCACTCGGATTCAGGTTTTCACGGATTGTGAAGTACTATCGCAAGACTTGCAATCCCCTTCGATGCCATCCGATTCCCGAGAAATCTTTTCACTTTTAAACACTTTAATTTCCTCATTTACTTTTTGTACAATCACCAAAGTAAGTAGATGGGATGTACGAGATATGCATAATTTAACTTTCAATCGCATGCAATGTAATAGATTAGTACCTTTAACATAATAAAACAGGTACTTTTAACAAAAAAAAAAAAGAAATGTTTTCGCTTTTTCTTCAATCTTCCTCCTATGTGATAATTTATATCTTTACTAGATGTACGCACGGGGCAGAAAAATCATGATTAAATAAATATGACGTTATAAAATATGTCTAAAAAAAACCAGAATATAGATTTAAGACCGTGTTAAAAGAAAATATATGTACAATACTTTTTGCCATAAATTGAACAATAAAATTTTAAATTTTTCAAGAAGTGATGTAGATTTCATCTCATGGAGTGCTAGGATTCAAATATTTCAATTCAAATATTTCAAAATTGTACAACTTAACCCAACACCATATATATATAAATTATGGAAAAAATTTCAAATTCAGATTAAATACCACATACATTGCAATTTTTTTTGCAAACCACATTTATGATATTATTATTTTTGTTTAATTCACCCATTTTCAATTATTTTGAAACTCACATGTGTTCTAAATGAATGAATTCAGGGGATGTGTTTTGTCCATGCAAAGTATATTGGATAATTAATTAATTATTTGTTTTGATCCGGCTCACGAAAAATTTAAAAAAAAAAGAAGAAGAAATTACTACTTTTAGTGGGTTGATCAATCCGGGTATACTGGGGTTCAACCACCACAAATTTTAAAGCATTAAGACACATGTTTTTGAACACCATTTTGACGTAAAATACTAAAATTTACATCACCAAATTAAAATGAAAAACTATAAGTGTTGTCCGTTCATGGTCTCATATTACTCATTCACAACAGCTATTCTTAATTTTCTTTTACCTAGTGAAACCAATGTACCAATTGTGGTCATTGTCGGTTTCAGGTCTAGAATTGGAGGAAAAAAATATATATATATATATATGGCACATTGAAGGAAATTAAGCTGCATTACACATGGTCTAACCTATGAATGTCTTGTACTATTGTTGTTGTTGATGTTTTTTGGTAACGCCTTCTCGAATAATTAGTAATAACCATATACTATATCTATTCTTTAGTTTAACTAATAATCAGGATTTACGCATCAACTGGACAATCAAGTTAACTATAATGAAGCTTCCAACGGGTTGCACTTGCAGTCTATGTAAACAATCACATTTAGTGTAAAACTTGGAAAAATGGGTAAAACATCCTCCACCCAGGCCTGTAAGGAGGAGAAAATAGTTTTGAGAAAAACAAGACAAGACAAAATATCACCACTGCAGAATCCTCAATTGCAAAAACCAAAAAAAAAAAAAAAAAAAAGCCTAACCTTATAGCATGGCAGGATATTGGGATGGATTAGGAAGATAGCCCTAACCTCCCTGTAGGTATTAGACAATAATCCTATTAGACAAAAAAGGATAACAAGAACAAAATGTTTTAGACAGGGTAACAACCAAACAAACAACATGTTAACTTACGGAAAGATATCCTTCTCACAGCGGAATCAACTTCACAGCGAAGGTCATTCCGTCATATTTGTGCTTGCAGCGATACACAATTCCTCCACCACCATGACCTGATTAATTGCACAAAATCTTGCATGTAAAGCACATAATTGAACTAATTCTTACATGTAAAGCACTGATTATCACATATATACCTAAAATATACTCCCTCCGTTCCAAAATAAGTGTCGTCCTACACTTTACACGTAGTTTAAAAAACTTTTAAATAGGATAATAAAATTACTTGAATATCCTCAACCAACTCCATTATAAAATTGTCCACCAATAGCATCAACTCTTTTGAGAGTAATTTTGGAAACTTCTGACAAAAAGTGCATTGAAATGTGAGAACGACATTTATTTTGGAATTTCTCCATTTTGCTAAAACGATACTTATTTTGGAATGGAGGGAGTACCATATAATTGCACAAACTCTTACTCTTACACGTAAAGCACTGATTACCATATATATACCTAACATACACACAGAATTGCCTTTGATTGCAGAGATTCACCAACCAAATATATAGCCCGCAGTTACTATCGGCACAAAAATTTCACTAAATTTAGCATTTAATTACGCCTTGATCTGCCTTATCTTCAGACTCAAAAATATATACGATACACGGAATAATTATGAATTGAAGCCATACTTAATTTCTGGATGTGGTCGTACTCTTTGGCATAAGCTTGAGAAACCAAATCGACAGGTTGTGAATCCATCTGTTAAACCTATAACAACGAATCACAAAAAAATTTCGACCGGTTATGGTTCAGTACTTATCAATTTCGGTAATCACTATAATGATTACTGCGAAAGAAGAGAAACCGACCAAAGTGACAGAGGAACTGACCGAACACGAAGCAAATAAAACACTCAAATTCAGTTACATAAAATGCGAAAATTAGCGAGAGAGAGGAGCCGGAGGAGGTGGTGATGGTGGTGGA